GCCAGTACCGGAACAGTGCGCTGTGATAGGTTGGAGAGGGACTTGCCTAGGGAGGAGAGAACTTTGCTCTGGGTGGCATAGTGGTCTTGCTCCGTCATGCCCCTCTGCTTAGTGTACTGATAGCAGTTGAGCAGGAGCACTGGGTGACCTCGGACTTCGCAGTGAACCTCGTGAGCACGGCCTGGGTGTAGATCCTGCCAGCGCAGTGTTGCAGAGTCTATGCTAGGCGATAGTAGAGTGAGAACACCCGCTGAGCGCCGGTGCTTAGGCTGTCCGGGCAACTGGGGTGTTTGAGCGGGAGGGGACCTCACGAGCTCTTCATCCGGTAAACCGCCTGAAACAGCTGTCCAGCCATGCACCTGAAATTGGGATGAGGTAGTCCAGTGGGTTTCCTGGATAAAGATAACATCAAGGTCCTGCTGATGTTGCAGCCACTCCTTGAACTCTGCCCACAATTGCTGGCTTAATCCACCTGCATTCCACGAGAAAACTCGCAGTGGTTTGGCTTCGCGACCGCCTCTGGGGTGACGCCTGCGCGGTTGCCTAAGAGGAAGCTGCGGTGCAAATTGAGCATGCATGTTTTCCTTAGTCTCTTGGCTTGCACTAGGTGCAGCCGTGCCTGCGCTTGCCTGTGCCTGGCTTAGAGGCAAATTTGTCCTTCGATATGGTACTGCGCAACCGTCCCTTAAGGCTCGGTGACAGGCCCGACGATAGGAGTGTTTCCGAATTAAACCCTCTGCCATCCGCTTGTTTCGACTGAAGTGCCGAAGCACGATCAGACTCCCCTCGTCCTGCGGAAAGACGAGAACCCTCACACTTAGGAGTGAAAGATGCAGTCTAAGACGATCTAAGTTCTCCCCCCGGAATTGGGACCGGGCCAGCTCGTGGATATGCTGTCTGCGGCAGAATCTCAAAATGCTTGGGGCTAAAGCCTCCAAGTGACCATCAGCTGGCAAAAGCTAGAAAGCCTTGAGATGTTAAGAGGGCCCCGAAAGCTGTTAAAGAGATGAAGTTCGGGGCCTTGGCCGGTTCGACAGCTACCATGCGCGGGCGGCTTGAGCTGGTAGTGCTTCAACAACAACAACAACAACAACTACAACTACAACTACAACTACAACCACAACCACAACCACAACCACAACCACAACCACAACCACAACCACAACCACAACCACAACCACAACCACAACCACAACCACAACCACAACCACAACCACAACCACACAACAACAACACAACAACACACAACAACAACAACAACACAACAACAACAACGACAACAACAACGACAACCACACACCACAACGACAACGACAACGACAACCACAACCACAACCACAACCACACAACAACCACAACACCACAACAACCACACAACAACAACAACAACCACAACAACAACCACAACAACAACCACAACAACAACCACAACAACAACCACAACAACAACCACAACAACAACCACAACAACAACCACAACAACAACCACAACAACAACAACAACAACAACAACAACAACAACAACAACAACCACAACAACAACCACAACCACAACCACAACAGCAACAACAATAGCAACAACAATAGCAACAACAACAACAACCACAACAACAACGACAACGACAACGACAACGACAACAACAACAACAACAACAACAACAACAACAACCACAACAACAACAACAACCACAACAACAACCACAACCACAACCACCACAACCACAACCACCACAACCACAACCACCACAACAACAACAACAACCACAACCACAACCACAACCACAACCACAACCACAACCACAACCACAACCACAACCACAACCACAACCACAACCACAACCACAACCACAACAGCAACAACAATAGCAACAACAATAGCAACAACAACAACAACAACAACAACCACAACCACAACCACAGCCACAACCACAACCACAACCACAACCACAACCACAACCACAACCACAAACACAAACACAAACACAAACACAAACACAAACACAACCACAACCACAACCACAACCACTACCACTACCACTACCACTACCACTACCACTACCACTACAACTACAACTACAACTACAACTACAACTACAACTACAACTACAACTACAACTACAACTACAACTACAACTACAACTACAACTACAACTACAACTACAACAACCACACAAGACCCCGCGCGCGCGCGCGCGCGCGCGCGCGCGTGCTCGCGCGCTCGCGTGCGCACGTGCGCTCGCGTGCGCACGTGCGCGCGCGCAGGCGTATGTGGGGGCGGCACGCTATGGCAGCGTCCTTTGAAGTCCTCCGATGCTCGCCCCCGGATTGTCAAAGAGAAACGAAGCCTCGATGATGCCCGCCCGGGCGCGCATCATGAGCATCAGCGGCTCCGGCCTCCAGGCATGCGTGGCTTATGGGGGGAAAGGTCCGTAACAACACGAAAACCACGGTATTTGGAGCGTTTTCTGCGTTTTGCAAGCTGCAGCCGAAACCCGAGGCCCAACCCGCTGATGCTCGTGATGCGCGCTCTGGTGGGGGTCCTTTGGGGTGGCCGATGCCCCCCAAAAAACATCAACAACGCGTCTTAAGCAAAAGCTAAAAATAGAGTCGATGATGCTCTCCGGGCCCTGTGAGGCACCCAAAAAATGCGTCCAGGAGCCCAGTTTCGGTGGGGAATAGCGCGTTTTTCGCGATAAAAAATGTACCTAGAACCTGATGCCCTTCGGAAGCCGAATTTGGAGCCGGATGTTGGCGAGCCAATGCCCCGCGGTAGCTAAAGCTAGGACGGGCGTGCCCGGATTGAAGGGCTGACGCTGCTGCCGCCGACCCCGCAAAGGGGCGGCCGGCAGTGGGGAGAAGATGCGGGTGGGGGTGGGTGGGGTGGGGGGGGGGGGGGGGGGGCGGGTGGTAGGGTTTTTTTTTTGTGTGGGTTGGGTTCTTCCCCTCCGCTCGACCCCAAGATGAAGAGGCTTTTAGGTGTTTTGAAGATGCTTGAGGAAGCTTGGCCAGGCCCTTGGCCAGAGAGCTGCTATGTGCCAGAGTGCTAGCCTCGCTAAAGGCTTTCTTCGGACGGAACACTCCATAAGTCTCCACAAGAAGTTTGCTTTCGCGCCGGTCGACAGTGGATCATGTCAGAGTGGAAGCCGCAACTTCTGGCAATCAAGGGGCTTCTGGTCAGTCGGTAATGCATCGCGCGGATGAGAGGAAAGGGATCTGGTAAACTCAGGGCCATGGATCAGACAGATGCAGTTTGCAGTTGTTCTATGATTTCAGTGTGTTAGAGCTAGGTATGGTCTTTGGGTTCTGTGCCTTAGTGCTTCAGGGTGCAAGTCTTGCTGGTTTATCGGCTTTTGAGTTGGATGATTGGTGCTCAGGCCTTTCATCTCAAGGGGTATAGGATCCAATTTTGAGTCACGCCAGCGTAAATCCAAAGGAGTTTCCAGATTTCCTCAGAAGCTAGGGCCTGTGGCTGGAACATGCTGGGGTAGGCTGATCGCAGCCTTATGTGCGGGTGACATCTGGGTGACATCTGCGTGACATCTGGGTGACATCTGGGTGACATCTGGGTGACATCTGGGTGACATCTGGGTGACATCTGGGTGACATCTGGGTGACATGTTCGGAACGACTCAAGGCCCTGACCCGCTTAATGCGTCCCCCATTGGTCCACCGATAGCACCACCACACCGGTGACTTCTCGTGTTCGATCTCCTATCTCCTGGTAGGGTCTGGGTTCAACGACAGATTGTGCTCCAAAAGGCCTGGAGTCCGTGGCTGCTTGGAAACATAGGTGCAACGGCCCAGGAGGAATTCGACCGACAAGAGTTTTGCAAAGTACCGGTGATTTGCAGGAGGGTAACAAAAAGCTGAATCGGCCAATAAGCAGCGTAAGAAGATCAAAGGCACATGCATGGAAGATATGGTCCATGATGTATTGCTCGCTTTGAGTGCTTTGCTGTCCGGAGAACCACTTGAACCAAGGATGGTTCGATATTAGACGTCTGCTCTGGTCCTCGACTCGGCTGCGTTGAATCTTCTTGTTCAGCGCCCATCTGCCAAGTGCTTTCGCGCGCAGCCTAGGCCGAGTTTTTCGAAGCACCTTGCGGCTGCATGGCCTTTTCCAGGTTCTGGACTCAAAGCAGGGAAAGTTCATGTGTGTTGCTTTTGTCACAAGGAAGCAGTACGCAGGCCAGCCCGTATTGCCTGCTTGGCCTTTGGTAACCTTTGTGTGTAGTCACTTGGCAGATCTTGGCAGCACAGAAGGCATTCCCCACTTCCCGGAACGACGTTGCTTTTTGGTTTTGGTCAAAGTGGCAGAAAGAGAAGACTCCCCAAACGATCGAGCCATCTAGACGATTTCTGAGGCCTGTAAGGCAATTGCACTGAGCAGAAGAGCTGCCCGAGATTCGGTTCCATGATGGGAACCGACTGGGCTCCATGAGAAGAAGCAGACTTGAAGATCACGCATGGTGGTTTTTGCGAGTGGTACATCGCTTATTATGTCCAGAGCTTGTGGCCAGCATGCAACATTATTATGACTCGAGTGGGATAGCAGAAGTCTGGTCAGCATGTCTGACTAGGCGGCTTGCTTGTATTCTTTCGCTTGTCTGTAGCAGCTGGATGTGGGCCACAGGCGGGAAAACGTGCTGCACTACTTAATCAATGCTTTGCTCTCTGATCTCCGCCGCTACCTGCTGATGTCGGTGTCCTGTTGGTGTTCTTCTGCTGCTCGGCTCCATCAGGAGATCTTGTACAGAGATGAGCTCCAAGAACATGGGACATCTCTTGAGACATCTATAGCCAGTCTCACCATGGTTCCGAGTGGGTTGCTGAGATTGGCTCTTGCATGCGTTCCATTTCGGGTACCCGAAAAATATGGCTCCATATTACAACACGGATCCCAAAGAGCCTATGATTGAGAGAACTGCCCATGTTCTGTCAGCCTTTGTAGTGGTTATTGTGGCTGACACCTATGAAGCTGGAAGTGCTGACTGCCAGCCATGGCTGCGGCTTGGGGCTGACACATCACGTGTTGAGTCCAGGAGTGCTCAGCGACGATGGCTTGAGGTATCTCCAGTTGGCCAAGTGGTCCAACTGTTGCTTGCTGCAGCCAGCAGCGATGCGCGGGCTTGTGGCTCAGCAAGGTCCCATGCAAGCCTTGGAGATAATGATGAGTCGACTCAGGCGCGGCAGCCTGCGCATGAAAGGCTCCAGGATCTGGAGCCCAAGTCTCATGGGGAATCGCAGCAGTTGGTGTAGTTACTGACTTTCGCAGCTTCGAAGAGCTGCCGAGGAACAGACTAGGGGCCGGGCTGGTGCCTCTGCTCCTCGAAGCATATGCCGGGTCCTCAAAAGAGGACTCAAAGAGATCATTCAGAGAAGCACTGGTCGATGCAGTATCAAGTCGGTTGACTGCAAATGGCGAGGCAGATGCTTCTGTGGATGCCCAGGGGAGGTATCTGGCAATTCTGATGTGCAAGAATGCTCGGGACTTAGATTTGCAGCTCATCACCGAAGCTACATACACATAAACCCAGAAGCTGGATGAAATTTTTTTCTACATGTCCCAGTGGTTCTCTCATTCCGCCCTTGAAAGCACGAAAAGCCACAGGACCCGACAAGGTGGCAGCACTTTTTCTGCGCCGTGTTCACATTCACCATCGTGTCAGAGAGCGCCGTGTGCAACAAAAGCAACTTGAAAGGTTGAAAGAGAAAGAAGTATGGTGAAGCCAAAAGTGAAATTTTTCATGAGGTCATGAAAAGCGAGAAGATGAGAAGAGAACCGCTCGACGATTACAAGTGGCTCCCAGCCTCGCTCCTTGTGCGCAGACGGCTACCTGCTCCCACAGCACAACTCGAACAGTCAAAGAGCAGATCTTGGCAGAGCTCAAAGCAGAGGGGACATGCTTTTTCAGAGTACGGAAGAGAGCGAGTAGAGCATAGGGCGGGCAATGGAAGGAAGCAGGAGACTAGCAAAAGCGAAGCAGGAACTGATTGCTTGCAGTTCTCGGCGCTAGTGGACATGGAGTCGACCTCCACCTGCCGTTGAATGACGTGAAGCTCTTTCCAATGTCCCATAATGCCTTGCAATGTGTTCAACACGTCTGTCTTTACTTTCTTTGGTAGATGTCAGAAAATGCCACACTCCGCGCCCACCTGCATTGACTTGACTCATTGACTTGCATTCGCTTGTGTCAACTCAACCACAAGGTTGTGGACCGCCAGTGGCAGCTGCGTGGCCGACGTCTTATGCGAGTCCATGCTGTGCAATCACACATATTCACACAAGTGCATGCAGCAGCTTTCGTGCATGCGCTTGCAGACAGAGACCATAATAGCATCGGCATTTGCAATCGGACCGACAGTTACTTGCAGTCCAGTCCTTTTTTTGGGTGTGTGTGTGTGTGTGTGTCTGTCATGCATCCGACCTCATGCAGGCATCCGACCTAATGCAGGCATCCCCCTCACTCGCCCCCGAGGGTAGAAAACAGGCCTACAGCCCAAACCCCAAGACCTCCTCTAGGCCGCGTACGCCATCCTAAGCCCCTACCCTGGGCCGTCTAAGACCCAGAAACCCGCAGGGTGCAGTCGGACCAAGGAAAATCTGTTAAAAGACGCAGAAAGTCTGAGTTCCCCCTTGTCTTACCTTTTGACGACGGGTCTTTTGCTCTGCAGTGCTCTCCTGTCGAACTGCTGTGGAACAATTCTGCAATCATGGAATGCGCTCTCCTTATGGCTGTCTGTTTGATGCTCTGTGTGTGTGCGCGCACACCCCAGGCTCCGGCAAGGTCATTTCAGCAGAGGAAAAGAACGCATTGCTCCCAGATCTGTCCCAGAGTGAATGTGCCGGGTCTGTGTTTTTGGTGCAGTCTCAGGCCATCAAGGAGCAATTGCTGCGTCTGGTCAAGGCGTGATGAGAGATGTGTACAAGAGGTGTAACAATGGAAAGGAGCGAGTCACTGTGAGTCAGAGGCCGCAACTTCTGGAGGATTGCCCCACCTTCTGGAGTTGACGATGGCAGGCGCCCAAGAAGCATGCCGTGCAAGTTGCGAGACGCTGCTACAAAAAGTTGTGCCCTGCAACATTGTAACATAGTCCACAGCAGTAATTGATTGCACCGCCCCTTTCACCAAGGTCCTGCGGCGAGTATGCAGATTTGAGTTCCCCATGAACTGGGCCTCAACCTTGGCGATGGCTGCGGATCATGCTCTTAGCACAGCTGCCTTTTTCTGCACTTTTGAAGGACGGCTTGGCTCACCTTCTGCTGGCTGAGCTGCAGGACTTTCGTGGAAGTGTCATGTAGGATGATGCAACATGCCTGAGGGAATCAAAGTTGCAATCGTCCGTGAGTCTTCCGTGACTCTGGATGCGGTTAGCATGGTCAGGGCCTGCGGGAGAGGGGTTTCAGCGAGGCTGTCCGATGCTTAGCACTGATCGCAATCAACAAACACATGATTCACTTCATTAAAAAGAACACAGAAGACTTCACTTCACAGTCCTCTGAATCCAATGTGGCTTGGGCCTTGCAGTTGCACAGAGACATCAGAGACCGCACACCGAGGCCCTGGCCGTGGTGCTGGTGCTGCACCAGGTGTCAGATAAGTCAGATTTTCGTGCCTTAGTTTCAGATCATGGCTGGCTTGTGTGACACTGTAGCCAGGTGCTCAAAGAGCAGAGCTCCAAAAGGCAAGTTGCTCGCCCTCCCCCCCCTCCCCCCCAGAGCAGCAACCCAACCCAAGGGGGGCTGAAGACTTTGTTCGGGTGTTGCGATGCATCGCGAGACGCGTCAATGATGATAAGAGGCTGCTGTCGTCAAGACGTGAGTTCCACCAGTTGGGCGGCTTGCTGGTGGAACCTCTGGGCGCTGTTCTGGGCTCGGCAGTGCAGAGTGCAGCGCAAGAGAGAGTGTGAGATCTTTGCGCGACACAGCAGCGAGATGAGTCAGACACCGGACACCGAGTCCGACAAAGGTCTGGGCGCTCAAGATGGAGCACATGCGCCACCTCAAGAACCAAGGGCTCGGGCCGCAGGTCTCACCTTTTGTATACAAGAAGCTTTTGATGCTGTACACTTGGCAATTTTGGGTCAAGCCCTGATTTTTGTGCGTGTTCTTTCGGAAAGGGTTCAGCGCAATTAGAAGTGTGAAGCTTCGGCTGAGACGCAGGGGCACACTGCATCACCGAAACCCCCTGTGCAGGTGGGGGTTCTCTTGGCATCCGGTCTTACTAAGCAGGCAACCCATTGGCCTCCCGTAGGCCTGCCTACAGGCTACCCGGAAGCCTACCGCAGACCTGTCTACAGGGATGCCTAACAGTAAGCCTTTGGGTTACATATGCCTCTTGTGGGTATGCTATCATGGGGCCTACGCATAAACCTGTCAGTAGCGCATGGCCCAGAGAGAGAGAGAGCGAGCGAGAGAGATAGAGAAAAGTTCTGCGTGTGAGAGTAGTCAAATCAGTCAAAGATCCAAGCTGAGGTCCGACTTGGTCGATGACCGACTTTGGCGGCTGAGTCGGCATTTGGATGGCTCCTTCCTGCTGCTGCTGGCGATATCCTCAAGAGGCTGAGAGCCGCACTCTGTTGTGAACAGGGGGTCACACTGAGGCCCAGGGCTTCGCGCACTTGCATGAGCATGTCTCTGGTCCATGCCTGAGGCTTCCGGTTCGATGTTGATCCTGTGTGGGGGAGATGGTCATCCTAATGACTTCTGCTTCCCGAGGCCCGCAAATGGTTCAAATGGCTCAAGCCTCGCTTCGGGAGTCGGCAGGGTTGCTGGAGTCGAAACTCGTGTAAAGCAAAGCCAAGACAGCTCATGAGGTCAAGGAGCACGTGGAGTTTCTACTAGTTGGAAGCTGAGTCTGGCGTGCCCTCACACTCACAAAGGCCTAGCCTGGGCCTGACCTCGACAGAGTGTGTGGGTGCATGTGTCCCAACATAGGTCGGTGTATGTCGGTTCCGTTTTCAAAGAGTTCACAATGCTCACTTGATGACATGTGCAAGAATTCTCGGCTTAGTGACAAGCCAGATCGAGCGGAACGGCCTGTGGAGTGTTTTTGGTTCGAATACAATGTGCAAGCGGGAAGGTTCGTGCGGCACCCCCCCCCCCCCTTAAAGGATACTGAGTGACTTGGCGCTCCTTATCTAGATCAGCCATGCACGCCATCGTGATCCATGGTGCGCCCCTTCGAAATTGGTGTCGATGAGGTGCTTCTGCAGAGCAACTCCGAGAAACTCATCAGCTGCCTTGCGCTCATGGCGGCGCTTTCATCATGGTTCCCTTTAAAGCGCGAAGCTGTTGGGCATCTGTTGAGCCCTTCGCGAGCATCTGGGCTCGAGCTGTGAGCCATTCGCACTCATGACTGCTGTTTCAGTGACCTCGATGGACGGAGCGTGGACCCAAAGTGTGGGTCCAAAGCGTGTGGAGATCGGGCATCCAAGAGATGAAAGACGTTGCCCAGCTAAAGTACCAATTGCAAGTGCTGGGTGTTCTCAGCTTCAGGGGGTTGGGGAAAGGGCAAGGAGGCTGTCAACTCTAGACAAAGACGAGCAGGTGTCTGAACATTTCGCGGAAAGCCTGTTCTTGTTGAGGATGGCGGGGTGGCGACTTTCTGCTCGCATGGCGGCAGCGCTTTGGCCCCTTGGGCTGCTTGGGCTCGTGATCCCTTTGGCATGTGCGACCTCCGCTTCCGGTTCCGCTTCCTCGGCTTCCGTCTCCACGCGCCAGCCTCAGTTCTGCTTTGCGGCTTTGCGGGAAAGAAAACTTCAGAAATCTGGGTACCAAGGGAGTTGCCAACAAAAATGCGACGCTTTTCGGGTTTAGGGTGTATCTTTGCTCTGGATGAGCTGCCTGGGCCTTGGGGTTTATCTTTGCTCCCGGTTTGGGTATAGTGTTTGGGGTTGGGGTTAAGGTCATTGGCCCTCATTGTGTTGCTGTTGGGTTGAAGAACCATCATGGGATCCAAGAAGACCCGGGGCAGCAACTCTTAGATTGAATTACCTGACTAAACTCTCACGAATATAGCTCAAACAAAAGCCACAAGTGAGCAATTTCTCAAAAAATCGCATTCCGGAAACATCCCTGAGATTCAGAAAGCAAGGTTCGGAAAGCAGGCCTGACATCCAGAGCCCAACATGCGACCTAAAAAGCAGCTTTCTTTCGGTGCCTCACGGCCTTTAGTAGACGCACGAGCCCGAAACCATGAACCCTGAAACGACCCTGAGAAAGCAACACTAAACCTTGAAGCACACTGTTTCGGGGTGTTTTTCTGAAGTGGCTTGCTGTGTTCCTGAAATCGCGAACCTGCTTTCGGAATGCTTCGTCCTGCAGTTTTCGTGGCTCATGGCTCGGAGGTGTGTAAACATTCGGATCTTTTTACAAGAACATTCTGTGAGAAGAAGGCAGATAAATCCACGGAGCTGTTTGCAACATCGGCGCTTAAACTGCGTTTCGCGTGGCAGGGTAGCTTATTGGAGCACGGGGACACTTCCGGGCCTCATGAACTCACAAAATGACGGCAGGGTGATTGATAGCATCTTTCTGCACGTTTGCTCACATGCTCCGTGGGCTTGTTGAAGACCTCGCGGTGTGACACTACACTGGCCGGCTTGCATCTATCAATGACAAAAGCACACAAAAATCGGTCTAGTCCGTACCGCGTTCATGAGGAGATGCAGAACGTGATTGATGTCCAGGCTAAGGACTCAGGCTTCGGGGATCAGGGGTCAAAAGGATTTAGGGTTTAGGATTAACATGTTGGGCTTTGGGCACAGAGCTCAGGCTGTTGGCCTTGATGTGTTTGCAGAGTTGCCACCGACCGTGAACTAGCTGTTTTCTTGTTTTCTCGAAATGTCCAAGTGCTTTCCGAATTTAGTTCTGAGTGTTGTCGCGTTGGGACTGATGCCTTTGTTCGAGTTGTTTTAAAACTTTCTTCCAGCATTGACAAAGGTTTGCGGTATGCAAATGCCTAGCAGCAACACAACAACAACGTGCACGTATGCGCAAACGAGAAAACCAAACCAGGACACCCTCTCTGTGTGTTTTCCCGAATGCTCCGCAGAAGGGTTCCCGTTTTAACGTTGGGTTGAGAGGTTACCAAACGTTGTTGCGTTGTGTCCGCCAAGCATTCGCAAGCGTTCGCAAAGCGTCCGCAAACGTCCACAAGCAACCGCGAGTGGCGTAATGCGTGCTGTTAAGGAAGAACTGCGCAGGACGCGCGCCGCCGTGGCGTTCCACGTGGCGTTCCGCGGCATTCCGAATCCGTCAAGCTAAGGTGGAACTCCACAGGACGCGCGCCGCCGTGGCGTTCCCCGTGGCGTTCCACGGCGTTCCGAATCCGTCAAGCTAAGGGGGAACTCCACAGGACGCATGCCGCCGTGGCGTTGCACGTGGCGTTCCGCGGCGTTCCGAGTACGTCAAGCTAAGGGGGAACTCCATAGGACGCGCGCCACCGTGGCGTTCCCCGTGGCGTTCCACGTGCCGCGGCGTTCCGATCCGTCAAGCTAAGGGGGAACTCCACAGGATGCGCGCCGCCGTGGCGTTCCCCGTGGCGTTCCGCGGCGTTCGGAATCCGTCAAGCTAAGGGGGAACTCCACAGGAGACGCGCCGCCGTGGCGTTCCACGTGGCGTTCCGCGGCGTTCCGAATCCGTCAAGCTAAGGGGGAACTCCACAGGATGCGCGCCGCCGTGGCGTTTCCCGTGGCGTTCCGCGGCGTTCCTAACGCCACGGCGGCACGCGTCCTGTGAAGTTCCCCCTTAGCTTGACGGATTCGGAACGCCGCGGAACGCCACGTGACGTGGAACGCCACGGCGGCGCGCGTCCCGTGGAGTTCCCCCTTAGCTTGACGGATTCGGAACACCGCGGAACGCCACGTGGAACGCCACGGCGGCGCACGTCCTGTGGAGTTCCCCCTTAGCTTGACGGATTCGGAACACCGCGGAACGCCACGGGGAACGCCACGGCGGCGCGCGTCCTGTGGAGTTCCGCGGAACGCCACGGGGAACGCCACGGCGGCGCGCGTCCTGTGGAGTTCCCCCTTAGCTTGAATCCGTCAAGCTAAGGGGGAACTCCACAGGACGTGCGCCGCCGTGGCGTTCCACGTGGCGTTGCGCGGCGTTCCGAATCCGTCAAGCTAAGGGGGAACTCCACAGGACGCGTGCCGCCGTGTGGCGTTCCACGTGGCGTTGCGCGGCGTTCTGCGGCGTTCCGAATCCGTCAAGCTAAGGGGGAACTCCACACCATGGTGGTGGTCCGTGTGGTGGTCCGTGATGGTGGTCCGTGATGGTGGTCCGTCCGCCCGCCACCGATGTTTCGTTTATATTGTGTTGTATTTACGTTATAATGTTGACCTAGTAATAATAACCCCCCCCCCCCTTCAATCAAACCCCCCCAAATAGAGTGAGGCCCCTTTGAATAAGGATTCCTTTCCTTAGAGAGAATTAGAGAGGATCAGAGAGAATCACTCAGGATCCTTTCCTTAGAGAGAATTAGAGAGGATCAGAGAGAATCAGAGAGGATCGTTTGTTTTGTTTGTTGGCGGTTTTTCTTGCTTTGTCTCCCTCTCTTTTCTCTCCATAAACAAGCAAAGAAAAACGGACCCCCCCAAAAAAAACGAGCCCCGACTGGCGTACTTTATTTCCAGGGCTTTATTATTGCGGCCGGGACACCTGGCGTCTTTAATGTTAGGGGCTTTAGTAATACTAGGTTAACATTAGGTGACTGCTTTCTGCATTCGGGTTCGTGGATCCTATCAGGTTTTTGGTGTGCGTGTTTGTGTGTGTGTGTGTGTCAACTGTCGACTTGAGGGTTTTGGGGGGGTTTGTTTCCAGCGAGGGGGAGGGGTGATGAATTGAGAGTTGATGGCAAGGTTTCGAGCTGCGTCAACGTTCTCTGAGGCATTGCAGAACGAAGTCCGAGCGATAGAAGTAGCATCCATCATACAGAAATGCGTTCACCAGCTTACCGAATGACTTGGCACGGCTTAAGGTCTCGGATTTTCATCTGAGGGTATGCTTCTAGTTTCTTTGTACGGCTTCAGGTATTTCTAGTGTACCTTCACAGCCGGCTCTGATGCCTCCAGAGCATCTCTCCACTCTATGGTGTGTAAACCGAATCGCTCAAACTGCAGAAAAGCATCGGCGAACGTCGCAAACTTGCAGCAAGAATGCAAAGTGCGTTTCTAAGCTGCAGGGATTCTGTTGCTAAAGACAGCGGCCAAACTCAGAAATCATGTCGGACAAGAAGGATATCCCCGTTCAGTAAACAAAGGCAAACGAAGAGCGGACAACCAGCTGTAGCCGAATTTGAGAGGAGTGAGTACAACAATTCGGTGCTGTTGCTGCTGCTGCTTCGGCGCTTTCTCGGGTCCGGCCTTTTAGGGTTTAGGCTGAGCTTGATGGGGTTTTGGGCTTTTGGGGGTCGTGGTTTGGAGTTTTTTGGCGCTTAGGCGTTTCGGGGTTTGATGACTTGAATTTAGAGCTTGGAGGGTCTAGTGCCGCTGCTTTCAGGGTTTTGAGGGTTTAGAGGCGAACTGGTCTTCTGAGGTTTTTGGTTTTCTGACTTCCTTCCTCTGTGTTGAATGTGGTTTACAATCATACTGGCTGACAGCTGGTGTGGTGTTAGCTGCTCTCGACAGCAGCAAGATCGAAAGGACACTCACAATTGGCGGAAGGATGCCATGAGAGCACGGCGTGGTTCTGAATCAAGCTCTGAATCATTGACGACACTGCAGCCGCATCAGCAGCAATAGACAACGTTCACGCGCGCCTGCTTTGCCAAAAGCGAAGGCCCCCGCGACCCTGGACAGCAAAGACATGTATTCCCCAAAAGACGAAGCCCACAGAGCTGTGCCGCTATCTGCGGCTACGTTCCAACTTAAGGCGAGCGCCTGCTAATCTCCTTGTGGCAGTCGTGGAGAACAACGCAGTCGGGGCACGTCCTTTGCTCAGGTATGCTTCCGAATGGTGTGGTTCGTTGCAAGCTGATGCACTTAGGCCAGCTTCTTGATTGGCGCAGTGATCTGTCTCTCAGAGACCTCCAGAGGCAGTGTGCCCAGAGTGAGTGAAGTCGGGAAAAGTACACATGAGTCACGCCGTGTGAGTCGAGAACGTGGCCCACCCGAGTCGAAAACGCCCAAAACCCCTGAGTCGAAACCTTCTCGGACCTGCCCCCAGAACACCCGCGTCGAAAACACCCGAACCCCCATCAGAAAACTCGACCCCTGCTGCTCTCCCGTGCGGTTTAGTTCTGCCTGACGGCTGCAAAATGGCCCCATACTCGAAGAATCTCGAAGATGGGTCTGAAATGTAGCGGTCTATGATAGACGTCGATAGACCCCTATACAGACCCTGTGGGTTTTCCGATAGGTACCTATGCCGTAAACCTATTCTCAGCATACCAAACCCCTACGCATAGACCCTATCCCTTTTGTCATAGACCCCTATGCATAGACCCTACCCCTACCTATACCACCCCCCCACGTCACATAGGCCCCTATGCATTTTTCCATAGGCTCTATTGCCCTCATAATCGACCCTATTCCGAAACCTACAGACCCCTATTTATTCTCATATAGCCACAAGCCTTTCAAAATCTATGTTCCAACCTGCATGCGTGTTCAGTTTCAGTACACGTGCCCTCCTCTGGTATTGGATTAGGGCTCAGGGGTTTCTAGGGTTTAGGGTTTTGGGGTCTTTAGGGTTTTTGGTTTTTTAGGGTTTAAAGGTTTTGGGGCATTTTAGGGTTTAGGCTCTGTAGAGGGTTTAGGGTTTAGGGGCTTGTAGGGTTTAGTTTTAGTTTTAGTTTTTGTTTAAATGATTTTTTCCAGGTTTAGGGCTCAGGGGTTTCAGGGTTTACGGTTTAGGGTTTTTTGGGGTTTGGGAGTAAGGGGTTTTCAGGGTTTAGGGCTTAGGGAGTTTTCGGGTTTAGGGTTTTTGGGGGTTTAGACTTTCGGGGGTTTTAGGGTTTAGGGTTTTTGTAGGCTCAGGGGTTTTCAGGGATTGTTGGCTCAGGGGTTTCAGGGTTTAGCGGGGTTTTTAGGGTTTAAGGTTTTTTAGGGTTTAGGGTTTTGGGGTTTCGGTAATTTTGGAGTTTAGGGTTTAGATGATTTTGGAGTTGAGGGTTCAGGGTTTAGGGTTGTTTTGGGGTTTAGGGTTGACGGTGTTTTCAGGGTTTGGGGTTTAGGGTTTAGGTTTAGGTTTAGGTGTTGTTAATTGTAAAACGGGTTTTCAGGTTTTAGGGTTTAGGGTTTTGTTAGGGTTTAGGGGTTTAGGCTTTAGGGTTTCTTGAGGGTTTTGGGTTGTTTAGGCTCAGGGGTTTTTAGGGTTCAGGGTTCAGTGGTTTTTTAGAACTTAGGCCTGAGGGATTTTAGGGTTTTGGTTTAGGGTTTCGGGTTTTTCAGGGTTTAGGGCTTCGGGCTTTGCAGGGCTTGGGGCTTGTTAGGGTTTACGGCTTGGGCGGTTTTAGGGTTTAGGTTTTTTCGGGGTTTAAGGGTGAGGAGTTTTTAGAGTTGAGGGCCTAGGGGATTTTAGACGTTTTTAGGGTTTAGGGCTTAGGGTTTTTTAGCGTTTAGGGTTCAGGGGTGTTCAGGGTTAAGGGCTTTGGGTATTTTGAGGGTTGAAGGTTTAGGGGTTAGGAGGCTTTTAGGATTTATGGCTTAGGGGTTTACAGGGTTCTTTTGGTAGCGACCTGTCTGAAAGGGATCGGGGTCTATCGCTGCTGAAGTAGCGGGGGAACACACGAAGCGGGACGGTTGGCCGGGGCGCAGCCCCCCCCCCTCCCCCCCTCCTATTTGCAAACACAATGCTCGCATGATGGGTTCGAAAAGCAACAAAAAAATTGAAGCAAGCTTGCGCGGCTTAACGTGCGAGGGGCGGGGGGGTGGGTTGGGGCAGCCCCCCCTCCCATTTGCAAACACAAAGCTTGCAGGGCTTAGGGCTTTCTAGGGTTTGGGGTTGACGGTGTTTTTAGGGTTTGGGGTTTCGTTTTCGGTTTAGGGTTTTCAGGGTTTAGGGGTGAGGGTTGAGGGTTTTGCTAGGGTTTAGGGTTTAGGCTTTAGGATTTCTTGAGGGTTTAGGGTTTAGGGTTTTCAGGCTCAGGGTTTTTGTGGTTTTTTGGAGTTTAGGCCTGAGGGATTTTTAGGGTTTAGGCTTTAGGGGTCTTTAGGGTTTAAGGTTTTCGGTTTTCTAGGGTTTAGGGTTTAGTGTTCTTCAGGGTTCAGGGTTTAGGGCTTTTTAGGGTTTAGGGTTTGGGGTTTACGGCTTAGGGGGTTTTAGGGTTTAGAGTTTTTTTGGGTTTTAGGGTGAGGAGTTTTAGGGTTGAGGGCTTAGGGGTTTTTAGATGGTTTTGGGGTTTAGGGTTTAGGGGGGGTAGGGTTTAGAGTTTTCAGGGTTAAGGGCTGAGGGTCTTTTTGGGGCTTAGGATTTGGGGGTTAGGAGGTTTTTAGGGTCTACGGTTTTTTTAGGTTTCGGGCTCAGGGGTGCCTAGGGTATAGGGTTTTTTCGGGTTAGGATTTAGGGTTTAGGGGTTTTGAGGGTGTAGGGCTTAGAGGTTTTTTTAAGATGTTACGGTCTTTAGGTTTTAGGTTTGGGGGTTTTTAGGGTTTCGGGGTCAGGGTGTTGTTTAGGGGTTTAGGGCTTATGAGGGGTTTTGTAGGCGCAGGGACCTGTCTAAAAGGGATCGGGGTCTATCGTGGCCGAAATAGCGGGGGCTGGGTTCAACAAAAAAAGGGGGGGGTTTGCAGGGGCGCGCCCCCCCGCCCCCCCATTTGCAAACACAATTCTCGCATGATGGGTTCGAAGAACAACAAAATTTCCGAAGCAAGCTTGCGCAGCTAAACACGCGGGGAGGGGGCGGGGGGGTTGGGGCAGCCCCCCTCCCATTTGCAAACAGAACCCTCGCATGATGTGTTCGAAAAAAGACTACAGCTTACTTAAATAACGCGTTCACATCTACATCTTACATGAAGCGCCATGCAACAAAGGTTCTTGGTCAGGAACCTCGAGACGTGCGACGTGCGTAGGGACCTATCTGAAAACGATACGGGTCTATCGCCCGCATGCTGGTTCTCGACCTTTAATATCTCCGTTCACATCTCTAAACAATACACATGTCGGGTCTTCCATTATAGCTTCAAGAATACATCTCTTAACGTTTCGTTGTAGAGGTTAATCTTGCTGTGCACAGAGTGGCTTTGTGACTCAGTCTCTGGCTTTCTGACTCGTGCGTGCTGGGTTTTCTGCCTCACGCCATTCCGCTTTCTGACTCGGTCCTCCCGGTTGTTTGACTTGGTCCTGCGCGATTTCGACTCGTTTGCCCGACTCGATGGTCACCCCCTTGCCCAGAATTTCACTGATGCGGCTTCTAAGATCAAGACCGACCTCTGGGTATGTTTCGTGCAGGCGCTCGCCTCTGCACTTGGCAGCTTCACACGGGCAGGCGCATCTGCTGGTGAGAAACTGCGTAAGGGCACTTCTTCCCAAAGCATGCAGAGTGATGATGTTTACCGTGGACTTCTTTTGCTTTGACAAGAACCATGGGTTCTCACCGTTTGCCCATTGCGCTGGTGCAGACTACAAAGCCCTTCTTACGGTAGACTCGTGCTGAGAGCAACTGGCTAACGTTACTGTCGACTCATGTGAAGAGGTTTGTGCCAGCTGAAGTTTTTCAGGAGACCTTGGCACGGCTTTTGCTGGCTTTCGATGCGGATCCGGATTCTCAGGATGCACAGCGCCGGACCCCACTTCATGCTGCTGCATTGGCAGGCAGCTGGAAAGCACCGCTGTGTTAGATGGTTTCTTAGGTAGCTTGTCGTTTAAGTGGCTGAGGGAAACTTTCGGCCTCTTTTTCCGTTGACCAGTAGAGGCCCATAACTTGAATCATTTCCCATGTCTCCAGGCACTTAGAAGTAAGTGACTGGGCTTACTTTACTTCCCAGCTATCTCCAGGGCCGGTACCGGCAACTTTATGAGAAAAAAAACGATTTCCTACTGCCTTGAGGCCATGTTGCTCTGGTCAACGCGTTGCTGCAGAACAGTGCCGATCCTGCTTCGGAAGATGAGGACGGCAGCAGGCCGAACAACGGAGCACGAGACTCCAGCTCTTCTCCTTTTTCCTATGCAAACAGTAAGAACCAGAGTAGAACCCTATTGGGCTTCTGCTGCCGAAGCCGCAAGCCCAGCCCGGAGCTCTGAGCCAGCAGCCACATGCAAGTCGGTTGATTTCAGCTTATGGCACATTGATTTTGAGAACCTTTTCAACAAAAAGTACGTAAAACAAATTTGAGACGACTGCTCACAGGCCACTTCATCTTGCAGCCAGGAGCAGGCAGGCAGTGCCTTGCTAGCATTGCAGATGGAGAACGCGCACTTGGGGGAAACCGTAGAATTTTGAGGCCAACATGTGACTGTGGCAACCCAGGTGGCACTAACAACATCTTTGCTCTCGGCCCGAGCTGATTTGAACGCTCCGAATGCGCATGGCGAGATACCATTGCATGTAGCAGCCACCGGAGGCAACGTGAAGCTATTGAAGCTCGCTGGATGCATGAGGATCATGTAGGATCTGCTTCAAGCCAATGATGTGCTTTACCAGCCCACTCGCCGGCATCGCTGGCATCGCTGGCACACAGCCAATCCTCATCTAAGGCTGTTGGTAGCCAGCCGAGCAAATCTCCATGCGCCAAGCAGGCGCGACACACGCCGGGCAGATCGGTAGATCATGGCTTATGGGCTCTACTGCAAGGAGCCCGCTCGTGGGTGCTGCAGAACGTGGCCATTCTGCGGCAGCTGCCGTCCTTCTGGACCTCGGTGCAAAGCCGCCCCTTCAGCCTGCTCTTCGGGCTGCTGCACGGGTTGGGTGTCCTTGCAGCATTAAAAAGAACATGAGATGAGTTCATCATAATTCAACCATGTCCGCATAAGGAAAGCTAGCTCGTTGGAGCCTGCTTTGGTGTTTGTTGGTGTGCAGCCAAAATGCCTGCTTGTCGGAACACGCAAGAAGCAGATAAAGAGTAAAGCAGGCACATGCGCACGCTTGCAAACCAGATCTCTGCCTCTGGAGCGTTTCGTTGGTGACACTCGCCCGGAACCCTCAACTCTAGCAGCTGTGATGCACAAAAGATCGCTTGTTGGTTGCTTGTTGGAACGCAGCAAAGCAACTTGTTTGCTGGAACAAACAAGCTGCATTCAGAGTCCAGCAGGCATGTGCACGCGTTAGCAAAACGGATCGGTAAAAGGCTCTTCACCACCGGCGTCGCTGCAGTTTCTACGCCGCTGCGGGTGCGTGTCTAGCTTTCGTAGCCACAGTGTCAAGTACAAACAGCCGAGGCATGCAAGCGTCGTTGAGGTGCTCCTAAGCCATGGAGCTGATGCCACCGCTGCCCGCCTGAGAAACTAGGACTCCTGCTGTACAGGCAGATGTCTACTCTACGTTCTGCTCGTCTCGATTCCCTGCTTTCGGAGGTTCCGGATGCCGAGGGCTTCAGTCCAGTCGACTGGGCACACGCAGCTGGCCATGCATCGGTGCTGTCGCTTCTGGGCTCCAGGAAGCTTCCCACAGCTTTGCACGTGTCAAAGTGTGATAAAGTATGACTTGGTTCTGCAGGATTCTGGAGCTCCCCGCAGACGGACCTGGAAGGCGCCCCCCACGATTAATACAGCTTCCACAATACATTCTCGGCTTCACTTGGTCAAGGCCTCCCCGGCCCAGTCGGACACTGTCCGAGAAGCTTGCAAGTTCCATGGAGTGCCGTGGCAAGAGACAGGTAGAGGCTCGTTGTTTGTGACTGTGTCTTGGCATGTGGGGGCTTTCTGACAATCTTGGAGCTCAGGCCTGCGAACAGCATGAACAGTGCAGCATCTGAAGACTCGTTTCGAGCACCGCTTTTCACAAGGTCGAGTCGTTCAGGCGGTTGAGCCTGGTGTTCTCAACCGCTGGTAACGTTTGTTGGCAGAGGCAGCCACATGAAAAGAGACGTCTCAACTGTCAACTGCCATCGGAGAATTCTGGATATGAATTCTGCAGACAGCAAAGCTTCAGGCTGTATCAGGCTCTTGTGGTTGTTGGCATAGTCTGAGGCTTTTCAAACGAACGCTGCGCAAAAATCACTGAGGCCCTTTCTTCCTCAAGAACCTGAAGTCGGTCCTGAAGTGGTGGGCCCTCCTCTTTCATGCTGGGGAGCCCTGGGGTGCACTGGAGAGCAGCGCGCTGGAGAGAAGCGCACTGGCCTGTAAGTAGCCTGTCGTGCGCTTGAGAAGTCCTGAGGCTCATCCACTGGCTTTTGCTCGGGCCAATGTGTGCCGGCCCAAGCGGTGTGACTGGGACTGAGCAGGTGCGAGAGTTGAAGCGTGCAAGGAGTACAGTGCTACATACGAGCGTCGAGGCGATGCTCCACCATTCGGCAAACAGCTCTGGGAGTTAAGACGGGTTAGTGTAGAGCGACCACTAGGCAGATTCGGTTGAGGTACGAGAAGCTTCATCATACAGCGTTGCCTTGTATCGTTTGGAGCAATGTTGGGGTTTCGGATGTTTCGGGCCGCGGGACCTGGAAACAGCATACCTCGCCGAAGCCTTGCTTAGTCAAAAATAGGCATCCGCTTGGGTTCAAAAGTCAGCATGTTCTTGTCATCGCCAACCAACTTCCCTCGCCAGGTCTTGCGAACCTTGACCGGGCTTCAGGTATCCACAGAGCTTGTACCTGAGCGAGCCGCGCATTGCTTGTAGGATCAAAGGACCTGTGCAGGTTTGCAGCCCTCAAGCTATGCTGATACTGTTGCAGCTTCTTTTGGAAAGAACGAACACCAGTTGCAGAAGGAAGTTGTCATCTTGGATGGTTGTTGAGTCGTACTTGTAGTGTTACTCGTGGGCAAGAGAGCCAAGAGAGAACGAAGGTAGCTAAGGCAGAGCCAGCAGCTGTGTTTTAAGTTCACGTGCGCCAAGGCTTAGACCCTGGTTGGAGGGTCTGCTGAGGAGCTCGTCGCTGCCTTGTGTCTGGCCGCTTCTGCGGCCCAGATCAGTATGACATGCCTGAGTTGCAGCGGAAGATGCCATGCGCATGCACGGTGAAGACCTAGGGCCTAGGGTTTCGTGCTTGTGGAAAGGTTTCATGAAGATTGCTTGGAAGTGCATAGAGCACAGCAGAGAGACTGAGAGGCTTCTGATGCTGGCTCATGGATTCAACACGGCGGGGGCTCCACTTTCCCGGGCTGCCATGAGAAATTGTGCGCAAGTGAACCGTGAAGTGTGCAGTGCATCTTTCGCAGAAGTAGCCAGGTGTCCATCCGCCAGGGCCCGCAGCCCAAGCAGCAGGGTGTTGCCCAGGAGGTCGCAACCAACTCCCGATGAATACTGCGGCTGCACGTGTGCAAGGATTAGAACATATCCTGGCTACCACTCTTGCAGGCTGCCGCCGCCTGTCACAGCCAGTTTGTCATGGGCTTATGGTCACCTTAAACCCATCCTTCAGCAGACAAACATGCATGCCATGCAAAGGGGCTTGAGCCAAATGGGTGCCTGCTCTGCGGTCTTTTGTATATGTGTACCCGCCACTTCGTCCTAGGGTGACTTCGTTCGCGGCCACGGGGTGGGAGACCTTTGCGAGTGCCACGGCCAAGTTGTGGTTGTGCCTTCTGTCCACGCTCGGGTCAATGCATCCTCTGCAGGCTTGCATGTCGTGCTGCGCTGCGCTTGACGGAGGAGGAGGCTGTGACATCACCGGTCTCCAAGCTATCTCCCCTTTCCTCCGCCCTGCTGAAATAGCAACCTGACAACCTCTGAAGATTCACGTGCTTGCGAGCTCGTTTCTTGACGTAATGCAGGTCTGAAGCTCTCACTTCCGTGTTCTGAACGCACCTTCGTTCATGTCCGTCCATGCTCACTGTGGGGCTTGTGCGAGTGGGGGTGGGGTGTGGACAGACTGGCGGACTTTGGTAGGTTCAGGCTTGGCTGGAGGAGCCTGAAGATCAACTCCTAGGCAGCGACAAGTCGTCTTGAGCACCCTCGGAGTCTGATGCGCTTTGAGCAGCGTGTCGAGCAGTGTGTCGAGCAGTACGTTGAGCAGTTCTCTTGTGCTGCTGCCAGGCCCACAGTGCCAGACAGAGCTGCACCAAGCAGGTCGGGGTCACGTTGTTGAGCAGCGACCTCCTTTTTCATTTGTTTTCAATTGTGGAGGCGAGTCTTGCGCCGGCCTCATACTAGCGGAGCTTGGCAGAGCAGAGCGTTTTGAAAGTGCTGTAGCGTCTATCAAGTACCCAGTGCCCTCCAGTACCCGCCAGCACCCTTCAGTGTCCCACCAATTCTCCTGTGTCATCTGCGAGGTATCCGTGCCTTGGGGCAGCCTCCCCTTCATCAGCCACTCGTGGAGCAACTCGCCGGTTCAGCTTTGCTTTTCCATGACACTCCGTGACTGATCGTGCTATGGCGTCCTAAAGGTCAAGTCATGTCAGCGTTGCGTCTTATATGTCGGCAAGGCACATTGCCAAGCGTATGCAGGACGGTGCCGTACGCCGGTTCTGCTCGCGAACTTACATAGCACTTCGTGGCAACCGAAAATGCAAGAGAAGTTACGGGCCATAGCGACACTGCAGTGACGGTTCGGAGGAGGAGATCGCCCAGCCACCCTCGCTGAATGATGCCTTCGAATTGGTTGCGAGGAAGGACTGTGCTCCGGATGCACCGCCCCTGCGGATACCTGCAGTGGCCGCTGCTCTGTACAGGATATGTTCCTGTCCTTGCTGGCCCTGTGCCAGTCACAGCTAAAGCCGCACTTGCAGCCCGGATGCCCGGAATCGGAATTAGATGGTGAAGTCCTTGTGTTGCGGGCATCGCGGGCATCCACGGGCAGGTTTCCAGTGATGCTGGGCTTCTTCAGCCCGATCGCCAGCCTCGTGCCGCACCTCGGCCCGCAGGCGCCACGCACTTTGTTTTTTTTTGATCGCCTCAGCCGATAGCAGCCGATAGCAGCCGATAGCAGCCGATAGCAGCCGAATCTGAGTCCAAGAGTCCAGGCGGCTGGCATCCTGCTTCCCGTGCGGCTGTGCGTGGTCATCAGGCCACCATGGCAGACCGTGAATGCAACAGTGCACCGCGCCCACAAATGTTCACGTATGCTGCTATTACATGTGTTTGCATGTGCTTGGATTCTCGGGTTCTGTCGGGTTCTGTTGCAGGGCCTGGGCAGCAGAGATTCCCGAGAATGCGTTGGTGCCATGGTCTTGGTCCACCGAGTGGCGACCGCTGTAGCTGAGAGAAGGGGGTGAGAGAAGAATGCGTTCAGTACTAATTGTGCAGGCTCAGTTTTCCAGCTGTGAGGTCTGTGGTGCAGTTGCTTCAAGGTTTTCTCCGAAGCGAGAGCCCGAAGGTTGGAGATACCAAACGGAAGAGCATGATGGCATGGAGGGTGGAGGAGGGGTGCTGATCTGCTGATCGACAGGCAGTGCGACTTGCAGCACTGTCACCGCTGAGAGCGATGTGCGGAGCCCCGGAGTTGCGGCCAGGCATTTCTTATGAAATCTCCGCTGAGCATTCCAGGCACCAGCGCTTGCTCTGCTCAAGCATAAACTAAGGCTGGATCGCTTCTCAGACAGTGAGGCATGGACGGAGGCACTTCGATTTGGGCACTTCTCTCGAATTTGGCCAGAATGATAGAAGTGCTCTCCAAGCGACTCTAAGTGGTGTCCATTTCTGGCAGGTTCAAGGTGGGCTGATTGACTCCTGCTTGGTGGGAGCCCGTGCTCTGCCATGTTCTTGTGTTCTTGTGCTCCTTCTCTGCCCCTCAGACGTAAAGAGCTTTTGTGTTCATTTTGTATGGATCCACCTTTTGCTGTCCTCGAAACACTTTAAGGCATGCTCTTCTTGTGATGCTCCCTGAGGCTCTTCTGAGCATTGTGAAGGCACCTGAGGTGCAGTGGCGTTGTTCGGAGCTCGAAGGTCTCAAGAAGTGGTCTGAGCCTTGCATGGCTTGCAAGATCCGAGGCCTGAATCTGATTCACCTGTTCTTGGTTGAGGAGGCCGAGAGTGGCAGATACCAGGCCTGTCCCAGATCCTCCCAACGGCATGGTGACATGGTGCGTTCTCTGTTAGTGCTGTATGGGTAAAGGCCACGGAGAAGACTCTCGAGCAGCTCGTCACTCTCTGGTGCCTTGGTTGTGGTTCACAAGTGAGATCGGGGGAAAAGTTGCAAGTGTGATAGGTGGACTTGCCGGACCGTTCTGGCAGGCGCCGGCCAGAAGAAGGTGAGCTGTTGATCCGCCACGCGCTCTTGGACGTACTTCGTGCCTTGGTGCTCATGTGGCTTGGCTTGTCAGAACGTGTGGAGCTATGTTGAGCTATGTCGAACTCCCTTTCCCGACTCGTGGAACCCGTCCAGGTCGGACAGGACCCGAAGCCCTCGCTTGGCTTTGTCGCCACCACTCTTGTCCTGCTGCAGCGGGCTCTGCTTGGCCATGATAGCGCATGTGCGCAATCTTGTGCTTGAGACACATCCAAGGTCTGACTGTAATCTCAGACTGCTATGCTGTCCACAGAGGCGGGGGGAATTGTGTTCAGGGCCACTTGGGGACTTGGCCCTGGGAAATAACTTGGATGGCATGAATCTGCATCTGCAGGTCCGTCGTCGCCACAGCGTGGCGGCTACGAAGCCACTGCAGCGTTGCAGGCCGGGAAGCCATAACGGCCATGTCGCAGCATTTCAAATGTGCAGCCTGTGCCGGCACGGCGAGTGCCTTGCTAGCAGATCCGCAAGATGCAAGTTCCACAAGCTGTTTCTGCACAGGCAGATGCGGAATCAGCGGCAGGTACGCTCGGTGCAACTTGAATCAAGTTTTCTTATAAGCTGGCTTTAACCTGGCTATAGACATGGCAGGAGCACTGGGCGATGCAGGCAGCGCGACTGCAACGCTGTTCGACTCTGGCAGTGTCTGCGACCTAGAGGCAGAGGCAAGCGCCACTCTGCATAACCTGGGGGCTGTGGAAGGTCCTGTTCTTGGGCGTGCTGAGAACAGTGGATGTGGAGCAGGCTGGGTCGCACCAAGAAGTGCTCTAGTAGATTTGAGGTAGACATGGGTGGCCCTTCTCAGGCAGCTCCATTGATGCCTTTCTTTCCCAAGCTACTTGCGCAGCAGACTGCTATGGGCGCACTATGCTGAGCTGTGTGGCGATATGTTCCACAACCTGAGGGCTGAACTGCCGCCATGGCTGAGGGACCGCCGCCAGAGTGGACAATGGACATCCTGCTGGAGCTGCACTCTGAGCTTGGGACGTCGGGACGACTTCTATTTTGTGCGTGCGTGCTGAACGCTTCGCGCTCCGCCGCGGCCCGTGTGCCGGCAGAAGCTGCAGATTCACGCCGGAGCCGGATCGAGTTTCAGCGTGCCAATTACAAGAGGGCGGGAACAGTCCCTGTGCCCGAAGATGTTCAGGAGCAACAGTTTCACTGTCCAGAACCACAACCCCCCGTCCAGGGTGATCAATGATTAGGGCCATTAGGGCCTAGAAGATGCCTGCAGTGAGGCCCATGGCCTGCAGCCTTGATAGCCTTCAGATGCCTTCAGATTCTTGATAGCCTTGCACATAGAGCTTAGGTACTGTGCTTTGCACTGCTCGGGTGGCACCTGCCTCAGTGCGTCAGTAAGACTCAGATCCTCACCACTGCATGAAGCAGGATGTCCATGTGGTCTGAACCAAGTGGACAGTAAGGTGCGGCTGCTCACTTGGCGCAGTTTTATCCCGCTCTGCTCCAGATTTGCTGGGTACCTCAGCTATGGCTCTTGCATGGTGTTGCTGTCGGCTGAGTCGGAAGGCATGCGACTTGCACTCAAGGCCAGTCGCAGCTGAACTTGCCAGATCAGAGTCGCACGACAGACATGTGCCGCACACTGAGATGTGCATCACAATTCGTGTCGAAACAGAGGGTTGTGCACCAAGCTGGTAGCTTGCATGCTTGGTCAGCACGGCCTGTGAAATCACACAGTTGAAAAGCCGAATTGACTCAATGACCTTCCCGAGCCAATGATGTCGCTGTGTTGTCCTGTTGCCATGGTGGCATAGGATGACTCCGCCTGCGCATGAAAAATTCTTGGGTCGTGAGCTGGATGAGTTGAGGCTTGCAGCTGTTGCAGTCCATTCCTCAGTCGACTTCTGCTGGTACTGTAGAGCATGTGCTGCGTGTGGAGATGCTTAATGGTCTTGGCACAAGCATTCTTCTGCCATTCCGCCGGTACTCAACTGCAAGGTTGCTTGTGGCTCATGCTCCAGCGGCGGATGCCGGGATGCTCAGATGCCCACGGAGGCTGTCGTGGATGGGTTGCGGTATTGTCATTGTTGCTCAGGCACTAACGAAAGCACGTGAAGTGGCCGTGTGGGGCACAGATTCCTGGGGTCTGCGTGAGCCGTAGCAGCAACTGGACATGGTTGACGGCAGGCTCCTCTCTTCAGGCTGTGGGTGCTTGCCCCATCGCTGCTCTGATTTCCGGCACTGTTTGGCAGTTTATCGGGATCCTTTCAAATTTGTGAGGTCACAACGGCCAACAGCCAACCTGGAGCCACCAAAAGCGTCATGCTCTTAACTTTTTCACAACATGGACCGGGCCACCGGGGGATGCCAAAGGCTTTCGCGTACCCGATGACCACCTTCCTCGGGCTGCTTGGGGTACGCATCTCAAGGTGATCAAAGGCTCCGAAGTTTCCCCGAAGTTTCCCCATTTTCCGGATGTTTCCGGCCCTGTTTTCAGAGGCCTGGCATGCCGCCCACCCAAGAGACTTCGTGGAGCAGGCCGACAGCAGGGCCTCGACTGTGACCGACTTCAGTTCACCTGCTATGAACCCTCTACTTGCCCTGCGTATCCTACCTGCCCTACGTACCGCTCATACCGACTCATACCACTTGGCTCTCTGCAAGGCCCATGCAGTGGGGCCACAGCGCGTGGCACTTCTGCTCGCGGTCTCCTGCAAGCAGGAGCCGTGCCCATCCTTGCCCAAATCTTTTCGCCCATTGGGGCCCTATTGTCTGGGCTTGGCAAAGCCTTGCTTTGCACTATTGTCATTGAAGAATTGCCTCGCGAGCTAGGCAGCCGCGGTCGCTCTACGATCTGCTGCTCGGTGTTGCACAAGAGCAGTATGAAAAGATTTGCAGTCGACCAAATATGCTCCGCCCAGTCTGTCATCAGTGCTGCGCTTGCACTGGCAGAGACTGGTGTGGATGACACGCCGATGCCTGAGAGAAAGCCACGAAGCGCCACGAGCAGAATCTGGCTGTGGTTTCTGGAGTGCAGGGCCTTGTCCTAGAGTGGCACAGTGTGCGTCGTGTTCACGATAGTCAAATCTGCGCCGAGAAATTCAAAGATCCCTCGAACTTACCGGAGATTTGTTTTTCGGCTTTCTCTGTCTCTTTCTCTGTCTCTGTCTCTTGCTCTTGCTCTGGCTCCTGCCCTGTCCCTGTCCCTGTCCCTGTCCCTGTCCCTGTCCCTGTCCCTGTCCCTGTCCCTGTCCCTGTCCCTGTCCCTGTCCCTGTCCCTGTCCCTGTCCCCGTCCCCGTCTCTGTCTCTGTCTCTCTCTGGCGTTCAACAACCTCTGTGGACTACATAAGGTTCTGGAAAGAGATACTGAGCAGCTGCAACGCCCTCAGCAGCTGCATGCGCCAGGGAGCTTAGCCGTTTTGCTCCGTTCAACCTCGCTTGCAGGCAATGATCTGATCACGGCAGCCCATAGGGGCATCTCCAGCGCACTCGCACCTCGGCGTTTCAGCCACTCTTGCTGTTGCTTGGACTTGCTTGGGGCTTGCCCACCTGAGGCTAAGACGCTGCAGTCCCTCAAATCGAAGCTCTCTGCAAAGCTTCCTGCACCAGCTGGACCCTCAATACAGCACTGTAATGTGGGCACAGAATGTGCAGATGATTGCGGATGATATCAGCCGACATCTGCCGTCTGTTGCACGCTGGATGCTGACTATCGTCTGGTTGATTGCATCACGGCTGGACGAGGATTGCATTGGTAACCTACAGTTCAGTAAACGAAGAAGCGCACGCCTGTTCACTTTAAGGACCATCAGTCATCAGTTGTAAGTTGAAAGCAGCCCGCAGGGACAGTAGAGTTTGCCTACCAGAAGCTGGAACACAAACCGCACATCCTTCTCTGAGTTTGTCTTGAGTGCATCTGCCATCTCCTCCGCCGAAATTGAAGCATGGTCTTGCCGCGTGCTTTGCTTCCTGGACTGCCAAGCGGACCGATTTCACAGAGGGATGCAGATTAAGGTGGCCTTGCTAAGCGGCAAAGTAGCCACTCTGCAGCTGCCGGCAGAGTCACAGATCCTCGAGCTGAGTTCGAAAGCGCAGGAGCAGCTTCACGTTACTATCAAGGACCTGGTGACAGCCCAAGGCCAGCTCCTTGACAGGTTCCAGACGTTGGATGAGGCGGGGCTGGAGGATGGAGACACCGTCTCTGCCACTGTTCGCAGGGCAACCCTGGTCTCGAAGATGGGCGCTGCTGCCTTTGCTCTGTTGAGAGATGATGGTTCGGTTGTGACCTGGGGTGATCCCTCGTCAGGCGGTCGTAGCACGGCTGTGAAGGAGCAATTGCAGGACATTCATGATGTTGTGGCCTCCGATGGGGCATTTGCTGCCGTCCGGACAGATGGCAGGGTAGTAACCTGGGGGGATCCAGACTTTGGTGGTGACAGTAAGGATGTCCAACAGCATCTGACAAGAGTAGTTAAAGTTGTGGCTTCGACATATGCCTTTGCGGCAATTCGTTCTGATGGGAGTGTGGTGACTTGGGGGGTGAGTTACCCAGGCGGAGACAGTCGTGCCGTTCAGGCACAACTGAGACACGTACGGCACATCGTGGCTTCAAGTTATTCCTTTGCAGCAGTCCGGGCTGACGGAACGGTGGTGACCTGGGGATCTAAAGCACCCGACATAAAGTGCGAAGATCGACAAGCTCAGCTGCAAGATGTTCAAGACATCGTGGCGTCACACAACGCGTTTGCTGCACTCCGGTCCGATGGGAAGGTGGTCATTTGGGGTGACTATCGCTTTGGCGCCCACGACGATATGCAGAACGCGCTCACGGGCGTAACCCAGATAGCTGCCTCTCAGAGGGCTTTTGCTGCGACACGCGTAGATGGCAGTGTCATCACTTGGGGAGTCGCTGAGTATGGAGGAGACAGCAGCTCGGTGCAGGAACAGCTGAAGGATGTGAAGAAGGTCGTTGGCTCACAATATGCTTTCGCTGCCATCTTGGGAGATGGGAAAGTCGTAACCTGGGGCCAACCTGGCTCTGGTGGAGACAGCACATCAGTTCAACCTCAGCTGCGGGAGGTGCTACATGTCACGGCTGCACGCAAGGCCTTTGCCGCGCTGCGTGCTGATGGTTCGGTCGTATCTTGGGGGCACTGGGAATCTGGTGGGCTCCAGGAAGATTCGTTAACCGACGTGGTGGAAATTGCAGCTTCAAGCAACGCATTTGCCGCTCTGCGTGTTGACGGCACAGTGGTCACCTGGGGCTCTGCAAGCTTCGGCGGTGACAGCAGCGCTGTGCAGGACGAGTTCAATGAGCTTAATGCCCCAAAGGTCCGCCGGGCTTACACATTCAAGCGGAAGTTCTCCGATATGTAGTGGGTGACAGACAAGCTCCCTGTTGCGGCCGTCCAAAATACGGAGACCCTGCTCTCCGTTCACCCGAGACTGCGACCCGGAGCTTTGATTTGAACTTGGGAAGCACATGCTCTCAAATCAGATTTGCTCGAGTATGACTTGCTCAGGCCCGCAGTGCTGCGGAGTTGCAGATGTGCCTCCTGCATGGGGCTCAGGTTCAGTCGGTTCAAGCAGACATCGAGTTACGTCGAGTAACGGCGCGGTCACCAGGTATGCTTCCGGAGGTAACATCTTGCTGAACTATCGTGTGATTCTGAAGTACGACAGAAACCCACTAAGGCCCACGGATCTCAGGCAGAGCAACCTCAAAGAGGCGGCTGCACAGGTGAAGTGTGTAGACGAGTCCGACATGTGCCGATTGAATCCAAGGATGGCTCTCTGGAAGATGCAACCGTGGCGCGCCATTTGCCTCAAGGATGCTGAAAGATCCACATGCGCCAGCATGCCTGAACAAGAAATATATAAGGGCTTGGGAGTTTCGGGTTTAGTTACTTTAGCTAGAGCCATGGCATTTCAGGGCCTGTGTCTGGGCTTGGCATCGTTTTCAATCTGCTGGCTGTCTCTGGGTCTTGCCCCTGATTTCTAAGCTTTCCCACTATGGTTTTCAGATTTTTTTGTTTTCAGGACTGGTCCATTCTCGAACGCCTCGATGGTAGAAGTGGGAATGATTCAGAATGTTGGTATCACAAAAAAAGCGTCGGTCAGGAAGAGCTTGGCAGCAGGATAGTTGCGCCTTCAAGGTTGGATCCCGTGAACTCTTTACGCCGTTGTCTGCATTCCAGGTCTCAGCTTTGATTCTCAAACCATGTGGGAATCTGATGATAAGAGAAATATAGCAATTTGGGTATGGTTTGATCGCGATCTGTCTGGGGTGAGGGGGGGATGGGGCAGGGATGCAGGAGTGGGGTATGAAGTGAGTCGCGTCTGTAGGAACAAACCATCCATTAAGGTGTAGTGACCCCGCATACCTATTCTTTGTTTGGTTCCGGCGATGATCTGCTTTTGATGCAAAACTTGTTGGGCAATTTCCTGGATACTGAAAAGCTTTGCGGACCGTTGAGCTGAGGCTGGCTCTTTGGCCGACTGGCAGCCGCGCCCCTGACAAATGCCATCTTGGTTCAACATGTTCAGGCTCAGGCTTGAGGGGTTCCCCATTTTCATGTCTTGCATGTATCACGGCCAGAGCTGCACATGGGTGCAACAGTTACAAGGCAGATCCTCGTCCAGAAACATACGAAAGGGAGCGCAGCACTACAATGCGCTGCCCATGATTGGCAGGTGAAGGCAGTAAAGGCACACAGAAACACATCACAAACACATCAAAACCACACGAACAGAAGCCACTCCAAGCCCAGGCCTGGCTAAAGCAGCTGGGTGCCACGCACGGTGAGCAGGTGAAGGCATTCGCTGACTCCAGAACTATGCCTTGCAATGTGTGTGTGTGTGTGTGTCAATGCTTTGGTTAACGGGCCTCAAAGACCAACGTCGGCTATCTGCGATAAGAGGGCATTCATTGAAGGTCCGGTGTCAGAAAATCATTGAAGTGCATTAGAACACCATGATTGTGGCGGCATGTACCAAATGGTTAGGGGATGATGGGTGGGTGATTGTTTAGCTGGCTGGGCTAGGGGCACTGGGCTGGGCAGACCGCCAAAGCAACTGCTATAAGGGGAACATGAACCTAGGCTTATCCTCCTCTGGGGCAAGAGGAGGGAGTTGCGCTGTTTGACATGTTGTAAATGTCCAGTTTTAGATGGTTTTAGGCCTGATCGCGGTCAAATGCAGAGTTCTGGTTAGGGCACCCCTCCCATCCCCCCCGCCGAACAAGTTTTAACCTGACGGTAGGGTAGTGTATGTTTCGTGTTTTTGACGCGAAAAGTTGTTTGTGGGCCTCTTCTGCTCTGCTTGTGGGCTGCTTTTGGGCCTCTTTCATGTGACTGAAAACTTCAAGACTTGGCATTCCGGTTTCAGAACTTCGGGCTACGACCTTGAAGGCTGGAGGCTTTAGGGTTCAATCTTGGGCTGTAGGTTTTAAAGGCTACAAACCTTAAAGGCTTCAAAGCATTGACTCCGGAGCCTTCCTGGGTTTTACACATTTACGTATTATGAAACAGAAGGTTCCTTTTTTATATTGGTGAGTGTATATACTGGGTGTCTTTTTGTGGATACAAAGGGGTTTTAACCCTACTTCAAAGGTAGTTCTTTCACTGCAAGCCTTTGGGAAATGCTCAGATCTGGAAGGCATTGCTGGCCGCTGCACCTCAGCAGGCAAAGCTGCACTTGGAGACTTAGAGCTTTGCTGGTGCTCAGTGCAGACTTGGCAAATCTTGGTAAGGTGCAGGATGCCCTGAGAAGCAGCGGCTTGTGAGGTGAAGAAAAGTGTTCCGCGCTGTGCTCGCGTGCTCGTATATGGCTCCACGGAGTCAGTAGGCGGCATCAGTTCACCTCAGTTCGATGACCTTTCATGACCAAAGCTTATGGATCCAAAGCTTCGGCCTCTGCAGCTACTGTACACTGGCATCTGTTTGAAGAACCCGGCAGTAGACTCACTAGCTCTACATATGTTCTCAGTTGAGTTTGCGAAAGCACATGTTACTTTTTCCTGGTCCTGGTTTCCGCGGCTGCGCGAGTTGAACAGGCCGCGGCCTTGGTTAGATGCAGTTGAATGATGCATCGCTCAGCCCACAAGCAATACATGCCTAAGAGGCTCTTCCTGCATTTGATGGTTTGTTTTGGCTCTTGCTTTGTGTTCATGCTTCAGCCGTTTGAAAAATCATCAAGATGCGTTAAGTGAGCTAAGCGTTTTTCATTCAACTCGTACTTCAACTCCTAAGGTGCTCACCTGACCATGAGCGAGGCCCGGGATTGGCATCATATGACGCGATTGACAACCGACTGACTCTTCGATTCTTCGAGTCTTCCAGGCTTCCATGACACGCTTTTGCTTTTTTCGTCACGTTGGCCTTTTTCGGCTTCAGAGACTGAAAGCCCGGCCGGCTGAGCGTCATGGGAGCCTTGCTCTCTGTGGCTGCTGTGTGGGGACCTCAGTTGAAGCGCTGTAGTGTTGAGTGTTCCTCAATTCCCTTTGATTTAAAGCAACAATGGCCAGGGCCTGGGCATCTTGAGACCGAACCGAACGGCATGCCACAGTGCCTTGGCCTGGACAAGCGATCCCAACGCCACCTCAGCAGTTTCAGCCACAGACTGCAAGTTCACACGAGTGCCATGCAGTGCCATGCAGTGCCATGCAGTGCCATGCAGTGCCATGCAGTGCCATGCAGTGCCATGCAGTGCCATGCAGTGCCATGCAGTGCCATGCAGTGCCATGCAGTGCCATGCAGTGCCATGCAGTGCCATGCAACATGTCCTGGTTTGTTGTTGTCCATTGTCCAGTTTTCTCGCAGCGTCGCTCCCTCAGGCCGTCGCAGCGCCATGTGATCCTTGCCGCCAGCTTTGCCTCAGCAGTGATTGCGCACGCAGCCGTGGCTGAGGAGCGGCGCTTCGTGCGCTGGAGGGACAGACACAAGAGTCCGGGCTGTTTGCTCTTTTGGGACACGGCACGCTGTAGAAACAAGGAAGAGGCACGTCAGAAGCCCCTTGTCGGCCGAAAGCTCGTCGATTTGATTTGGTAACACCCGAACCAGGTTTGTCAGGGGCGAGCTCGGTAGCTTATCGGGAGCCTTCAAGAAAGACTCGTAATTTAATCGTAGTGTGCTGTTCAGTGGACTCTCTTGTTGATGGGGTTTCGCTCGAGTGCCCAGTAGCTCATTCGTGCCCTCGCTAACTCATCCAGTTGCCAGCAGCTGATGCATCAGACGAGGCACTCGTGGCCATTCAGCATTTCAAAGACCACATCACACGTGACTCAAACGTAACTCACACGTGACTCACGAGGAGACCTGCCTTCTCCAAGTAACCTTAGAGCTGCCGCAGGCCTCCGTGCACAGCAGTGAGAGAAGGTTTCAAGTTTTCTCGAGGTGGTACATGGTAGCCGGGTCCATGTCGATATTTTCTGAAAGGGGTGTGGCTCAAGTGCTTCTGAATGCATTTCAGAGTCTTGGTGCTCATTCGGCAATTTGAAGCTGTGTTTCTCAGTTTAGGGGACATAGGGTACATTCCGCAAGAGTGTTAGCGAGATGATCCATTGGCTCCATTGGCAATGGCTGGCGCGTTGGTAGAGACGTGTGATGACTTGGAGGCCCGGGGTCACGAGCGGTTGAGTGTGCTCGTTTCTCTCCGTTACTTTCCGATACTCTCCGTTACTCGGCCCGGGGCCGCTAGCTGGCAGCCTCCGGACACAGAGAAATTGAAAGTCATGATCGCCATAGCTCCAGCCTTGAACTCGTGACAATCGCTACTCTGACAGACTTAAAACGTTGCGCGGTGCTGTCCGAGAGTGCTGCGTTCACAGGCCACGTACATCAAGGGCCGCTTGGAGAACTTGCGAGGCAACCACCGAGATGCTGTGGCCCACTTTGGGAAAGCGGCCTGCCTGTCAGGCCTGAGCCATGTGTGCCATTGCGTGCCATATCGTGCCATGCCCATCCATGTGATGTCACTGTGATGTACGATTGCGACGATTACTGTTGCGGGTATAGATCGGTCTCGATAGGTCTAATGTGGCTAAGCACCTGTGTGGTTCGTCATCCTCCGAGTCCAGCACTCTTGCGGAAGCAGAGCGTGTTCACCCTCAAATGCTTATGGAGACTTGGACCTTCCGGATTCCGATTCTAAGTGTGCAGGCAGAAGCCCCGCGTTTCAGAGGAAGTGTGAGCGAGGCGTCCAGAAGGCATTGCAACACCTCGAGGCTGCGTAGCAGCCAGCGTCAGCCAGAGTTCCATGAGCAGTTTCACAAGCGTGCAGTCATGGCAGGAGCAGCACGGAAAATACCAGTGGAAGGAGCTTTTCAAGGCTGGAAGCCACTGGATGCAGACCGTGCTGAAGCCCGTGGTCCTGTCTTGATAGCGCCGTAAACCTCCCTGGGATCTAACTTGCTCTGAGGCGGATGCTGCAGCGCTACTAAGCCAAAGCGCAGACGCCCCGGAGCTGGCCGTGGCAGGAAATTGAGGGCTGCGGGAGGGAGTCCGGGTGTGCTCTTGCGTGCGCTTGCTCTGAAGCCTTGACTCCCAGCTTTCACGGATATTTGTGCATTGAGTCTTTGGCGTGACCACGACAGAAGCCCAGAGCAACACAAATTGAGTTTTGCACGCGTAGAGCCGGAAAGAACCAAACAATGCAACAAATTTGATCAATAGCTCCCAAGCAGCTGAGACATCTGAAGCTCAGTGACCACACAAAGCGACGATTGATCATGGATCAAGTCTGGCTGCCAAATTGAAATTGGAGAACAAGTTTTTCGGTCATGGCCTCGTATTGCGGAAGAAGCTGACAGAAAAGTTTAAAGCGGAATAGGTGCGCTGTGTCATTACGGTATTCTCAGCTAACGTGGTGCTTGAGGAAGCCAAACACGGGACAGTCCCTGCAAAGAACATGCGTTGGAGGATCTGGATGCAGGATCACTCATGACTCATGACTTGCAGTCATGAAGCCTGCTTGGCCTAAGCAGCAGCTGAGCACATGATCCAACGTGTGCCATGCAGACTGTGCGCAGGCTTCCACAGCCGCGTTGAGCCATCCTCAGGCTTCGTGCGCGGGCGCCCTGGGCTGATCGTGCCTCGATGAGAATCCGATGTCGTCGGCTCTTTGACCCCTGCCATCTCCCAGCTCTCGCAGGATTCCGCGTAATCTCACATGTTGTTGCCTTCTTGCTCCTTCTGACTCTTTCTTGCTCTTTCAAGTCTTTCTTTCGCTTTTAGTGTGAGTGGGAGGTCCGCGAACGAGCTGCGCTGGGCGAACTTCTCTTCGTTCAGACGCTTGGCTCGGAATTGCTGATGTGATCTCACGCGGGCATGAGCAAGCGATGGACGTCACAAGGTGGTATCTTCATATTCTTCATGGAGTCTTGCATGTGAGTCAGGGCGTTGAGACATCATGCGCGTGCACGTCCTGCACGTCCTATCACCGTGTTTTGATGGGACTTGTTGAAGACAGCATGGCCAAGGAAAGCTTTCGTTATGCGAAGTCACTGCGAGCTGCTGAAAGCCACCCTGAGCAAGCTACAGAGCTGCCCACAAAAGGAGTTCTGCCAGCTACTGGGCGCAGCATAGATGATATAGATGCGGAGGAGTGACGGTGGAGTCGGGAATCTGGAAAGACCTCTCGGGTCTGAAAACCGAGTCGAACAACCGCGGTGGCCGAATGCAGAATGCACAAAAGCCATCCCTGGATGGATGTTCTGACTGTTTCCTGTCTGTGGCTTGCTTGTTTTCCGACTCTGTCCCCAGCGAGTATCAAGAAAGCAGTTGAAGCGTGTTGATTCATTGATGAGGCCAGTCTTCCGGGTCCGGGATCCTTCTTTCAGAGCAAAGGTTCATGAGTCTCTTCAGCGGCGAACCTGACGGGGATGATGTTCCTACGCCGGAAGAGTCTCGGCAAAGAACTTGCCCAAGGCCCGCAAAGGCATCATAAGCCGGTCGTAGCCAACATCAATCAAGCATCAAAGCGCCAACGACTCACGACGCTTGCAGGATATGTTGCAGGTGATTTGTGGCCGAGGCTTCGCCTGCATCAAGACTTACCAGCCCTGAAGGACAAGAACGGAGCGTGGATGAAGAGAAGGTGCAAAGGACCTCGTGTGCGGGAGATTTCGGCTTGGTCTGGGCTTTGTGATTCAGCGTCTGAGCGCTCTGTGGAAGAGGATACTGCAGCTGAATGCTCGGAGCCGCATCACCCTCAGCAGCACGGGGGAAATCGAGGAGAAGCTGTGGGGGCTTTGGCCCCTGGCTGCTGTCATGAACCACTCCTGCAGGTCGTGGACAGAGTGCAACTTGCGTAGTTTCGTCTGTGCGCATTCTCCCTGCGTCCGTAAAGTCTCTTGCAGGCCGAACGCGAGCTTTACTTTCGTCGGTGATGTCATAATCTGCCGTGCTGCGCGGGACCTGGAGGCCTGAGGCACTTGCTTTTGTCGATGCTTATCGCTTGTGGACACTATTGGAGCACATATGCAAATCTTTTTTAACTGTGGACTTGCATCGCTGTGTGCACCGAGTGCATAATTGCTATTCCTGTAGAGTTTAGAGCGGAATCTGCGGCGTGTGGCACCAGATGGGTGATGAGATCTGCTGCAACTACGTGCGCGTAGACCGCCCTGCGATGCTTCGCCGGCGAGAACTCCAAAGCCTCTTGGCATCGTCCGGCAATGCATTCACGCCAGACACTCACGCTTCAGCAGCTATTGCGTGCATGTGCAACGTTCTGCGACCAAAGATGCAAGGTCAGTACATGTTCGTCTGCAGCTGCCCGCGTTGCACCTTGGAGGAGGCCTTCATGCCAGATTCTAAGGCGCAGGAATTCAGGGACAAGATCAAGAAGCTCAGCAAGGTGCTTCGTCGACTCAGCATAGCGGATCATAGTAGCGAGGCCATTGGTGGACACTCCGTCTTTCCTAGTCGTGCATTGTCGGTATGAAGAGGTTTCAGAGGGTTATTGCTCTTTTGCAGATGGCTTGTTACTCCACTGTGCTTGCAGAAAGTTTGGATAGAGCCTTGGATCCCAAGTCCCAGCATGCATGCTCCAGCCCAGTATTGACACGCGTAAAGCGACGAACATACCCCGCTTGCAAGGATGACCACGTAGAAGTGGTGCAACTTTTGTTGAAAGCCTGCGCTGACATGGACAGTGCCCTCGAAGACAGTTGTTAGAAACAAAGCCCTGTCCGACCCGAAAGATCTTGCCTTAAGCAATAAGTCTTTCAACATCTGGCGGGAGATGTTCGGTTTAGCTGAGAACCTGAAATCCCAGAGCCCGGTCGTTAGCTGTCGACTTAAGTTTACTTTACCGGATCCGGGTGCGCTCCTAGGTGCACTCCTAGGTGCGCTCCTCGGTGCAATCTCGTGTAAACCGTAACCTCGTTTCAGGGCTGCTTCAAGGGGGGGTAATTTTACGCTGCAGGGTTTGGGGACACTTTGCTGCGTTCAGCGGAAGATGCCTAAGGCTCCACGGCGGAGAGACCGCGAAGCTTTGCAGGCGTGGGCAGCTTCATGGTCTTTCTTGTACCGAGAGCTGCTTGACTGAGGACTGAGTGTACGTAACATAGTATGGTGCAACATGGTGTGGCTTCTATGTGTGAGCACAGTCAGATCTTTCTCGCACTATCTCGCACTTGTTGAAACAGTCAGTCACTTGCTTCTGAGGATCGAGTACGAGATTTCATTGGCGATCAAGCGGCACGGCAAGGCTTTGGACGAGGCAGCTGCTGTATGCAGCAGCATGCATTGCAACAACAGCCTCAAATGGACTTCGAAGCCCGCAATTGGGCAAACGGCGCCTTGTGCAAAGTGTGCAAATGCGGAAGGATCGCAGCCTTACCGTCGCGAGCGATGAACTTTTTGAGCGCTGCTGGACCAGCGACCACGAGGCACAGAAGAGTCCGCATATGTCGACAGACGCTACGCTCTGCTTGCAGCGAAGGGGAGAAGCCATTCTCTGCTGGATGCGTGCGTTGCGGTTCCGCATAAGTTCCATCATGTTCCATCATGTTCCATCATGTTCCATCATGTTCCATCATGTTCCATCATGTTCCATCATGTTCCATCATGTTCCATCATGTTCCATCATGTTCCATCATGTTCCATCATGTTCCATCAGAGTCATCGAATAAGGGCAACGACGTGCAACGGCTGCTTTCGTCGGAGTTTGGACACATGCTGCAGCGTGATCTGAAGGTGAGACGCGAGCTGCGGCTTAAGGAGCAGGAGGTCTGGTCCTGCGCTGAAAAACTGTCTCGGCTACCTCGTGGATGTCTGTGCATTCTGTGCCATGCCATACAGGAGATGCGACAAAACATCGCCCGCCGCCAGGGGCAAGAGACGGGCAAACCTCACAACTACACAGGGCCCGGGCGCATAGACGAAACTTGATTGAAGAAGTAGCAGAGGACACGCTGTGTGGAGCGAATGCGCCCTTGAGAGTTTTTGACGAGAGAGTTTGACTAGTGGTAGAAAGGTGGTGGAGTGTTTACAGTCGACGCAATTCTCTGTAAGGTTTACGCGGAGCAGCTCCAGCGTTTACTCTGTGGTTCCTTCCTCTCTGTTGCGACAGAGTCGGCCCGGCTCTGGATGAAGGTCGGAATCCCAAGCAACAGTGCCCGTGACAGCAGCTGGATCTGCCAGCAGCTTGAAGAGACGGCGCCGGCCAGCTGCCAGCATGCATTTTGGGCTGCGAAGTGTGCCACCCAAACATGGAAAGCATTCTTGAAGAAGGACGGGAAGACAGGGCAATTGCAATTTACTCAGAATCCTCGGCTACCAACCGCTAGCAGAGACGTAGGATGATTTCTTGGATGATGTAGAGTTCCCACAGGAAGAGGCTGCCCTGGTGTTCGCACAGCAGCACCCAGACGTCAACAGGCCTGGGTTTTCTGGCCCGTACTTACCAGGTGCACTGACCACAGAAGATCGTGTTGGTTCGGGCCTGTTCGAGCATGTTTGAGATTGTTAGGGAAAGTGCGTTTTGCCCCACGCCTTCCAATGTTTTCGCATGTTGCCAGGCTTTGTCAACCATATTTTCGTTGTTTTTAAATGGCTCTTGACAAGGTGTCCGCAAGCCCTGACAATAAACCATGCACATCAGGTACGGGCAGGTGAAGTCGGACTTTCGGGGGGAGTGTTCAGGATTAATCGTTGAGATGGCTTAGGCGATTATGTGAGACCTTTGCCAGAAGAATAGCAGGAACATCTAACATCTCGTCGTTGAGAAGCTCTTGTGGTTTGGCTCTTATGGCCCACAAGAGCAGGAACGGGGCTTGTGGCCCAACGCACGTTCCCACTCAGACTCTGCTCACCATTGCTGCCGCTCGAGCGTAATGTGGTTTCTTGGGACTATGAGCAGCGCCAGCACCGCGCAGAGGAGGCGGCGTAGCTCGGAGAGCGGCCTATGGGCCTGCATGGGCCTGCATGGGCCTGCCAGAACTTGAACCTTGCAGTTCTTGTGCCTTCTCTAGCCAAAGGGTTCACAACAAGTCTTCTGCGTTGCCAGGGTCCTCGAGTGTGCCTACAGAGTGGGCTTGAGGCTTTTTGGGGTTGCAGGTTTAGGGTGCGCTGCTCTAAGATTTGGGTTTGTTCAGTAAGTCAGGGTTCTAGGGCGAATAATTGTGTTTGATTTGCAGGGTCAGAGCTTGGCTGTGTTTGCAGCGCGCCTGTGGAATGGTCAGTGATCGAAGACTGACGAATGCTCACAGGCCACCTCTTGCCCCTGAAGTTGTTCAAACTGCTGTGTATGCCCGGATAACGCTGCCCGGCAGGGACTGTTCTGAAGGCATCTCTGGTGGAGCAGAGTGGAACAGTTCGCGGAGCAGTTTGTGCAGTCATGTCTCGCAGTTTCGACTTCCGATTTCCGAGTTCCGAGTTAGGTTCAACCGCTGCTACGGAGAGCAGCTGTGGCTCTCCCAGGTCGAGGCAGGAGTGGAGAAACGCTGTCATCTTGAAACAGAAGCGCTCGCGACAACATCTCAGGCCTTGGGCTGGCCTCAAGAGCTCTGCGCCGGAGCTTTGCAAAACCCGGCCCCGGTGATTCCCAAGCCGACAGTGCCCAGGACTCTGAGAGAAAAAGCAGGAACAAACTGAGCGAATGGAATGGAACTTCATTAAATATACTGTCTCTCTCGGTGAAACTTTGCAGGAAGACGAGCCCACCGAAGGGCCGAGTGAGGATCTACAAGACGGGCTCCAGGAAGTGGGAGGATTTCCCGAAGGGAAGAGTGGCCCGGTTTGTATTTCGAGTTGTTTCCAGAGTTGTTTCCAGAGTTGTTTGCAGAGTTGTTTCCAGCTCGGCAGCCTGCTGGACGCTCGTTGGCCCAGGTGCTGGACCCTGGTCACCGCAAATCAGTCCTCGGCGGAGTCGGCGGCATGGATCTCCAAACCGAGTCCCCCGACTTTTCAGCTGCACTGCTATCATTGTTCAACCCGTCTGATTAGAGCTATTTGGAGGATGGAGGTATGCTCAACGGAAGCCGTTGCTTGCAGCCTCTTTATGCGTGAGTTCCAACTGCTCACGAAAGCTAACGACCTTGTCCTTCATGGAAAGGTGTCGCAAGTTGCCTTAGGCAGTTGCCGCTAATGACGTGCCAGACTGTGTTCGGCTGCTATGCAGCGACACGGCTGAGGGCAAGCATCCCGCCTGAGAAAATTTGAGCGGCTACGTGCTCTGCACCCTGGAGTCAGTCCCGCTGCTCTGTCTTCTGCAAGGGTGGGGTGACGTTCCTTTGCAGGCAGCGGTCAGCAATGGAAGCGCATCGGACAACTTCAATAGCACCGACAGCGCCGCGGCACTCAACGCTGTCAATGCCACCTCGCAGCTTGTCGTCAACAGTACGAAGAGCTCTGCGAAGCACAACGCCACAGCTACAGCTGAGCGGCCTCATATCACCTTGCCCGCATGCGATTCTCGGTTTCAAAGAGACTACGTCCGCAGCTTCACGAGTGCGTGCTTGAGCATCTTGTAATTCTGCTTCGTCTGCGACGGTGTCGTTAGCATGAGTTGTTATAAACTCCGTGTCCAAGGATTATGTCTGGGGCGTGCCAAAGCTGGCCTGGGCTGTGATTTGCGATTTGCTTCTTAGAAGGCACTGGCGGCACTGGCTGTTTACTTCAAGTTGTGGCTATGAGCTCGTTCATGAGCTTGTGATGAAGGATGTTTTGCATTGTTTGCCCTATGGCTGGTGGAGGGGGCCAGCTGTTTCAATTAGGCTCGCCATTGCAGCGCTGCTGTTGTGCATTCCGTTTCTGTGGGAAGCCCAGCATAGCCCAGCACAGCTGCGAAATCCAATCGGAAGAGGTAGGCAGAGAAGGACAGTCTGAACTCGTCGGCCTGGAGGCTAAATGCATCACGCCGTCGACCGTATGGTGCGCCAATTCTGGATTTCAGCCGCTCGGCCCAAGGTCATTCCAGCCATGACTACACTCTGGTGTGCAGCTAAGCAACTAAGGTTTCCGTCCAACCCCTGGGGTGCAGAAATCTACGGGCCGGGGCTTTGCAGATGGGACGGTTGCCCGGGCATCTGCTCACCTTGGCAGGCTGCTTGGATTGCTGGCCTTGCTGAACGAGCTGCTGTCAGGTGCTCTCGTCTTCGTTAAGCGTGGAGCTATCAAGCCACACAAGCACCTGTTTGACTGTTTAGCACGTGGCCCTGCGGGGTGTGTGCCGGTTTCGCCTTTTTGTGCCAGATGCTGAAATGACGTCTTTTGTGCTGTGAGCTGTTTCTGGCACAGCCAATTGTCTGCAACATTGTTTCTAAACATGTTTCACTGTAAGAACAAACAATACACGCACAAGAATCCGCCGTTTGAAGCAAAGCTGCAGGTAATCAGCTCGTATGCTTCTTCCATCAATTAATGACTCAGCTTGGAACTGAACGACGGTACTTGAGGAAAGCAAAGATTTTCTTGACCTCGCATGTCCTTTTTTTGACGGGAGTCTGGTGCTTGCGCGCTGCTTCTGTATATCGCAGCAAGCAGAGAGTCGAGGAGCATGCGACGCTGTGCAGGAGTGGTGTGGAGCTCTTGAACTGAAGCCATGACGACGCTGAGCTTCCGATCCGAGACGCTGCGCTCAAGATCAGTTTAGCAAGGGGCTTGAATTGGTGGCATCCTATGTGTGACCTCAGCTGTTTGTACCGCGCCTGCACAGTTCACGGTCGATTGGCGGACGTGCTGACAACCGCATTGGCAGCAAAAGTGATGCACAGTACTGCGCAATGATGCATGGGTCGTCTATCGTCGTTGTGCTTCCAGCCGGGGCAAAAGAGAGCCTCTTTGGTCCGGCCGCAGCCAGGTGTCCATGGGGAAGCGGATAATGCCCGGGCGGCCTCCAGACAAGGCCTTGCTAACGGCCTCTTTTTGGACGTGCTTTGACAGCGCCTTGTCAGCCGGGAGCTTTGCAGGGATCTTTTCCTCTCGATCACTTCAGCGAATGCTCGAAGCTCAAGGAGACGCTCGTAACTTGTGCTTTTTGTGCTGTTTCTGTGCACCAGCTTATGTCGATTGCTATGGATTGTTCTTGCCCCATCTTGCCCCTTATCATTTTGAGGACGAGTACTTGCAGTGCCTGAAGCAGCACTCTCATGACAATATGTCGTGCCGGTACTTGTCCAAGCAGTGCCCACCCTTAAAGTAGCCGACCCTTGTCGGAGCAGCTCTGTAGGGAAACGTCCGCATGTGCCACTACTCGCAGAGATGGCTTGCGCCATGCTGATGTTTCAGTCTGAGCACACAGGTATTTGCAATGCCGCATGGACAAGAATCTGATGACAAAGGAGCCCATGCATCGGCTGGGCTTCACTGAGGAGGCGAGGCCACACTCCATTATTGCCCCAGGCCAGCTTGCGTATGGTCTCTTGATTGACAAGCCATGTCGCCAGGAGGTTTCGCCGGCGCCGGCGAGGAAGAAAGATAAGAAGAAAACCAAGGAGGAGATAGAGCGCACTTGTTCCCCTTTCCCAATTTTTTTTGCAGACTCAGAGCCAGAGCCTAGGGCCTCCTTAGGGTATGCGACTCCAAATGGCGCGGACGATGTGACGGCCTCCCAAGTCGATTTTGAGATTTGTTCATGTGACGCCTAGGGCGTCAGAGGAAGCTTTGTAACATGGATATTCATCCGCAAGGGAAAGCCATTGCTCAGATTTTCTGTATGAACTGTACCGCCTGTCATCATTCTGGCTTCCTGTGTTGGCCTCGAAAAGCAAGCTCAAAGGTGCAAGTGGTTGGAAGAAGTTTACGCCGTCAGGCCGTGTGCGTTCTGCTTTTTGAGGTGGGGGCACAGAGCCAGCAATGTGTGGTCGGTCAAGATAGGGGCCCATTCCCAGTAATTCATTAAAGGAGGCGGCCATGTACGACTTCAGGCAGTCTGCCACCTCACCGGGCGGTTTATGCAGCAGCAGGTTTGCCAGGTGAGAGCTACGTGCTGTGGGGTCTGCGTTTGGAAAAATGATGACCAAACCTCCGTTGGCCTCCTCCCCCCTTGTATACCAATTCAGAACCCTGTTCGAGTGAAAACTTCAACCCAGGCTGCATCGATTGCAGCATCTGAACCCGAGCAGATGCTTGAGAGATCTTTATTCAGGTTTCCACGTGCCCGAGGCCCCCACGGGCTTCCCAAACCGAAGATCTCTTCTAGAAAAGAATCCTTAAGCTTGTGTAGGACTTCCAGAGCTGCGGAGTAAGGATGAAACATGTGGTCATTAGCAGGAGACCGGGTGGATCGTGGGTGTCGATGGCGATGGTCTGGCTCGACTTGTGTTGCTACGGCTCTCGATCACAGTAGCCGTTGCCCTCATGTGCGAAAGACGCCAGGTATCAGGCCAGAGCGCAGCAACGAATGGCGAAGGCGATCTCGTTCAATGAAGTTGTCCATTTGGCAGTCCACTACTTGCATCCTCCAAACATTGGCAACTGTGCTCAGGCCCACCCTCGTGAACATTCGGGCCTTTGTCTCTGACCCGAAACAGCAGGATGGATCTTCTTAGCATTTATTGCAGCCCTCAGACTCAGAACTCCACGACTGAGCAAACCAGCTGACATTAGCAGCAAGCACCCGGGAAGCCTGATATGACATGGATCATCCATTGCACAGAGTTCCGTCACTGAGGGTTGCATGTTTCACTTCTTCGCATTGCGACCGCCGGACAGAGACAGGAGGCTTGGTCAAAACAGAGTGGCTCAGGCAATTTCAGACAAACATGACAAATGGGAACATCCTGTTCTTCTTGGTGAAGCACCACTTTGTTCTCTTGCGCCCGTGGACCTGCGCGGACGCCGCGAGCTAGCTTCGAGATGAAGGGCGTCCCTAAACCCTAAACCCTAAACCCTAAACCCCAAACCCCCAACCCTCAACCCTCAACCCTCAACCCTCAACCCTCAACCCTCAACCCTCAGCCCTCAGCCCTCAGCCCTCAGCCCTCAGCCCTCACCCCCCTCAGCCACCCTCAGCCCTCAACCCTCAACCCTAAACCCTAAACCCTAAACCCCAAACCCCAAACCCCAAACCCTAAACCATAATTCGGGTTCAGCGGTTCAGGGGATGTAGGGTTATAGGGTTAACGCGTTTACGTTTGTTTATGACTACTAGAAAAGAATCCACATCTAACCGGTCTTCAACGTTTGCCTAAACCCGAAACCCGATGATCTGAACACGTGAGCGCGAAGACCCTAAGAGTCTAACCCTCTCAGCCCTTCGACCCTGATGTCTAAATCCCAAACACAAACCTCTCAACTTAACGTGCTTAGCTTTATGGTTTTGGGATGTTTTGGGGTGGCCAGGGTGGTGCTGTCGCCCTGTCACTCTTTGTGTGAGATAGGAGCATGGGTGGCAGGGCTTAGGGCGCAGTGGCCCAACTTTCAAAAGACTTATGTTAACCCAAAACCTACTCCCGTGGAGGCTGTTGCCATAATCTCACAGGAGTAGAGGTTCAGGGAAGTAAAAAAGCCCGAAGCCGTAAACTTCAAGGTTGGTTGAGGCCCATGCCTGCCTGAAAGCGTTGAATTCACTCTTCATCCACGGGGGTTTTTAAGGTTTATTTAGATTCAGGGCATAGGGGCGCTTTGGGATGAGGGTTGCGGTTCGGGGAAGAATAGACGGGGCAGGGAGGAGAGGAGGAGGGAGGGGAAAGGTAGCAGGGGAGGGATGGAGGGGAGAAATATGGGCGTATCGGCGTCTGGGATATGGTCCCGGGCTGCCCCCCCCCCCCCCCCAAACCACACCCACACCACAGGTTCAGGGGGTATTCCTAATCCTTAAACCTTAAACCCTAAACCCTTAAACCCTAACCCCCCAACCACACCTACACCAAGGGGGTGGGGGGTGGGGGTAGGGATCCAAGGGAGGATGGGGGGGGATACCATGGGGGTGGGGGTTAGGGTTTAGTGTTTAGGTTCGGGGTTTAGGGTCTGAGGTTGAGGCCCGTGGTGTGATTTGGGGGTTGGAGTTAGGATTTTGGGTTGAAGGTTTAAGAGACCGGGTTTAGGGTTTAAGGTTTAAGGTTTAAAGTTTCAGGTTTAGGATTTACATAAGTTTAGGGTTTAAGGTTTCGCCCCCCCGGTGCTGTGAATGGGGGCGGTTTAGTTTGTTTTAAGGTTTAGGGAGAGGCTCGGGGTTTGGGGGAAGGGAGTGGGGGGGGGGGAGGCATAAGGGGTAGGGCCCGGGAGCCCGAGACCATATCGGCGTCTCAGGGAGGGGAGGGGGGATTCGGCCTTCGCGGGATATCGGCGTATGTGGGGGGGGGGGGGGGGGAATATCGGCGTATTGGCGTAAGTCGATTTTCGCCCCTCGTTGCATGCGCGGCTGAGGCAAATTTGGTGCGGTGGTCGCGGTGTATGTTTATTGGTGCATGGTGCCCATGTATGGTGCAGTGGTGCCCCATGTCACGTGCTATTGCTCCCCTTCGCACCGTGCGTCCGCAACGCGTCACTGCACCCTCCCTGCCACATCCCTGCATAGCCGATGCCGCAAAAACTTTTCGAGCTTGAAAATCTGAGCGGGAGTTTGATTGCTGCAATTTGGATCGAAGGTCGTCGGTGTTGAGTGGAGTTGAATGGCACGGAAATTGCTGAAGCGCACCTTATCTTGTCTTGTGGGTGAGGGCTGTTGACCCCCAATCCTGGACATCATCTGGCATATCTCATCGTCGCAGCCTGCACGACACGATGGATGATGAGGCGGGTTTTTCTGATCAGAATTGGCGAAGATTGTGAACATTGAAACGTACATAAGAAACGCACAGAAAAAGTTGAGGAGCGCCAGCTGGCAGCCCACTTCACAGAACTCGAGGCGATCTGTGCAGTCCACCCACGTGCGCCTTCGTTCTATGGGCTGTCTGCCGGGAGGCGCATTTGGCATCACAGCTTTCCTATGGCGACTTGGAGCCTCGTCGGATGGGAGCAGTCGCAAAGCACAACATCATGGCCAATCATGGCTTGCCAAGGGGCGCGGGTTAATAAGTGTGGTCTTAAATGATACTTTATCCCCAAAACTGTGGCATGACAAACCCGCAAACCCGAAAAATGAGACGTGGATGCAAGCCCTGTGCCTTAAAGATTTGACGTGCCAAGCCCTAAACCTTACAGTTTACAGGAATTTTCGAGCAACAAGCCCTAAAACGGAGATGCCCTACACCCTAAAGAAAGATGTGGCGTTGCGAGCCCTGAACGTTCAGTGCCAAACCCTGAACACTAAAAGGGAGTTGCGGTGTGGAAAGCCTAAGCCTAGCGGTGGCAAATCCTAAGCCCCAAAAGGAGGTGTGGTGTAGCAAGCCATAACCCCCCGCCCCCCCCCCCCCCCACACGAGGCCCTATGGGCGCTCATGAGGCGTTTCTATGTGCGGTTATGAGGTGTGGGTCTGTTTAATGTGCACCTATGATGCCCTAACCCTGCCAAGGACCTCACACTTGCAGAGCTGCGCGATGTGCAGCACCGTTGCCAAGCCGTGGGTCTTGGAGCACCCATTCTCGAAGCTTTGGACGATGCAATTGCAGGCATTGCAGGCTGTGTCGCATGCCGTACGCGTTTCTCTCTGAGTGAGTCTGCCGTTGTGCGTGGCCTTTGGCGAGGCGAGTCAGACGATCTCTCCTTCAGCATCGACATCTCCAGTGACGGTGACCAGACAGACATCCTCTCCTGTGCAGGCAGCAGGGGAGCAGGTAGATGCAGCTAGTCACTGATCACGAAAGCTGTCGTAGCGAAACTTTTCAATTTCTCTCGGTTGAAGCGACGGTTCGCGCACTCTGGTCAGGTTGAAAGGCGATGTCTGCTTTGCTCAAGCTTAACTGTTTGCCCCTCCCTGCTATCAGGTGCTAGGGGTTTTCCTATGCAAGAACGACGAAGTTCGGAAGATTTGGAAAATGCAAGTCGCACCCAGCATGTTCAGGGCTTATTGCACGAAGGGAGGCCCCGGAATAGTAGGACAAAGAATGCACATCGCCGTTTCGTGGGTTTTCCTATTGGAAAGGCACGTCGGAGGATGTCGGCGGCATGAATGCCAGTTAACTATGGCATCAGCAGCCATAAGTGCTGCCGATCTGCCTAGCACTGTGTACATAGAGCTGCTCCAACACCCCCACGTTCAGCAGAGATCTTCAATGGCATCGCACACCTACACTGAATTGCGGTCGCAAACGCAGTTCAATCAGAGACACCCTCCTTCGCCTTAGTTCCTCCGGACTCGAAATTTTTTGGAATCTGGGTTTTGGCTTTTCTGCTGCAGAGCTACCTCGGTTCCTGAAGTTCATTTGGAGTCTGGTTTGGGGCTGCTTGCGTTCCGGTTTTTGGGGTTGCTCACCCCGTGTGGCGTTTTCACGGGCGCTGGCCTGGGCAATTTTTCTGCAGGCTTGCTCGGGGTGTGGACTGATTGGCAAGGTCAAGACGCAACAGGTGCTTTTTTGGAAATGTGTGCGGATCACTGCAGGAAACCACTTGTATTTGCAACGATGTCTCTGCGGCCATTTTCGCCGGGGAATATGATCAACATCCAGCAACGCAATCCTGAAATGGCTGAAGTTGGGCTCGAGGCGACTACCTGGCGCTGTTCCGTCACTACGCCTGGGCCCTAATGTGCAGGCAGTCACCAATTAGGGTGTTGTGAGTCAATGTGGCTTCTCATAGGATGACCCGGCCACTGTCAAGCACCTTAGCTCCTCTAGACTGTAGACAGGAGGCTCCAAATGAAGGGCAGGGAGAGAAGCGGTGGCTCTCGTCAATGAAGGCCCTGGCGGAGACCCAGTACCGGGCCGCAAAAGATGAGTTCGGTCACTGCCTCGAATGCCTCGCTTCCACAGCCACACTGCCTACAAGGTGTACTACAAGTCTACTACATTCTACGCAAGTCGTCCCTCGGAACGGCGATGCTCTCCGAGGCCTGGCACGCTGCCTGGCCGAGCGCCTGGCACGGGAGCGCCGCAGCAGCGCCTCAGAGGTGCCGCGGTAAAAAGCGGGGGGTTTCTTTTCATGTGTTTTCTCTTTGTGTTTTTTGTTTCTTCTCAAATGGTGGTGAGCTGAGGGCTGAGAGTGCTCCTGCACAGCAGGAGTTGGACCGGATGGAGGTGGAAGCCCTGGATGCAGCGCTCGGAGCCGTGCACCGGGTTCAGGCCCCGCGGTTTGTCCTGTCCCTGTGCTTCTGCCATTGACCGCATGATCAGCGTGCTCATGCGGAGATGCTTCCAGGTGACTGGTGGGTCCGCGAACGAGCGCAGCTGGGAACGCCGAGCCTGCCAGGCTTGAAAGTCGACTTCAGAGTGTTTACAGCTTTCAGCTTTCAGATGCTTCCACACCAGTTTTTGGAATGGGGTAGCGGCGAAGGCCCTTCATCTCCTGGATGATCTCAGTGCGTCCTCGCGTCCGGGTCGACTTGAAGAACGCTTGGAAGACCTCAAGTCGGTGGGAGGAGTATGTGACAGTATGTGCAAGAAGGAAGTCTCAAAAGTTGCGGAGTTCAACTTAGATGTGAGATCACGTACAGACTTGCTTGAGAAAGGCACCTCTGCAGCTCATTGAGTCACTGGGCTGCTTCCTTCGCTGCCCCGGCGCTGGTGCGGTGGAGAATCTCTCGAGGAGCTGAGGGTTTCAAACGGCTGCAAACCGTTCCAAACATGACAACACCGGGCCTGAATAACGAGCAGAGATGAGCAGAGACACACCACAAGAGAGTTTCAAAGGCTGAAGCAAGCAAGGAGACTTCTGTTGCCAGCACCTTGGCTGGCACAGCCGCTGTCAACCCTGCATGGCATCCAGCTTCCCCCAGGCCTCAGGGATCAGGGTCAACTTCAAAGCTCGTGGCTGCACCAAAACACAGCAAAACACCAAAAGCCGATCCCGTCTGGAAGAGGTGTTCGGACTTTGCTGGTGGACTCGCGGGCGCCGGGCTCAGACCATGAACCTTGTGCTCTTCTTTACCTCTTTGGAACTGTGGAGAAGAGGAAGGTCGAGTCACAGGTCCCCTTCCAACATACCGAAGATTTCATGGGTTTCCAGACTTCGCTTCTTGGAGTTCTCGCTCTCTCAGACAACATCTTTCTTCTTCAGCTCTGAGTTCTTTCGAGGCCTTCTGCCAGCCAGGCATGGAAATCGCTGTGCGGCGTTGGCGACATGAATTGCGAAGAGCACTCGAGGAGGTTCCGAGTTCCAGAAAGTTCCAGATCTAGACCCCAATGAAACAGTCGGGTTGTCTCCACACCAGGGACCTACTTGCCCGCCTTCAAGAGACTTGCTTGCCAGCGCTGCTGCCATTGCGTGCTCTCTGGCAGCAAGTCGGACCGTTTGTCTGTACTAGCTTTGAGCTGTGCGGTGCTTTGTATCACATTGCAAGGCCATTGCCACTTCACAGGCTATTGCATTCCGTTGCAAGAGAACGAGGAGGAGTATGAAGAAGGCGACGAAGAAAACGAAGGCGGCCAGCAGTCAGACGCACCCGCAATGCCACTTAGTCTGTGGGTCGTGACACATGCGCGATGTTGGCGAGGCAAGATGCCTTCAGCTTTTTCCGCAGGATTCTCAGGCAGGGGCTCGACGTTTGCACGCAACACCGCATCACTCAGGCTTTCGATGTTAAGTGGATCGTTTCTGCAATGTACGAGGCCTGGATCGGCACATGTTGGGTCGTTTGGAGCACAGCTCTTGACAGGTGCCTTGTCAAGCCGCGCCCCCACAGCTGGAGGCAGCGACCGTTCCTCTTTTTCGCTCCTGTTGCGTGACGACTCTTGCTGCAGGCCATGGGCTCCATCCCTGAGCTGGTCGAGCTCATTTGCAGGCGAACAAATTATCCCGGAGAGTCACTGCAGACACAAGAGGCGAAAAGCCGAGGACCTGCAAGCATCCGAAGGAGGAGGAAGAGTTCATGAAGGCCTGGGGCCTGCATGGCTTCTTGACACGTGGGACTCCATTGCCATCGCGAGGGAGTTGGATCAGCTTTGTCACATCAGGTAGCATATTCAGGCCTATACTGAATCTAGTGGATACTCTCAGCAGCGCTAGACCTTGGACTACCTCTCCCAACCAGCCAAACCGGGTTTGCCGTGTTCACCGTGCCGGGACTTCTACGCCCGGCACTTGGGCAGACTTCTGAGCCGCAGACTTCTGAGCACCGCATGGTTGTTGTGTGGTGCTATGTGAGGACTCAACCTTGCTGGCACCTTGGTCATGCGAATGTCTTGTGGCAGACAAGCCATGATTCACAGGATGATGCAAGACAATGCAAGACAAGTAATTAGGACTGTGTTACTTCCAGTCCGATTTCAGGTATCCACCATGGCACTATGCGGTTGAAAGTGTCGGAGTGGTCCCTGCTGGGGGCCGAGCGGGACCAAGTGGAAGCATAGAAAGAGATTGTACTGTACCTTGGTAGGTGCCTTTACACGTGCGCTTGCAACACATCTCTCCACTGTGGACTCCTCAGGAGGCGCGCTTCGAGTGACCCCTAAACCCTTGAACCCTTTTCCCTAGACCCTATGCCCTAAACCCCAAACCCCACTGAGCCGACGTTCTCTCTTCTCTGCCAGGTGCCCTCCTGTCGCATCCTGGTTGCTGGTTGCGGCTCAGGCACAAGTTGAGGGCGCCACGAGCAACCCCTTTTTGGGTGGACGAATGGCCTTCAGTAAGAGCGGGTGCCGCGATGCACAGCAACAGAACGCACACCCCTGCGACACAAGTCGGAAAGCAAACGCCCTGCCACAGCTCGCAAGTCTAACGACAACTCTGCAGCTCCTTCATGCATCACTGCATTGCCGCATGCTGGGTTGCCATGTCACCATGGCAGTTGCTCAGGCCATCAGGTGGCCGTTGAGCTTCGCAGCACTGTGTTGGAGGGCGCTTCGGAGGCTGGCCTCTTGGGACATGGGCCAACCCATCCCCCGCGTGTGTCCATAAAATGCCTTATACGCACATTGCCGTGCAGTGCCGTGTAGAGTGTAGAGAGCCGTGCACGGTCGATCGTGCTGACACAACCGTGTGATACAACATCTTGTCCTTGCCCAGCTGATCGCCCTGGACGTGTCTGCCAGAGCCAAGCTCTCAGATGCAGACGTGGCTGGCAAGCTTGATGCCCGGCATCTTTGTCAGACCATGGCTGCAGCGAAGCGCAAGCTTCGAGCCGTCCTCACAGACAGAGAGTTTGCTGCAGCCTCACAGAAGCCAGACCGAGGGGGAGGGCTTTGATTCAAAAGATTTCGATGTGCTTGCGTAGGCTCGTGTAAAGTTTCTCGTGGGTGACATCCAGCACCTTACTCGAGGCCCTTAGCTGCTGTCTGTCGCGCCGCAGTTGTACTTTTCCTTGGATGGCCACGGATGGCTTGGAAGGTCATGCTTTCGTTCGAGATGGCTTCAACCTCATCGTTTGCTGTGGGGTGCTGCTTGGAGCCCAGCCCGTGATGCGACCGCAAGAGTCTAAGAACACGCGTGAGGCCCCATCTCATCTGCCAGGCATCACTTGGCCGACCCAGCGTTGGGACTCGAGCGCCTGGCAGCGCTGCTTGTTCCAGATGGTGCCAGAACCTTTTTTGCGCGAAGAAAGAGCTCTTCGCACAGTGCTGTTCGATGAACTGATATCTGAACCGAGGTCCTACAGCTTGCAACCTACTCCACAATCAGCTTCAAGACATGGCAGCCGCGAGTTCAGGCGGCTGTGGATCGCAAGCTTTGAAATACTGAGCATGCTTAGGTGTAGCTTCTAGGCTAGCAGCAGCTGAAATGAAGGCGTGGCTGCAAAAACTGCCGGCCACCTGGACCAAGACGATGCGTCTGAGGGGATGTGTGCCCAGTGCCTCCAGTGTTCGCAGTGACCAGGCCTACTTTCCGCTCGATGTCGCAAGGAGCGCCAGATAGGGCCTAGCTGCAGCAGACTTCCCCTTGCATACTTTAGAGGTGTAAAGCTTCTGGCTTTCTCGCACGAGGCTCGAGGACGCCCTCACGTCAAGAGGCCTCGATTTCTCGGTTGGAGTGCCGCATGCCACTTCCAGTGAGTTTGTTATCAGGGAGTCTGTCACTGTAATCGTGTGGTCCAGGTGCGAGCCTTGCGCCAAGAGATCCTCACAGCCTCCAAGGAGGAAGCCTTGCACAGTCTGCCCACTGCCATCAGCGTCGCGCATGATTCCTGGGTAGGAAGTAGGTAGCCTTTGCGAGGGGCTTTGCGTCTGTAGGAGCCGGAATCAAAGGAGGCGCGTGAGCTGCTGATCCACTTCCCCGCTCGTGCCCCAGAAGTGCAGGATAGTGCAGGAGCTTGAACGGGCCGCGTGCAAGGAGTTCTTCACCTACGCAGGCTTCCTGGACTTGCTCTTTCATCCCCTAGAGAGGACCGCGAAGGATCTAATCCCGCACCACCCCTAAACATCGCTGAGAAAGTTGGGTTGCACGGCCACCGCCTCTTGGACTGACATGGGTCTTCGTATACGTTGTGTAAAAGTAATACCGGTAGAGGAGGCTCTTTCTTCTCTTGGAGGCAAAGCTCCACCCCTGTTTGGAGGAAGATGAGTGTTGAGATTTGACAGTGACCAGTTGTGACATCAAGTATCTTCAAATTGCGGCAGTCAGCATTCAAAACAGAGGGATCGCTAGTTGTAGAAAGATTCCCTAAACCGATCCGAGCTTTTGAGGACTTTCACGCTCCGCGAATTGATCGAGGGGCCCATCGCAGCAGCAAGGCCCCGGAGTCGTGGAGACTCTTGGAGTCGTGGCGGGGATGCCACGGATTGCCACGGGAAGTGTTCGCGAAAAAGTCTGCGCAAGGTTGACCCCACTGGGCATCTTCTTCCTCGACGCAGCAAGCCTCAGATACATACTGCTAAGTGAAGCGTTTCCCTGCATTCGCACAGTTCTTGAGTGAGCTTATCGGACTCTCCAGGTCAACACAGAGCTAGTAGCTCGTCGCTGCTTCGCCGAACACTTCTCCGAGGATGCATGATCCATGATTGGCCCATGATGACCCAATTTTCACACATCGTCGGTTTTGCTGTGGCGCACGTGCGTTGACATCTCTTCGTCCGTACAGCTTCTAGCATCTTTTAGCCATGGCATTCCTCTTTCCATCTCTTTCAGGATGCTGAGCTGAAAATGGCGGACCTCAAGCTTTGGCACTCGGTGGAGGCATTGGAAGTCAACGCTGCTTTCCAAAGCTTGCAGTGCTCCCCCATTGCAGGAGCAAGAGCCAGACATCTTCGGCCGAATGCATGGCGTGTGGCTAGCACGCTCGAAACTCAGATGTGGACTGCTCTCCACCTTGCGATGTTGCAGCCATCAGGTTTCCATGATGCCGACGAGAACGCAGCCAAGCGTGCGAGGAAAAACGCAATGCTTCATTCTTGAACTGGTAGAACCTGATTGTTGCCTCTGTGGAAGAGGTCGCACGACCCATGGTCAGAATGTGCCTTCGGGGGCTCCAACATACGGTCGAACGACCGACAGAGTGTGGGTCAAATCTGTATGCCTTGGGGGGTCCAGCATGTGGCAACACCCCTGGCAGCGTGTGAGTGCAATCCTGAAAGGTATGTTGCTGGGTCCAAATCATGTGGCGACGATCGGCAGAGCGTGGACACAACCGAAAAGTGTATGTTGCCAGGCCCAGATCACCGGCAAGACCGTAGGCAGAGCGAGACCGCCGCAATCCGCCGCACAGTGCGGGCCAAACCCCGCAGATCTGTGAACCGGGTTCCATTCGTGGCATATTGGGGGAAACATGGGACATGAATGGGCGGAGTCCCGACAGTATGCTACGTGGTCCAAGAAAGGTTGCAAGAGTCATGGGAAAGTGTGGGGCAGAAATCCACCGGTGCGTTTCTGGCCCTGTCGTGTGGCGAAACCACCGGCAAAGCTGCGCAAAATGGGCTCCATTTTTGTCTCAAGGCAGGTTTCACAGAGAAAAACGAAACATGAAGAGGCTATGGAAAATCACTCATTTTCAAAACCCGATCAAAGAGGTCATAAAGCTTTATGGGTCCGCATCCCAAAGACAGCTTACTATGACTCGATGACTCAAACTCCATGAAGAGTCCTCGAAGGGGCTTCAAGTGGTCTTTGACACTGCATGGGGCTCTGAACAGCCGATTCCGATACCACTTTCCGCAGCGGCTCTCGCCACACATTTGCCCTACCCCGCACCCAGGCGGTAGCCGCAGACAAGGGTGAATAGTACTTCCGCGCACGGCGAAATCAAGGTAGAACTACTAATCTCACATGTGGTCTGCGGTACCTAGACTCAGGACAATCGCCTTTGATCAAAAGTGCTTGGCCCTCCCAACATTGCTTAGATTTGCGTAGCAGCTTAGCTCAGGCCATGACGTTGGCTTGACGCCACAAGGACCGCCCAACGCCAAACTGGTGATCACTGGTGGTTGTGAGCTTCCGACTGTTCCAGCCATGGCAGAGGAAGGAAGCGAAGATCCCGAAATTGGGGAAACAGCAGAAGCCGCAGGAGGTGATTCGATAGATGAGAAACAAATGATCTGCGCATTATTTAAAACAGTACGCATGCGATACCTTGCAGCCCGAGCCAGCATTGCAGCATCCTCCATGAAGCTGCAAACCCTGCAGCGCGGGCGCGTCGCCAAAGTTGAGATGATGAAGATGCGTGAGGCAGTAAAGTGCTTTGACACTGTTGCCCCTGTGCTAAAGAGCCTCGTGCTGCGCATCCGCCTTGCAAGCTTCGAGGAGCGTAGTGCCGTGTTGCGGCTGCAGCAAGCTGGTCGAGTGGCAATTGCCAAGCGCCGCATTCACACTAGATGCATTGAACGCCTGCAAGTGCTTCTCGCTGGACTCGAGAAAAAGGTGGAGGCTCAGCAAGTGCTTTCCAAACTGCACATGCGTCGGCGCATGCGAGCACATCCTGAAAGTTTGCTACGCGTGGCCCTGAAGGGTGTGCAGTTGCGGAAGCAGCTAGCGGAGCGGAGAGAACATGAAGCTGTAACCTGTATCCAAGCATGTGCTCGTGGCGGTTTCCAGCGTGAACGACACAAAATGAAGAAGCAGGAACTTGCTGGGCAAACCGTGCGAAACGTTTGTCGACGATTCGCTGCCCAGCAGAGACTTACTGCCTCTTCGCAACAAAAGGCGTTACAGCATGCTGCTCAGCTCTGGAAGGCCGTGATTCAAACCTATCGGCAACGATCGCAGCTGGCATTTAATGTGCTTTGTAGTCGATCAGGCATCAAGATCACTGCGATGTGGCGTGGGGCACTGGGAAGGCGGGCTGCTCGGAAGGCTCGGTTTGAGAAGTTGGCTCAACGTGCCAGCAACACATTGCGGAGCTTTGTTTACTGCTACCGGGCGCGCGAGATGTTGGTGGGGCGACGATTCGAGACAGACTATGCTGATAACCACAGAACCTTCTGCGCTGCCTGGCGAACCCTGAGACTGCGAATGCGCCTGTGTCGCTACGTCGATGAGGCCCGCAAGCGTGCTGCCATGGAGGTGCTCTCCAGACATGTGAAGGGAATGTATTTGCGCAGCGGTCGTGTCTTTGATTGGGAAGCATACGCCAAGCGAACTGGTCGCCGAATAACCGATGACATTCGCGAGCGAATGGCATCTGACAAGGCAGAGGTGGAGTGGGCGATTCGGGTTCGAAAGCACATCCACCGCGTTCGCGTTGAGATTGAGGACGAGAGATTGCAAGTGACCAACATGGCCGCTTTGCAGTTGCAAAGGAGCTGGCGAGCTCGGCAGGTGAGGCTGCAGCAGTTCATGTCCCGGTTGGCCTTGCGGCTTGCAGCTGAACGTCGGACCTTGCTGGCACTCCAGCGATCAGAGGTGCAGGCACTGCATAGCTTAGATTCTGTCCCAGCTGGACGCGCACTTCGGCCGTTTCACGTGCAATTGGTGAGTGCTCGGCCTGATCCCCCTCGAGATTGGCTTGCATCTCTTGCAGAGGCCCCAGAGCCCCTGGTGGACATGGACGCCGCCGACTCATTTGCAATCCTTGCCGGACGCAGTGGGAAGGCTTACTGTCTTCCAAGCCATGCTGGTGCCGAGCTGATTGGCTCGCCTGAACTTTTACAGCTGACTGGGCCTTTCGTGCTGCAGCATCACCGCCTCCTCACAGCAAACCCACGTGTCGTGCAGGCAGGGCCAAGCGGGGACAGGACTGATGGCCGATGAATCAGAGAGCAAATCTAGTACTGGTAAAGGCAGCTTGCTGTCGAAAGCAGAACACTTTCTCAATGCAAGTGATGGCATTAGTCAAACAAAGTATGCTTAACAACGGGGAAGCCAGCTTCCTCGTTGCATGCCGATTGTTGTGGCTGATGTGGTTTGTTATGGCTTGTCACAGTTGCAGCGGGTGCTGTGGTGCTTGCTGTGTGGTGGTTGCATGTGTTGCGGTTCCTATCCTTCTTGTTCTTGTTCTTGTTCTTGTGCTCGTTATTGTTATCGTTCTTGTTCTCGGTATTGTTCTTATTGTTCTTCTTATTCTTCTTCTTCTTCTGATTGTTGCTGTTGCCAAGCGGCTGGAATGAGGACATGTAAACACTCGTCGAATCTGGCATAGTCAAAAAATGATTCTACGTCTATGCTACTGGCAGATCTGTTGCACAAATCACCCAAAGGTCTACATAAGTCAGTGCATCGCAGCAGGCGTCTCCGCTGCGCTTTGAGACGCTTTGAGATGCGAAGTTCTCTGTAATTTCACATCGGATCTTTCTGCAGATGTAGATGCATCTCGAAGTGAGGGCCAGCGTAAATCAACGATCAGTACAAATCGATGCAACTACGAAAAGAAACACACATAAACACAACAGGCAAGCATCACGTACTTGCGCCAAACAGGCGAATATCGAAGATGCGCAAGAAGCTGGTTTTCAAGTGCCGCAAACTACCGATGAGAGCGATGAGCATCACTCATCGTTGGTATGTCTCGTCTCGCTCCCTACAAGCAAGCTGCCATTGAGTGACTGACACCCAAAGTACATCGATGTTGCAACCTTGTGCAGCATGCGCAACTGTCCGAGGAGTCCAACCGGGTTTCAAAGTTTCAAAGGGAGAGCTTTCGAGTTTCGGGGGTCCCCAAAGGGGTCCCCAAAGGGGTCACGGAAGGTTGGCCTCTTTCATGTTTTTTTTGCATGGTCTCTGTGGAGGAGTCCCAAACCTGGAACCCCGCAGAATCGGATCTCGGCTCCTCCAGGCAGTTTGGGCAGGAACCACAGGGTCGCGGGTGCGGGCGGGGGGGGGGGGAGGAGCGCACAGAAAGTTTTTGGTTGGTGATTGGGAAGAGGGGGAGGACCAGATCCTCGACAGGAAGCCGAGGCTATTTTCACACCGCCTCTTCTCATGAACTGTTCGAAGTCAATACTGTGGCGTCTGCTCATGTTTGTTGCTGCAGATGATGATGATGATGATGATGATGATGGTGATGGTGATGATGATGATGATGATGATGGTGGTGGTGGTGATGACATCCCGCACCCTCACTTTCAGCATCAGCATGAACATCCGAATCATCAGCAGTTCTTCTCATTGTTAGTTCTTCCTGTTCCGTATGACGGATCTTAGTCTCAGTTGTTGTTGGTTGATTTAGGGGCTGGTGTTGCGGGGTTGCTTCTGTTGCGTCTTCGGGCTGTAACTGTTTGCGCGTGTCAGGTGAGTCAGGTGTTCATGGTGTCACGCTTAGTCCGCCTTTGACTCTGGCAGGTGTCTTGTGGCTCTCATCATGCTCTTCTGATGACAGTCGACGGGCTGGCTTTTGCTTGGGGGAAAAATGACCATGGTCAATGTGGCATCGGCTGGCCACGCCCCGAACAGATCGAGCAACGCGTGGTGGCCCAAGCGACATGCTTGCAGCCATGGGCCGCAACACATGGCGCCGCAACTGCGGAAATGCGCTCTGCCGGCCTCTTGGAGCCACAGCGTGGGGAAAGCCTTACGGCTGCCTGCAATGCTGGAGCCGTTTTACCCCGGCTCCAAAGTGTGTCGGCTGGACCAGAGAGCAATCTTGCCTTGGATTGCGATGGACAGGCGTGGGCATGGGGCAGTAAAACACACTTGGGACTTGCTTGCTGGATACCGCTGGCACAGCCCCATGCTGCACCTTCCAAGGGCACGGTGCGTCCGGGGGCGGACAGCCGGCATCCTACGGCTTGTCCCTTTCTGCTCTTCCAGGTTATCAAAGGCACCAAAGGCTCTGCCGAAGGATCTGCAAAGAGTGCAAAAAGCTCGCCTGACTCGCGGAGCCTCTTGCAGGAATTGGACCTGAAGGAGTTGCCAGGCAACGTGCTTGTGCCAACTTTGCTTTGCAACCTTACACCGTTGCAAAGCGACAGCTCTTCTGCTTCTGTCTCTTCGGCGTTGCCAGAAGCAGTCATCCTTCATTCAACCACTGGTAGGCCACAAGCGATCTTAGCACCTGCAGCAGGAACCGCGGGCGGTCGAAGTGAAAGCTTGTTTGTTGCGGCAGTTGCTGGCCAGCGCGCAAGTTTTGCAGTCACGGCCCGCGGCGTGGCATACAGCTGGGCCTCTGACGGGCAAGAAGATATCTTGCTGGGACGCTCCGCTGCAAACACAGCCCCGGCTGCAATCCCGACTTTTCTGCAGCTCTCCATATGTGTGGCATGCATCAGTGCAGGCGCAGACCACGCCCTTGCACTGACTGCACATGGGCGAGTGTTCACTTGGGGGATTCTCGAAGCTGCTGTGGGGACTGAGCGCTTTCAGCAGCGTTCCTTCCCGCAGCCCATGTGTGTGGAAGGGGCAGTGAGGGGCTTGAAAGTCAGCAAAGTTCTGACTGGCCGCATGTGCAGTGTGGTTGCCTTTCAGGATTGTGATACCCTGATGGGATGGGACATGGTGGAGGTTTCAACACTCCAGGGCAAGGGCCATGTTGACCCAGCCGTATACGAGTTCCCATTGACGTACGAGTGTTTTGACTCAATGGTTTCACCCAAGACGAGCCCCAAGATGTCACCTTCCAGTTCCAGTCGCTTGGTTGAGAAAGTTTGCACTCCATCGCCGCGATCTCCATCTGCAATCTGCTCTCCCACCTGCTCTCCAAAGAGCCCATCAAGCCCTGTGTCACCCACATCACCAATGTCACCTTACAGATCACGTGCCCGAGCCAAAACCCGGCCTTCCGCAAAGTCAAACCTCTGCCTGTGCCACTCTCGAACATTGCAGCTCCTGCTGCAAGAGTCGCCAGAGCTAGGACTGCCCTTCTCACATTCGGAATTGTTCGCTTGGGCGAGCAAGAGGTCTGTGGCTGCACACGCTCGGAGGGAAGATGACGAGGAGGCCTTCAGGCAGCAGTCCATTCAAGAGATGCTTGCGGAGCGCGTCCGCATTAAGCACCTGAGCAACGTGTCCTTGCTGAGAGAAGTGGCAAGGGCCAGGACCTTCCTTGAGTTTGATCGCGAGATTTCCATGTACCGGAGACTCTCCGATCCCCCAAAGGAGCTCCGCAGCTTGTTGTTTGAAAAAGCTTGTGCTTGCTGCTACTTCTGCGCCAATAGGAAATCCACGTGCACTGGCAAGCTGCAACAGAAAGGTTCACGCAGACTGGGCTCGAAGAGCTGCATGCTCGGAACAGCTCTGCCAATTTCAGAGGGCTACGCGCTCGATCCAGATGTATGCAAACCGTTCGTGTTCATGAAATTCATGACGCTTGTGTTGAGTCACGCCGGAACACAGAATCCATCGGTTACGTTGAGGGGCTCGTCTTGGAAAGAAGCAGCATATTGAGAGTTTGGGAAGCCGAGTTGAGGGCACCCTCGAAATTTTTATTTCCCATGTATGCTGAAGCGGTTTGTGACACCTAGCATTGCAACCTCTTTTTCAGAGTGGCTTGTGAGCCCCAGAGAACTTGCAGCCATGTTTCGCTCACTGACGCGATGCGCAGCCGCACACTTGAAACCGCGCGTTAAGGGCAGCTCGGCTCCATTTCGAGCAGCAACGCTGCGGGCTTGCAGGAGACTGCGTGCTGCGTAGGCCACAGAGGCAGCAGAAATTTGAAGGACCTGAAAGCAGAAGATTGGTGCAAAGCTCATTTAAGAGCTCTGATCGGAGCGCGACAGGGCACCCAAGCCCCTTCCAGTTGTTTGTGAGTTTTTGCTGCTCCCACTCCCAGCACTCCATGCTTCCGAAAACTGAGCATTTTTACAGTATAGAATGGTGTGGAAAGCAGATCGGCACCACAAGTAGATGTGATCTCAGCTGATGTGAATGTAATGTTGTCTCGAGTCTCAGCTGAGGTGGCATCATTCCATTTTACAAGCGCATCCAGCAGGACCTGGGAAATTCGGATGGCTCATCCTGCTTGCGTGTCTTGCTTCTGTCTTGCTTGCGCATCTTGCTTGGAATTGAAGCTGCTTGAAGCCTAGTGCATCCCACTGCAGTGTGCAGGAAGAAACCACGAGACGTTATCGTCAGTCACTCGGTGGCAGGTGCCGGCTTGTTGAGGGCCGAGCAAAGCCCTACTCAGAATGCACTGCGCATGTGTATACGCCATAAGACCATGTGGTTGAAACCGTGCCTTGCTTTCCGAATCCCAGGCTGCCATTTCTCAGAGTCAGCAAAGAGCCTTCGAAATGGCCGTCTCCACCCGATCCTAGAGACGTCGACAGACGGCTTTGTAGGGTGGATCTGGCAAGAGCATCTCCACCGCAAGATCACACAGGATGGACTTGGAATACACTGCTGCGTGATTTTGCATTGCTTCCGGTCGATCTTTTGAGAGTATGCAGCTGAGGAAATGAATATCAAGGTTGGGGATCGAGTTCGAGTCCTTTATGGCAGTGAGAAGGGCAAGCACGGTGTCATCAGCCGGATCATCCGTGACAAGAACCAGGCCTCTCGCATCCCTGCTCCGCAAAGGAGCAATTCGCATGAACTCTTCCCAAAGTGGTCTGCTCCACGAAGGTCATCGTCTCTGGTGTCAGCTTGAAGCGAAGTGGAAGCCTCGGCGTCTTCCTGGTGCATGAGAAGAAACGTGAAGTCGCATTGACATCCTTCCGAGTCCTTGCCCACAACGCAGCCGGCACGTGTGAGGCTTCTGGCACCCTGACCCCGGGCCTGGCAAGCCTTCCATAGTCTCCGTGGAGTTTCTTGGGCAAAGTTGGACGATGAAATTGTGATACCCTGCTGGGGAAAGTGGAGTGGGGTCGCTTCTAATTTCATCCTCGAGTTGGTTTGAAACCCATGCGCGAACCAGGTGCCCGATCCACATCACCAACGTCGTGCTAGTCGACCCGGTGACGAAGCAGCCGACCAGAGTCAAGAGGCACAACGCCGGAAAAATGTGGAACACCGCTTTATGTGAACGCTGCGCAGGCGGTACATGATGAACGGCGAAGGTGTTCGAATCTCCAAGGTGTCCTTGGACAAGAAGTTGCAGCTTTCATTTCTCGACCTCTGCGCTGCTTAGGTCTCTGGTTGTGCTATGCCCGAGCCTGTTCCGGTGGGCCTCAATGAGCGTGAAGTCCTCTGGAAGCAGCACGAGGCTGGACAATGGGCCGACACTGCATCTGGGGTCAGGGGTGTGTGTCGCAGTTTCCTTCAGGAAGGGGTGCTCCGGCAAGCGAAGGAGCGGCGCGGTCCACCCAAGGACAGTCGAATAAGTCAGTCAGGGCGGGTTGCTTTCAAGACTTTCAAGAGCCATACAAATTGGGCAGCGATGACACCGCCTCGGCAGGAAGACATCTTTGGAAACAAGGCGCCAGATGAGGGGCAGACGTGCTTGAGTGCAGCGAAGTTGTTGTGCTTCGGCACCTCGCTTTAGGGCAACCCGGGCAGGAGCACTTCAAGGCGCTTGTACGCCTCGTTCGTGAACGGCGCGCCGCTGAAGCTGCGAAGGGTGCAGAGGCAACTGGAGTCGAAAGTCTACGCATTGAGGTTAGACGCAGTCGTTTCAGCATCCGAGTTGCTTCCAGATAAGGGGGATGGGGGGGGGGGATATCAAGCTTCCCCCGCCGACTGCTGTTCCGGCACCAAAAACCGGGGCGCGCACAGGCGTCGGGGCGTCCGCCTGTCGAAGCCCCACGAACATAGAAGTCTTTGTTCTTCTGACTTTTGTGCAGGCGTCAATCTCTCCCTTCGCCGTGGAGTGACAATGCCGGAGAGCGGCTGTGGCGCTGGAAATACTGGAGCGAAAGGCAATGAAGCTTTTGGCACAGACAAGCTGCAATGCCAACATGTCCTCGAAGTCGCTGAGGGCCAGCTCCGCACATACCGGAAACAGGACATGGTGAACGTAAGGCGAAGTCCCACATGTCAGGTTTTCATGCCATCCTCCATGTTCGACCAACACGATAGGCTGCTTCCAGCACGAATCGGAGCAACATGCAGCACTTAGTTTTCATCGGCACAATGCAAATAAGCCATTACACAGCCATCACAAAATCGCATTTCTAGGCAGGATTCCAAAGATGCAGGATTCCAGGCCGGAGCGAGCAATGCAGTCACCAGTGCAGCTTGCTTGCCCGATTTGTCAGGAGGCCAGCAGGTTTGGTTACGTAGCATGTACGTTGTCAATAGCGAATGATGAGCACCATCAAGCTTCGATTTGCTTGACTCCCAAGCGCTGGCACCAGGATCAAATCAAGCCTTCTTCGATGTCGCGAGCGCGGTGCCCAGAATCTTTGGAATGTTGCAAGAGATGTGGTTGCTTAATCGCCGATGCCCTTTCGGCGTTCGCCGCCATCTGTTATCTAACCTTTATCCAAACCCTGCCGAGAGCGCCCCAAGCCCGAAGCCTATGCCCATCCATGGTTTCCCCTCAGGCGTTCGGCGAACTCGTAGATTTTGAGCTGCCTTCCCCAAAACCCAGAGGATTGGCAAGCTCCCTCAACCCAGATACCCTGGAGAGGCTTCGAATTTTGTTTACTTGCAAGGAATAGTGGATTTGGAGCTTTCCCGGACCCTGCTGACTTAAGCAACCGGAAGAATGGCTTGCTCAACTCTGATTCCGCTTTTTCCAAGAACAAGTGGACTTCAAGTCTTGCTTAATCTTCCTGCATGATTGTGACAATTATGTGAGCATCTGTTATCCCTTCTACCGAGGTTGCTTCCTGTGGCCACCACTTTTGCACCACGTGCATCGAGAAATGGGCAGCCAGTTGCTCTTCATGCCCGCTGTGTAAGCAGGACGAGTCATGTGACAGTAAAGGCAAGCAGCGGCCCAGCGGTTCATTGCGAACGCAGGAAATGGGCGCCCTTCTGCCGTTAAGACAGCGGCATCGTGAGAAAGGCGCGGGCAATCGCCTTCCACGGGACATGTAACGAGTGCGTGAACCAGAAGACAACTTGTGAATAGGCTCTGCTCCACCAAAGCGGCGGCTCGTTCCAATGCGACAGTTGGACAGCTTGAATTTCGTGAGTCTGCATTCGATCAAGTGCTAGTGCTTCGCACATCGCGCGTCTGCCTCAGCTCAATGGTACAAATCACAGCGACCCTCAGGCCCTCAGGCCCTCAGGCCCTCAGGCCCTCAGGCCCTCAGGCCCTCGACCGACAGCAAGAGTGTCAAATGGAATTTGAAGCGCTGACTTCGATTCTTGACTCTTGACCTCACATGACACTCAAAGCTTCAGAACCCTAGCACCGTGAATCAGAGACCCACCAGCCCTTTTTAAACGACAAAACCGTCAATCTGGCTTATGCCCTTGATTCAACCTTTAACCCGCTGCATATTTGGAATAGATTCTTTCAGTGATCCGGGAAAGCCATTCGAAGAAACAGGGAATTCTTCCGATCATAAACGGGTCCTTTGACGTCTTGTGCCCTGGTGGTGTTGCAGGAAGTGCACGTGGATGAGGCTCTGTCTTTCTTCTGCACCCAGTTGCATGATGTTTCAGTGGCAGCAGCAGTGCAGCTTGATGCCGCCCTCAATAGCATCGGCTTTCTGAATATCGGGCATGGACGCAGGAGCATAGTGGTAAACTTAGTTCAACAGGATCTTCTGATTGTTTGTAAACCATCTTGGTCGTCAGGAGAAAACGCATAGAAACTAACTTGATAGAACGGCTGCCTTGCCCATGGCTGAGCTGAATCTCCGCGGCTGCGGATTGGAGGCAGGCTTGAAGACGTATGCAACACAACGGCGCAAGCCAGGGTGACCGCAAGCAGCATCTCATGAACAGCCCGCATCGAAACACCGGTACATCGGTACATCAGGCCCGGTCCGGGCCCTCGCTCCGTCCGGCTTATCGGCGTTGCGTTCCGGCGTGCCGAGTCTCTGCAAATGCCTGCCCGCACCGATACACAGAGCCGAGCGGTGTATCGACGTAGCGGCATATTTGCCTTCCGCGGACCCCCGAACGGCGTGTCGGGGCAGCGCACTGGCGAACCTGACAAAGCCCTACAAATCAATGACATACAAGGAAGGTCGGTGTAAGAACATGATTTGGTTTTTGAAGGCAGCAGAGTTGGAGAGCTTAGCCCCGGCGCTGAAGGCAAGGGGAGCACATGTCTCGCTGACTTGAGCTCACTTGAAAAACGGTCGCAGGAGAAACTCAGAAACTGGAAACACTCATCAAACTCTTGCTCGGTAGGAGAAAGCGCACAACATCACTGCCGTGGACCTGAGCGACAATGCTCTCGGCGACTCTGCAGGCGTGCCAGCTGCCGGGAACACAACAAATTTGTCGTGAGCTAGTCTGCTAGACAAGTTTGGTTGCTGCTTGAGAAGTATCCTGTTTGGCCAGTGGATAAATAATGTGTGCACGCCGCAGAGAAGACCGCGCGAGACCGTTCTGGGCTGAAAAGGTAAACCTCTGCTTATCAGCACATGGTGCAAGCTATATGCTTTTTGTCGGGGTCATTCGCAGCACGTGCGCTGTACCCATCCGTACCCCTGCGACCAGGCGGCAAAGTACTAGAATATCTAGTGGAGAACGACTTGGTGACAAGAGTGGTGCTTAATGACAACGATCTCGGAGCCTTTGCTTGAAATGTGGTCGAAGGAATCTCAAAGCAGTTCAAAGCACACAGTGAGAGAGCTGAACACTGCACTCTTCTTGATGGCCGTGACGTTGGATTGCGGGGATCTGCGGCTCAGGAGACGAAATCGCAGAGGTGTTGGCAAAGCTGGTGGAGATGAACTCCACAATTCAACAGCTGGTCCCTTGGCGATCCCAGACAGCATAGCAATTCCGCAGACCAGAGCCAAGATGATGTCCCGGCTCTTTGGACTCTTTGCACTTGGAGCACAAGACCTGCTAAATGTGTTTTTGGCATCTGGCACCATTCGTTCACCAAAGGAGCTTCAGGGAAACGCTATCTACACAGAGGGCATCTCACGATTAGCTGCTGCCTTACCCAAAAACCGAGTCTTGGCGGCAGCTGAACGGGGTGCTAGTGGCATTTATTCAAACTTCCAAGCTTCAGGGCGAGTTGGGTCACTTGGGTCAGCAAAGGCACGCTACAGCATCTGGATCTGGGCCACAACCAGCGCCTTGGAATCCAAGCGAAGAGGAAGTTTATAAAATGGCGCATTGCTGGAGTCAGGCTCGGCATCCATGGGGCCGAGCTCCTTTCGCCGGGCTTGCCGGGGTGTCTTTCCTGCAAACTGGGAGCGAACTCGAGGCGAAGAGCTTCCGGAATATCCCAATAATTCTGGGAGCAAGTCGAATTGGTCGTGTGGGGCTTCTGGCCGGACATTTGGCCGCAAGCATTCAGGACCATTTTTTGCATCTGCACTTCTACACAAGGTCATCGCTGACAAGCCTGAACTTGAGCGGCAACAGAATCTGTGGCAACCTGGTTGCACTGAAGGCTTAGGTGACATGTGCATTTTTTGCGTGCTCCGTACACAAGTCGCTCGCAGAGCCACTGAACCCAATGATGTCTAGCTGTGATGATTGCAACGTGATGCAGGAGCTGGCGCGCAGCATATTCTATTGAGCACCAAAGACGCAGGCTGCGCTGAACAGTGAGCTGAAGTGTGGGAGGAATTTTCAGCTGCAGCCTCAATTCCCAGAAATGGTCATGCATTGGCCATGGTCAGAAGCGTCTATGCCTTCGTGCTTTCAGATGTACACTACGTTTAACTGGAACCCTCTTGCTCACTGTACTGTTTTCCGTGTGCAGTAGCCAAAGAAAGTTGACTTTAACCAAACCATCAAGCCCCCAAACTCGAGGTTTGTTGAAGTATGGTCTTGCAGTTTAGAGCCTGTAAATCGACGTAAGATGATAAGGAGTATTTACAGACGATACTTGTAAGGCTTTTTTCGGGTAGTGGTCGTATTGTAAGGTCCAGTCGCTTGCCTTGCCACAGTCATGCAGGATTGCTGACATTCTTTCTGAATTGTCCGGCCGTTGTACACGGTAAGGATACGTCCTGAGAAACATGCGTGCCGTGTGCAAACACTGCCTAAGAAGCAACATGAACTGTAACGGTTTGCCCGAACAAGCAACAAACGCCCAGGATTTCAAATCCGGAACCTGAACTAGTGCCGGTGGCAAGAGGTGCGATGGCTTACCTGGATCTGGCTATGAATGAGATTGGCTCGCAGGGCATTGAGCTGATGTGCCCGGCACTGGCAGACTACTGGCAGAAGATGGGATTGACCCTAATTAAACCCTAAACCCTGAACCCTAAACCCTAAACGCTTTGCTGCCAGTGCCTCCACTTTGATGCTCTTTGCATCGCTGTGCTGAGGAAAATGGCACCGTGACGAGCCTGAACCTGGGAGGTAACCGCATAGACGCGGAGGGCGCCGAACGTCTCTGCAGCGCGATTTCTGAGAATGCAGCGTTGCGCATCTTGATACTGGGAAAGAAGCTCGGCATGCAATTTTGGAGGTCATCCTTGCCAGCAACCCATGCACACACATTCATACTACTGGTACAAAATGAGATCTTGTCCATTGGCACCTGCGTGTCAGGAATGAAATCGGGGAGCAGGGTGCTGCTTCCGTGGCCGCCTCTTGGTGTGAACCTAACGTCTCCAATCTGCAGACTCCATCTGTGAAGGCCGAAAGGATACTCTTCGTTTTCTCATGGTTTTCCTCACCTGCCTCTCTTGATTCCCTTCCATTTTCTCTTGAGTGACGATATTACCAAGGAAGCCGAAAGTAGAGGGGGAAGGAGTGCCCCCCCCTCATCACACTGTCTGAGAATGGAATTTAAGAAGTCAGAAGAGAGATGCGGCGGAGACACAAGGTGGAGGTAGAGGCAAGAAGGCAGGGCGCTCTCTCTCGCTCTCCCCTCTGCCTCCCTTGCGCGTGTTCCCCTAAAGACCCCTAGCGATTAGCGTTGAAGCCCTCCTGAAACACATGTGCCGGCCAAGGACATGCTGAAGCGGAACGGTCGGCTGACATGCCTGGACCTCACGGGCAACAGCCAGCCTGCTGCACCCAGCAGAATTTCCTGAAACGAGACATCAGTCCGACGTGCAGGACCTCTGCACTTTTTACAATGTCATTTGCAACGTCAGTTATGCCCTCTCCACTTCTAAAGGCCCCATCAGTTTTGTAGAGCATCGCGCCAAATCAAGATCATTCACAAACGGAGTCGGTAAGATATGCAGAAGAAGCTGAATACTGCATGCCCTGGTGCCGACTACCCGGCCTAAGCCAACTCCAGTCCACTCAGCTTTCCTTGTCTAGTCATTCATTTCACTGCAAGTGTGTTTGTTGGCTGTTTTGCCGAGCTCGGTTCTTTCTTTGGGTGCCGGTTCAGATTTGCAGCTTTTGATGGCTCAGCTGCGAGTGTGCACGGAACATGGCTCACTTGCACAGCACCACTTTTTTCAAAGGCATTGGCGACGTGGGCACGAAGCACATTGCCACTGCAATCGAGCATCTCTGCTGAAGTTGTAGCCTCGCCAGAATGCAGGTGTCTTGCAGAAGCATCCGCTGGAACACGGATAAGCAGTATAAATGACAGGGGGAGGAGGAGGAGGAAGGTACTTCAGAGAAGAAAAAAGGAAGACGATGAATAAGAGAAGACGGAACCATTTGTGTCTACGGCAGACCAGTCGTGCTTCATTTGCAGTTTCCATGAACCGAGGAGTGGCTTCGTTGATGAAGCATTAGGAGCATGTTCATTCGACGATGTTCATCCGAATGTACTGATTCGAGGACGCACCGGAGCTTCAAAAGCCTTGCCCTCGCTCACAATGCTATCTCTGACCAGGCCATACGCTGTGCGACTTCAGCATCTTCAGAGAACTACCGTAGCTTGAGAGAATCTTCAACTTCAGAGGACGGAAAGTTGAGGCGACTGTAGACGCCGCACCCTGGCACGCGCGCATTTGCCTGCAGGGCGCCGGTTTCCTGGCGTCTGCAGCGCACGTGGTGCCGCTGTGTTCCCTGGCTTTGGCAGGGAATGCGATTGGCACCTCAGCTACTTCAGTGCATTGCCCAAAGAACTCCGGAACTCGAGAAACAGCTCGGCTCCAGACGCTGTTGAGGCGATGATGGAGGCACCCAGTTGTTGCAAGCAGCAGGGCAGAATCCGGAGCTGGTGGCCCAAGCCTCAGATCACGACTCTGCAGCTACTGGTAGCGCCACCGACGTGGCTGATGTGTGAGTTCACAGGATCTAGAATCCAATATAGAATGGTACGGTGGCCCAGGGACATGTCAACCGGAGCATGGGAAGTGCAGGTTTTGAGTGTACGCGATTCTCTTTGCAGTGCAAAGCTGTGCTTTCCGAATTGTCCGAGGCCATAGACCTGCTGCCTCGTGGCAGCAGTCGGAAGAACTCGGAAGAACCCGGAAGAACTCTCTCAAGCTCAGGGGGACATTTCTTGCCACGCCTCTCATCAGTTCTCAACAGCTCCTAATGTGAGTGGTTGTCAGGAAGTAGCTGTGAAAAGCTCATGCGAGCACCTCCTTTGCCAAGAGCATGGCTGAGGTATAACAACCTCAGTCCTGAGATGGCCGACTCCATAGAGAAGCTCATGAGCGATAGGTCTGATACGTCACAAAGCCACCTTCAGAGCTCTTAGATTATCTTAGGCTAGGATGTTGCTGCTTGCAGCAGTCGAGGAAGGAAAAGCTTCGCTCACCTTGCAGATGAGTAATCATGAGCACCACAAATCGAAGAGCCCTCTGTTAGGACCTACCATGTGCACATCAGGAGGTACCGGCACTCTGACTTTACGCGTTCTCCGCAGGCCCTGGGCACCCTGGGCAACCCAGACAGTGACCAAGACAACTGCCAGGCCCGCAGAAGAAAAGAATAGAAAAGACCTCCGGCCTCGAGAAAGTGAAAGGGTTGATACAGTTGATACAACCTGCGAACTTGTGCAAACAGGTGTGCGGTGGCTGTCAAGATGCACACCTTCTCCTGCTTTGCGACGGATGCAACGCTGGGCACGCGTCTTAGGACTTACATCTCAGCATACACTGCTGCGTGACCCTATGACAGGCTTGCATTTCGAACAATGTCATTGATGGGTTGAGTCAATCCATGCCCCAGATGTGCGATGTAGGTACCACACCTTTTGTGTTGGAATTCCTTCCGTTCCGCCTGGAGATTGGTATTGTGAGAGGCTGGCAATGCCCCGAAAGGCGCATGCAGCATGTGCAGCATGAGGAGACTGAGTCCAGGTGCGAAAATGAGCGAGGCATAAGGCGGGTCGGAAACGCAAGCTTTCCATGATCTTTCGTGGGTATCCGGACATCGCTGCATGCCCCAGCTGAAGGCTTTGCTTGGGAAGGCCACCAGGACGTGCTGACCCCAGCAAGATATCAGGAAGGATGCGTGCGGCTGCAGAGTAGAGGATGCACCGCCATCCTCGTAGATGCTTGAACCAACAACGGCCCAGGAATCCTTCCCCACAAGTCCCCGCCTTGGACGCCGAGGCCAGTCCTTCCTCGGCTGTGGGGCAGCTGAGGCCTTCTCTTGATTCTCTTGCAGTCGTGCGAAGACAGTTTTGCTATGTTTTGCTGTTCAGTGATTTCATTGGAATGGGCAAGCCCACATGTTTGGGCCCTGTCTTACGTTCGTGGCAAAATGATCAATCGGTCAACGCCTTGTGTCTGGAGAGACAGCTGAAGAGATTGTGACTGACCTTGCTTCCCACCGAAGAGAGTCGTCTTGCCTGTTGTGTTTTTGCTGGGTTGATGTTCATTCTTGTCCTTTCTTGGATAGAAGCATTTGGAGAGCAGAATCACTGTGTCGCAATAGGCTTCTATGACTCAGGCTTTAGCTCTTCCAGATATGGTGAACACTTTGCAGATTGGCAGCAGAGAACACAAAGACCAAAGCGCAGGCTTGGATTGACCGGTAAAGGTGTGATGCCTTGGCAAACGTCGGACCAGGGGGGGGGGGGGGGGAGTGAAGCACGATTCAAGCGGTTTGGGTTGTTGCGATGGAAGTGTGATGGCGCAGATTTTTCTGCCGGGGCTGACAAATCCGGACCCGTTTTTCTGCAGCTAGCTTGCAGGCCGGGATTGGGAGGGTGGGCTCGCGAGGCGTCGGTTGCCCCTGCTTCCCAGATCTTCCATGAAGCATCACGTGCCATCATGTACCACAAGAAGCTTCTCAGGTGCCAAAATGCCCTTGGCAGCACGCAGAAACCTATCTGCCTCAAAACGCTTTCGCCCTGACTTGCGGAAGCTGCGTGACACTGTGCCTGTGATTACACCTCGTTCGGACCAACATTGCAACTGCCTGCATCAGGGGCCTGATGCTCTGGCATGCACATGTACCAGATGTGGCATGGCCTCCATATCGCGCTCGATGGCGCCATGTCACTCAAGACGCGGTTCCCGCAGAGAGTTTTTGTCTCCCTCCTCCCCCAAGGGTACAGGTCTGAGAACACAGAGAAAGCATGTGGAGGCTGAACAGGCTAGCCGGACAGCAGCCGATCGCCGGACGTTGCAAGAGAGCTGCTGTCGCAATTCTTTTTGGTGTCTGCACAAGGATAAAGGGCTGCAGTGATTCGCTCTTCCGCGCACCTCGTTGAGAGCTTTGCACAAGCTTCGCCCAAGATCCGCCAGGGTGATCGACCTCGTCGTCGACTGCGTCCATGCACAGGCACCTCCCTGCATTTTAGCAATGCGTGCATCGCTACATATCCCGATCTGTGTGTGAGAGGCATACCTGGCGATCCTCCCTGACCGACTCTGTTTCCGAGCATTGTGCTTTGAGACGGTTCTAAGGCAAAAGAAAGGTGTTTGCGCATTGACCCAACTCCCTGTGTTCATTCTTATGACCGGCTGGTATGTAGACTGCTGTAGCCGCTGTTGCCACTGCAGCTCATGCTTTACATCCAAGTTACATACCCACGCGCCGCATATCATGTGACTTCTCAGAACAGACCAGCTGTTGGGTTGGCTGTTTAAATTTTCCAGCCCTCAGGAAGTGCGCAGGAAGGTGCCGTAGTGCCGCCAGTTCAGATCTATCTCTACAGACCACCGATACCTATACATTTCAGCTTTCCTCCTTCGTGCACCGTTCGGTGCCATGACTTTGGGATGGCTGAGGGGTGTGCTGGACTTGGTCTCGCGAAGCAGTGCAGTCTCGAGCTAGTGCCGACATGTGTCGACCCGTTGTAATGGCAGATTCTTTGTGCCGCAATTCATGCTATGTTAGGATGAAAGAAGTAGCGCTCACTGTGCGACTACAAACTTACTAGATTTGCCGGGACCTAGAAGAAGAAGTTGAATCAGCCATCGATTCATGAGGCTGCCTGGCCAGTTCATCCTACTGGCTTCGTGAGAGGCTAAGTTGGTGAAGAAACATCAAAGCTCATTGCAGCCTTCGTTGCCGTTTGGCATTCGTACCATGTGTACTTTGTACCTCCATGGCCGCTACGCCATGCTTCTCTTTCCCCTCCGCAAGCTGGCTGAGGCTTCTTTGGACAAACTCTGGGAGCTCCAGCCCTAGATACTATCTCATTTTCACGGCTGCCTGCATGATGTCGTGTCATCGCCTACTCGTCGCTGCAGCAGTAGCAGGAGCAGACTTAAGCGTACTATTGTCGGTATAAGCCGCTCTTCCAACGCCAGTGTACTTGCAAGGCGAACAACACGTCAGTTTCTGAAGTTCTTGTGTGCTCGCATGTCTTTACATGCCAAGGCTTGAGCGCAAATTGCTGGAACCTCAAGAGGAGTCTGTCTCCGAGGTGGGCCAATGCAGACCTTAAATCAGATTGATACAGTGCCGCGTTCGAGAGAACGATGCAAGTTGCTGCCAGGAGGCTGGCGCCCGAAGCCAGGCCACATACTGCGCCGCATAGCCATGCTTCTTGTAGGTTTTCCTTTATGCCCTGCGCTCTTTCTCCGGGCAGGCAAATCAAAATGAGACACTTCCTCGAATAGAAGGGGATGCCTATTCCCTTGCGGACGAGCCAGAGCGAGGCGGATATTGCAGTGAAGTTCGGCAAAGAGATGTGCCGAGATCCTCAGCACATCTCATTGTTTCTCGGCAGGTGATGTGAGCGGCGTTGTGCAGTCCTGTTTGGAGGGCTCCTTATCCCTGAAGCAGGCCATCGTGAAACCTTGTGCTCCTTGCCTGTTGAGTCTTGTCGAGCATAGCTTTCGAAGCTTTCTCGAACGGAGGCAGTGAAGGACGAGGCAATCGACCCAGAGGAGATCAAAGCCATCATGGCCCGCCTCGGGCGCTTCTCCGGCTGCACCTTTGACTGCCTCACATCGGCTTTGTTTGCATTGCCTGTGAACGGGAACCAAGGTTGCGCCAGTGGAGGCCAGCACATGGGCTGTACTTTCAGAGTCTTCTGGGATCTTCCTTTGCAAGCTTACAGCACGCCATGCATGCATACATATGAATATATATATATATATACATATGGTACCCCCCCCTCCGAAACCCCACGTCTCAGGTCACCAATTCGCAGATTCGCAGATTTGTAGCCCCAATCTGCAAATCTGCGAAACCTCGAGAAACGCGGATTCGCAGATTCGCAGATTTGTAGCCCCTAACCAATCTGCAAATCTGCGAATCTACGAAACCTCGAGAAAACGCAGATTCGCAGATTTGTAGCCTCCAACCAATCTGCAAATCTGCGAATCTACGAAACCTCGAGAAAACGCAGATTCGCAGATTTGTAGCCTCCAACCAATCTGCAAATCTGCGAATCTGCGAAACCTCGAAAAAACGCAGATTCGCAGATTTGTAGCCCCCAACCAATCTGCAAATCTGCGAATCTACGAAACCTCGAGAAAACGCAGATTCGCAGATTTGTAGCCTCCAACCAATCTGCAAATCTGCGAATCTGCGAAACCTCGAAAAAACGCAGATTCGCAGATTTGTAGCCCCCAACCAATCTGCAAATCTGCGACTCTGCGAAACCTTGAGAAAACGCAGATTCGCAGATTTGTAGCCCCCAACCAATCTGCAAATCTGCGAATCTACGAAACCTCGAGAAACGCAGATTCGCAGATTTGTAGCCTCCAACCAATCTGCAAATCTGCGACTCTGCGAAACCTCGAAAAAACGCAGATTCGCAGATTTGTAGCCCCCAACCAATCTGCAAATCTGCGAATCTACGAAACCTCGAGAAAACGCAGATTCGCAGATTTGTAGCCCCCAACCAATCTGCAAATCTGCGAATCTGCGAAACCTCCAGAAACGCAGATTACCAGATTTGTTGGGGCGTGCAAATCTGCAAATCTGCGAATCTGCGTTTTCTCGAGGTTTCGCAGATTCGCAGACTTGAAATCTGCGTTTCCTCGAGAAAACGCAGATTCGCAGATTTGTAGCCTCAATCAATCTGCAAATCTGCGAATCTGCGTTTTCCTCGACCTCAAAATCTGCTATTTAAATAGGCCTTCATACTTAGATTGGTTTTTCGGGGAGGAGAATTTAATAATATAAATATTCTAAGAAATAAAGGAGTCTTCATGTTTAGATAGGGGCCTTCAGATTTAAATTACTTAACTCGGGCAGGGACTGAAATGCCAGTTAAATACGTGTAAAAATTTTCAATAATTTTCATGCTTTAAATCCTGAAGGGGGGTCCTGGCCCCCTCCCGCAAGGAGAATTAAATAATGGAACAACTGAAATCTGAGAGGGCCTTCAAATTTAAATCTGAGGGGGCCTTCATATCCCCCCCCCAGAAGGAAGGAGTGGCCCCCCCCTTCAAGATGAGAATTATTTAAATTTTGTAATTCTCGCCCCCTGAGCTAAATAATGTAAATATGGAAGGGTCTTCATATGTAAATAGGGGCCTGCGCATTTAAATATGCACCGAATTTAAATAAGATAAATGATTCGGGGAGGGGGTTTAAAAACTTTCATGAAAGAAAATATTTCAAATAATTGGATCCTGAAAGGGGAGCCTAGCAGCCTAGCAGGGGGAATTAAATAGTTTAAATCTGAGGGGGCCTTCTTTTTTACTTATTAACTTGTCTAATTCCCCCCATAAGGAGAGAGCCCCCCCCCCCCCCTTCTTTCAGGATTTCAATTATTTACCTTATTTACATCAATGTGTTAAAAATGGTCAAATCCTAGAAGGGGGGCCTGGCCCCCTCCCGCCGGGGGAATTACATAATTGAAATCTGAAGGGGCCTTCATATTTAAATGAGGATGTTCATATAAAAAGAATACGTTATTTCATTCCCTCCAGAAGCTCCCCGCATTTTAGGATTTAGGTTATTTAAACTATTTGATTTTCAAATTTTTATCCCCACCAAATTAAAGAAGCTAGATAGTTTAAATGTGGAGGGCCTTCATATTTACATGATTTAATTCGGGGAGGAGAATCACATAAATCAAATATGGAGGGACTTTCATATATAAATAGGGCCTTCATATTTAAAACTATCCAATTCGGGGAGGGTGTTTAATTAAATCATTTAAATAATATGTATCAGATATTTTATATAGTTGTACTAATTTGAAGAAATTAAGTCCTGAAAGGGGGGCCCTGGCCTCCTCCCGCGAAGGGGAAGTAAAACATTAGGTAATCTAAATCTGAAGGGGCCTTCATATTAAATAGGGGCTTCATATTTAAAGTATTGAGTTCCCCCCAGAAAGGAGGGAGCTGCCCCCCTTTCCGGATTTACACAGTTTAGTTGTTTAAATGCACCATGTCGAAGCCTGTCATACGAAACATCGATGCTAGCCGATCTTTTTTCTTAAACGTGGGGTTTTGGAGGGGGGGTAGCATATATATATATATACACACACATATATATTAATATGTATGTATGTGTATATATATATATGGAACCCTCCCCATGTACCCACGCCTTTTTCCAGAATCTCAGCTTCTGCAGCAAGGCGTGGGTTGTTGGGATCGGGTGAGTGCCTGAAAATCTGTAATACGTATATAAGCAGACGAGGCCGAAATATACTTATTTAGTATACATAAGCACGTAAGTTTCGCTCCGAAACAAGATCAAACAAGATGGAACGCATTCAAATGCATTCAAAACGCATTCAATTTGAATACGCTTTTGGATTCAAGATTCAAGATTCAAGATTCCCGGGCAAGTTCTCCCGGGCACCTTGAATCTTGAATCAAAAGCGTATTCAAGTTGAATGCGTTTTGAATGCATTTGGATACGTTTTGAATCGATTTGAATCTGGGCTCTCCTAGGGACTCTCCTCTTTAAGATTTACGGACCCCTCTTTGGGGCTTAGGGCATAGGACTTGGGGAACAATAAAGAATTCGGGATCCCACCGTTTAGGGCTTAGCGCAAAGAATTTAGGGAATTGGACCTGTTTGTGCCCCTCTTTAGGGTTAGGGAATCGGATTTGAGAGTAAACACAAGGGAATAAGATTAAGGGATCCCGCTCTTTAAGATTTAGAGAAAGGAATGAGGCAATAAACGCAACTTTTGCTTTCGGATTCTGGCTTAGGTTTAGGGTTTAGGGTGTAGGGTTCAGAGGGTTTAGGGTTTAGGCTTGCAGACCTGCATCTTTAGGACTTGGGGCTTTTCTAGGGGCTCTCCTCTAAGATTTACATACCCCTCTTTTGGGCTTGGGGCATAGGACTTAGGGAACCATAAAGAATTCGGGATCCCGCTTAGCGAGAAGGATTTAGGGAATAGGACCTGTTTTTTAGATGTAAGGGCCCCCTCTGCAGGGATAGGGAAGCGGATTTGAGAGTAAATATAGGGGAAAAAAAAGATTAAGGGATCCCGCTCTTTAAGATTTAGAGAAAAGGAATGAGGCAATAACAGTCATTGTTGCTTTCGGATTTTGGCTTAAGTTTAGGGTGTTTGGTTTAAAGGGTTTAGGGTTTAGGCTTGCAGACGTGCATCTTTAGGATTTGGGGATTTTCTAGGGGCTCTCGTTTTTAAGATTTACAAACCCCTCTTTGGGCTTTGGAAATCGGACTTAGGGAAAACTACTCAGGGAATAAGATGGGGAAGAAGATTTCGGGATCCCACCCTTTAGGGCTTAGCGAAAAGGATTTAGGGAATGGGACCTGTTTTTATCTGATTTGAGAGTAAATATACGGGAATAAGATTAAGGGATCCTGTTAAGATTTAGAGGAAAGAATTAGGCAAACAAATGCAAACAATTTCATTTTTGCTTTCGGATTTAGGGCTCTTCTAGGGGCTCCCCTCTTTGCGATTTGGGATAGTTATTTTGAAAAGGCTCCTCTTTAGGATTTAAGGACGCCCCTCGGTAGGGAATAGGACTTCGGGAATAGCATAATAAGATTTGGGTCCCACCCTTTACGGTTTCGCGACAAGGATTTAGGGAACAGGATTTGTTTTTAGGATTTAAGGGCTCTCCTTCTCAAGAGTTAGGGGCTCTCCTCCTTAGAATTTAAGGATCCTATTTACCAAATCCTTATCACTAAATCCTAAAGAGCGGGGTCCCTACATCTTGTTCCCTAGATTTTCTTCCCCTAATGTAATTCCCTAAGCCCTAAGGAGGGGCATCCTTACATCCCATTGAGGAGAGCCCTTGCATTTTACAAACCAATCTTGTTCCCCAAGTCCTCTGTGCTAAATCCTAAAGAGCCGGATCCCCAAATCTGACTCCCTAAACCTTATTTCCTTAGTTTCATTCCCCAAATTGTGATCCCTAATCCCTGAAGAGGGGGGTTCCTTAATTCCTATAGAGGAGAGCCTCCAAATCCTAAAAATACATCCTATTCCCGAAATCCTTTGCGCTGAGCCCTAAAAACGCCGATTTTCCAGAAAATTGCCGGAATTTCAAGCACAAAGCGCGGGTACACGGGGGGGGTAGCATATCTATATATATATATATATACACACACATGTTTCATGTATTCATGCTTGTATTTAGATACAGATAAATGAGCTGTTGTGGTAGTCTTTGTGCAATTCCGCGAATCTGCGAAAATATACCCACGAAAGACATCGAAGTGAAGAGGTTCCGAACAACCGACACCTACATAACATAAACCGAGCAACAAGCTGCAGGTTGGCACATGATGTCACAGAACACAGGCAGATTCCATGTTGCAGCAGCCCTGGTAGGCTCCTCTTTGATGAAGCACCTCTTCATTGACCAGGACATGGGTTGGTTGGGCTTGAAAATCAGACTTGAACATGGCTGAAATGAGCTGAACCAGACTGCACAGCGCAGCCAACAGCCGAACGAAGCTGCCTTTTGGGCATTTGTGCGTGTGTGCGTTTGTGTGCGTTTATTTGTTTGTGTGTGTGTCTGTCTGTCAGTCAGTCAGTCAGTCAGTCAGTCTGTCTGTCTGTCTGTCTGTCTGTCTGTCTGTCTGTCTGTCTGTCTGTCTCTCTCTCTCTCTCTCTGTGTCTGTCTCTGTCTGCATCTGAAGAAGACTGCAAGACTGAGAGAGATTTCGAGAGGGGCAGGCAACAATTAACGCCAAAAGATTTCCCGATGGCTTGTCGAACGCCAACATAGTTCTTACAAGATTTTTGGATACCCCCTCTTCTTGAGATGCGAAAGGCTCTGAGATGATGAAGTGGAAACTTGATGAGAGATGATACTTGAACTCAAAGGAACTGAAACAAGTAGAAGAATTAGAAGAAGAAAGGAAAAAAACAAACACCTTCGAAAGCAAGAACAAATGCATCTTAAGACTAGAAAAGAAGGAGCGTGTGTGAACACACTGTCGGGTTGTTTGCAGCTTTTGTGAGTCATGCTGCCCAAAGCAATTACTCAATATCCAATGATCGAAACGCTGGAATGTGCTAGCAGAAGCAGACATGCAAACTACTCCGCTGTTCAGATTCTGGCAAATGTCCAGCTCCTGTTCAGATGTTCTTGAAATCACAGCAACGCGCGAGTGATGTCTGCAAGGATGCGCCCTTCACCTTTCACGGCCAAATGCCGGGTGAGGACAAGGACAAGAAGTTTGCATTAAGGCCAGCATTGGCTCCCACATGTGCAAGGTCCGTAGGCGCTTGGGTCATGGGAGAGTTCGCCCGATCTCGAGATTCGGAAGGCCCTGGGCAGAGGCGGATGCAGCCTGCACGCCGGCAGCCGAACGGGCTGCTGGAGCTTCTTCACCGCAGGGGTCCCGGCCAACCTCCAAAATCAATGTTGCCTGGGCTCGAAGTCACCACAAGCGTGCCTCACAAGCGGAGTTTCATCATGTTTAAGAATTAAACTTGTAGCTCTTCAGCTGATTGTGCAGGGATGATACCGCACATTTGCTGACAGAGGCCGGGGAATTCCCGTTCCAGATATTTCCAGATGTCGAAAGAACGTAGCGAAGGTACTTTGAAAGTAAGATAAAGTAAGTAGGTCTTTCCACTTTCGACCGCTTGATGCTGTAACTCGGAGACCCGTCCAGGCAGGCCACTGCCTGGAGACCATTGGCAGAGCCATGGTGATGACTCCAGTGCTGGGCGCCGAGCATCTCATGGCAAAACGTAGCAAATCCACCTCAGGACAATTCTGCCCTCCGGCGATGTAGCTTTCAGACGGACTTCGTTCCAGCATGCTCCAGTTCAGGCGCCAGGGCGGACTTTCCAGTGCTGCAGGAGACCCAGACAATTTAGGGAACAGTCATGTGGATCACAGCCTGGTCGTGACATCGCATGCTGTGCGTGCGCGACAGTGTACTCTGGCCGCACCGCAGAGAAAAGAACACAATTGGAAATTGGCGAACGAGTGTTTTTTTGGGTCAGGTATCGTACAGCACCTGCCCTTTCTTTGCAGACAGTGCCAGAAGGTGATCCGGGGAGACCAGCCGCGGTAGCAGCGGTGCTCAATGCTTCTCAGGTGGTTTCCAGAGCCTGCGTAGGCCCTTTATGGATGACGCTTCAGCACACGCGCGTCAGGAAGGGCCATGGCAGGCAGGGTTCGTTGGAGAGCGCGGTGCCAAAGCTTGAAGTTTAGGTTTGGTCCAGTAGGCCACTTGTATGGCGGGTCTTGAGTCAGATGCTGGGTTGGGTCGGCATGTGTGGGGATCTCTGGGAGAGGTGGAGGCGACCTGTGTGTAGTGGCTGAAGCACCCTTCCGAAAGCCGTTGAATTCGTAGAGCTCTCGCATTTCGAAGCGGACGAGACCGTGACAGCCCAAAACCCCTAGAAGCGGACGAGACCGTGACATCCCAAAACCCCTAGAAGCGGACGAGAATGTGACAGCCCAAAACCACAGTGACAGCCCAAAACCCCTAGAAGCGGACGAGACCTTGACAGCCCAAAACCCCTAGAAGCGGACGAGACCGTGACAGCCCAAAACCCCTAGAAGCAGACGAGACCGTGACAGCTCGAAACCCCTAGAAGCGGACCCCAAAACCCCTAGAAACAGACGAGACCGTGACAGCCCAAAACCCCTAGAAGCAGACGAGACCGGGACAGCCCAAAACCCATAGAAGCGGACGAGAATGTGACTGCCCAAACCCCTAGGAGCGGACGTGACCGTGACAGCCCAAAAACCCCTAGAAGCGGACGAGAGCGTGACAGCCCAAAACCCTTAGAAGCGGACGAGACCGTGACAGCCCAAAACCCCTAGAAGCGGACGAGACCGTGACAGCCCAAAACCCCTAGAAGCGGACGAGACCGTGACATCCCAAAACCCCTAGAAGCGGACGAGACCGTGACAGCCCAAAACCCCTAGAAGCGGACGAGACCGTGACAGCCCAAAACCCCTAGAAGCGGACGAGACCGTGACAGCCCAAAACCCCTGACAGAAGCGGACGAGACCGTGACAGCCCAAAACCCCTAGAAGCGGACGAGACCGTGACAGCCCAAAACAAACACCCCTAGAAGCGGACGAGACCGTGACAGCCCAAAACCCCTAGAAGCGGACGAGAATGTGACTGCCCCTAGAAGCGGACGAGACCGTGACAGCCCAAAACCCCTAGAAGCGGACGAGACCGTGACAGCCCAAAACCCCCAGAAGCGGACCCCAAAACCCCTACAAGCGGACGAGACCGTGACATCCCAAAACCCGTAGAAGCGGACGAGACCGTGACAGCCCAAGACCCCTAGAAGCGGACGAGAACGTGACAGCCCAAAACCCCTAGAAGCGGACGAGACCGTGACAGCCCAAAACCCTAGAAGCGGACGAGAACGTGACAGCCCAAAACCCCTAGAAGCGGACGAGACCGTGACATCCCAAAACCCTAGAAGCGGACGAGACCGTGACAGCCCAAAACCCCTAGAAGCGGACGAGACCGTGACAGCCCAAAACCCCTAGAAGCGGACGAGACCGTGACAGCCCAAAACCCCTAGAAGCGGACGAGACCGTGACAGCCCAAAACCCCTAGAAGCGGACGAGACCGTGACAGCCCAAAACCCCTAGAAGCGGACGAGACCGTGACAGGCCAAAACCCCTAAAAGCGGACGAGACCGTGACAGCCCAAAACCCCTAGAAGCGGACGAGACCGTGACATCCCAAAACCCGTAGAAGCGGACGAGACCGTGACAGCCCAAGACCCCTAGAAGCGGACGAGACCGTGACAGCCCAAAACCCCTAGAAGCGGACGAGACCGTGACAGCCCAAAACCCTAGAAGCAGACGAGACCGTGACAGCCCAAAAACCCTAGAAGCAGACGAGAATGCGAAAATGTGATATCCCAAAACCCCTAGAAGCGGACGAGACCGTGACAGCCCAAAACCACTAGAAGCGGACGAGACCGTGACAGCCCAACACCCCTAGAAGGGCCTAGGGCGACAGCACGCATGAATAGGTGAGTTGCTTTTGCAGTTATCAGGACAGGTGATCGCGGGCAAAGATCTTGGTTGAGCAGTTTGAGCGAGGACACGACATTCAGCAGCAAGGCAGGATACAGTAGGACAGGCTCAGGTTAGAGTAGTAGAGTATGAGTATGTCGGGTGCCACAGGGCTGTTGAGTCAGGGGGTATTGTGGGGTTGTGTTTAGAGCATGGGGCGGGCAAGGAAGGAGTCCGTGGAATGAATGCCATGTTGGCTGCGGCATGTCGACCACATGAGGGTGTGCGCATCACGCGAATGAGGCACCCCAACCCAGGTGTGTGTTGACGTCTCGCTGTTTCGACTAGATGACCAAACGGGTGGGGCACACTTGGTGTGATGCAGTGGCCGGAAAGTATTCTGAAAGTTGGAAAGGACATCTTTGACACAATGACACAATGACACGAAGGCGAAGCGAAGGCGAAGCGAAGGGACGCAAAGCGAGCTCCACGATCGGTCGCTGCCGTGAGTGCGTCTACCAAGCCGGAATCAAGCTGCAAAGAACTTCAACCCATTGACTGTGCCATGCCCGTGGCACCTCACATTCGCACAAAGGTCTGGATGACGGCTCCTGTACTTGCTGCACTCCGCCCACAAGCAGAGGAGCGTCGTTGGTCACTTGTAGCAGGTCAGGGTTGGCGCATGTTCCCTGTGACAGGCTCGGCTGCGCAATGCGAGCTTCTTGTGACCGGTGGCAAAGACTCACCACAGCCTCGCAGGCCTCGGATTTCTGGAAGTGCCTCCCAAAGGGCGGTGGATGAAATCAGCTCTTGCAAGAGGCACAAAGGTTTAGCAGCCATGAAGGCCGCAGCTATCCTTGTATCGCTCTACATAAAGAGAAGCAGGAGCATCTTAGCTCTAACGAACGCAGAGATGAACCCACAGGCGAACTGCCGGCACTTTTTGCTCCTAGCTTTGGCAGTGTAGATTCCCGGGCAGTTTCGGGAACTGGCGCCGCTGGCCGAGGCCTTACTTTGCAACGTGCCAGCAAGCCATGTCAAGTCACTGCCAGCCAGTGTCACATTGAAGCCGAGCATGAAGCAACGAAAATCATGTTTCTTGGCTGACCTCGTTGCCATTGAAAGGCCGTGGCCGGCGTGGTCATGAGCGAGAAGGAGAAGGCGCTTCCAGCTCCATGTCAGGGCCCAGCATCTCATGAGACCTGGGTCAGAAGTGCTCATAGCAATGAGGCAGTCCGGAGCATATTCGCAAGCCTCCAAAAATAGTTCAACTGAGGTTCAGGGCGTGTTCATATTGTCAACACCTTTGATGGGGTCGGTTGATGGCAGGAGTGTTGCACCTTGTTATGGTCATGCAGGGCAAAAGCGAGAAGAAGAAGGATGACAAAAAGAAAGATGACAAGAAGGCTGGCCGCACAAGTGATTGTAAGTGTGTATGCAGTTGCGCTTTCGACAAAATTGGCTCATGCTCCTGCATCTTCTCTGTGTATTTCGTGCTCCATTAGCGCCTCCTTCAATTCCCATCTGGTAGTCCTAAAAAATATACCTTCGGGCTCCAGCCCATGACCCAACGTATCCTCCGCACTGGCCCAGCATATTGGTAGGCTTTTCGAGTTCGGGCAAGCCAATAAGCCAATCGGCTTATTGGCTTGCCGGCTGCAGCGGCTTGCGAAAGGGCTTAGGGTTTCGCGTTTCGCGACTGTAATGCCTTAAGGCTCCCTTGCAAAGAAGCATTCAACTTCATGAGCTGCCTCTTTGGATAAAGGGGCCCGTTGTGCCCCACGAAGAGGGCGTGGGCCCCGTGTCGAAGTTGCCAGCGTTGCTTCGAGTCAAACCTCAGTTTGGGGTTCGGTGAGGCGTCAGGGTCTGGGGCTCAGCACATCACCAATCCGGGGGTCACACCCCGCTGGAGCCGACGTAAGCCGAGCCAATAAGCCGGTATAAAGCCGACATCGGCTGAAATCGCCTCGGATCGGTTTATCGGCTTGTACGGGCTTCATCGGTTTATCGGCTGCCCCACGGGTGTCGGGCCAAGAAAGCGCGCGCACTGTAAAACTCACAAAGGATGCCTGGCACGTCCTAGAGCCACCAACCACTGCTCCGAATGCAGGCTGCAGCCAAGGGCCCGGCTATAAGTCTGGACCCGCCAAGTGGCACCCGAGACTTCTTCCCGACCGAGATGAGGCAGAGCTGCAAAGTTGCAGTGCAAAGCAAGTGCAAGGTGTGGACATGTGTTCAGACATGCGAGCCTTTGCAGGTTTCGCAATTGGCTTTTTGGACGCTTGCCTGATTGGCCACACTGCTGACACTGCGCGTCGCTTCAGGGACTGTATTGGATTGTTGGACGCCTTGCGCAAATGATCAGCATGCTGCTGAGGAGCCTTCAAAGAGACAGCTCGTAGATACGGGCTCCGGGCTGAGCCTTCACAGCCAACGGGAGAGCCATAGTCCTTTGCACCCCATATCACACAGTCCGAATACCTGCAACTTGCTGCGGTGTTCTCAGTGTTCCCACGTCTCTTGCATATCGGAGTTAGAGACTGAAAGCGTCTCTTGCATATCGGAGTTAGAGACTGGAAACATCAATGCTGCAACATGCTTTGGTGAGCATGGGGCGGGCCCAGGTTTCAGGAGTATGACGCGCCGGTCTTGGAGCATGAGGCTTGGGGTTGCCATAAGTGGGGTCATGTTGGGCCATGTTGGGCTGGCTGACAGCTGATCTTGTATTGGCACAGGAGCTTTACAAGCGGAAAGCTGGAGAGGAGATTACCGAGCAAATGCGACGCGGCCAAGTCATGAAACTGTCCGGGGTGGACGCCGAAGTGCGAGCCAAGCCAGTTCGTCTCGTTTTGACGAAGCAGGTACAACTTCATCGACAAGGACGGTGCGGCAGTGACCCTAAGGCCCCGGCGCTGCGCTACAGGGTGTAGTGAGTACAAGTGATGTTGGCTTGACATGGGTGGCTTTTCAGCGGGGCGCCTTTGCATTCTGTGCCTGTGAAGCCCTTTCTTCCCGAACGAGACCTCTGCGTGTGCTTCAGTCTTTCGTCGGTTCTTTGCAAATACCTGTTGGATCCTTGGCAGGCCTGAGATGACGCCCTCTCTTGCACGGATGGCTGTGCCCTTGGAGCGCGTGTGAGGGACACGATCCCTATTTCTCCTGTTGTTTCTTATTGCGTGTTGTGTTTGTGTGTCCAGTCTCCAAAAAGCAGGGAGGGGTCCCGGGCGAGTCGCAGCTCTCAGGTTCTCAGCCTCATGCGCGCCGAAACAGGCCAGCCGCGCCAGTTGTTTCCGCTTTTTGCTGCCCCCTGTTTCTCCACTCCTCAAGTAATGCGAGATGGGGAGCTGGTAATAGCATGAAGTTTGGCAGGTGAGATGTCGGCTCTTCTCCCACTGAAATGGTCATCCATCCCGCAGTGTTGGTCTGCTGCTCAGCATGTGGAAGGTTGTAAGGGGAAGGCGTTGACACAGGCTTTCGCAACCTTCCCATTGATGATCTGTCAAGCTTGTGCATTCCATCTTGGTTCGAGGAGATTTGAGACCTGCCAGCGTGGTCGGAAGCGAGAGCACTACCAGCAGCGACCCTGGACTTTCCTATTCGCCACATCCTAGCGAGTCACATGCGCTCGTGATGGATATCATAGAGAGCAACCGAAGCACCTTCAAATTGCTGCAGCACTATGGAAGACTGAAAGAAGCCTGAGGTGGAACATGGATATTGTTGGCATCACCTCCATTCATGCGGAGGCTTGTTATATCTCATGTCACTTCTGTGCGTTTGCCGGTGACTGCGGTCCATGCTTAGTTCCCGAGGTGGAGCTGCTCTCGGCCATCACCACGTTCTTCGAGCTTGCAAGGATCCTAGCTTGGGCCATGACAGCTCCATGCTTGTGGTATGCGACATGACGATGGGCGACAAGTGGACCAGATGCGGGCATGGGCGGACACCAGGGGTCTTGGGTCCTGACCTGACTCCTGACATACTGTGACTTATGATGGTCTGTTGGTACTTTCTTTTGCTTCTGAATGTTCAAGCTTGTCACAGGAAGCTTCCAAGGGCAGGGCTGACCGCGCTGTCAGAGAGTGCGTTGGGTTCTTTATCGTCTTGGAAGTTGCGCACTGTGACGAAAACGTTGATGTTTATAGGTTGCCGTGTGCAGGAATGTCTGCTCATGCGACAGAGACACAGCTACGAACTGCCCACGCCTGTCATTGAGAGAGTTAGCCTCAACTTCCAGCGCAGGTGGGTATCACATCCAAGGAGCTCTGCGAATGGAGGGATGCTTTGGGTAACGGGCAACGCAGCTTGTGACGTGCTGGGCATGCGAGGTGATGAAAGGGAGTGTCTGCAGTGCGGTCAATTTCCATTTTTGCAGGAAGTGGGCATCAAGGTGAACTCACGAAAGGTCCTCGGAGCCGTGCTAAAGAATGCCGGTGTACCGGTTCGAGACCCAGCTTGCCGAAAACTTGCGGGACTCGACCGAACTCCGAATGCCTGACAGCCATTGCCTCCCTATTAACTGCCCGGTTCGGTTCGAGTTAGGACATTTCGGATCAACCAGGAACCTAGGCAAACATTTCAAAAGGCTCGCCCGGGCCAGGGACAGGCCGAACATGTCGTCACAGCATGAGCACGTTATCATTTTGAATGTTGTCAAGAGCGGTTCGTAGTGTAGTCGCTCTCCTTTTGTCGAATCATGGGGTCCATAATGGCGAATGTCACATTTGAATAGTCGCAAGCTCACTGTAGACACTGAAAGCTGCTTATGTTGCCTCGTTCCGAGGAAAGCTATATTCCGAGCAGTCGCCAGCACTTAACAGCCAATCTTCAGGACGAAAGATTTACGGAGACCTGCATCGTCATAGACAAGCAGGACGTTCGGCCAGTGGGGCAAGGTTGGCATGACAGGCAGCGCCGTGCATGTAGGATTTTTGGTATGTGCCCATTACTGTCTCGACCATGAGGACAAGATCGGCCCAGAAGCAGTTGTGAAGGAGCTAACGGAGACACTCGTCATGGTGAAAAGACTGTCCCGAGTTAGCGATCTTTGTTTCCTGAAAGCGTTGCGAGGGGTCTTTCAGCGGAGTGCGTTCCTCTCATTGCCTTCGCAATGTTGTCTACGTGTGGATGACTTCGACACGGCGGTCGTCTCAATATGTGTTTAATTGAGGAGCGCATGCTTTCTGCACGGATGCGACTTTTTTGACCTTGGGACGTTCCGCGTGCGGAGGCCGATGTTCGGCCAGTTGTCGTTGAAAGTGAATCGTAGCGCTAAAGCCTGCGTGCGGCACGATGTGTATGCAACGTACACTGCAAGTGATTACGATTACATACTATTTCTACTACCACTACTCTTCGTGCTGCTGCTTCTACTGCTGCTGCTGTCCTTCTACTATCACTTCCACTACGGCCACCACACCACCACCACCACCACCACCACCACCACCACCACCACCACCACCACCACCACTGCCACCACCAACCGCACCTGCCACTACTACTGCAACTACCACTATCACTTCCGCCACCTACTTCTTTATTTGACGCTAGGCCTTCCTGCACGACAAGCTTCTTCGGCATCGGCAAACAGTGTTTTCGCACAACTGGTTTTCCTACAACTGCTCCAAATCCTCAATGGAGTTGCGAACGCTGCCTCACGCACTCCTTTGTTTTCGGTTCAGCTACGGCTTTGCAACTCTGGGGTTCGCCTCTGGAGGAAAAGAAGCGAGCTGTCTTCAGTGATGATTCAGTCTCCACTCTTCAGTGATGATTCAATCGTCTCGTACATTGACAGCATAAGTCGAGCATATTTCGCACTGGCATGTATACCACTTCGTCAATGCTTTGCGCTGCTCGAGCCGAAGGGAGCATGCCTCGGAATGCCACAACTCTGAAAGCCTCAACCCTAATCAACGTTGTGCAACCTCATACTGTAGCTCTCAAACCGTCACACCTAGCTAGATCTTGAAGCTAGAGCCAAAGAAGTGCAACCCTACAAGTGTGAAACCCTCCACGGTGAGCCCTGAGCCCGCGACCAAAGCAGTGTAAACCCAAAACTCTCAACACTCAGCCCTGCACCCGCACCAAAAGCCTTCCAACCCCAGACTCTACACTCTGACCCCAAAACCCAAACCCATTGCAGTGAAACCCCCAACGACGGGAATTCCTGAACCCAAAACCCCAACCCCCCGAAAACCTGAGCCCCCCAAAATAAGCCTGATAACAACAAGCAAAAAACAACGCGCAAAACCACGGCAAAGTTGAAAGCACGTCGTTGTTACGAAACATTGGTTTTACCAGCGCAAAAAACAAGATGTTCCTAACCAGTTGGACACGCGGGTGGTAGTCGTCCGTACTCAGCGAACTCTCCTGCCGAACTGATTGTCCCGTTCTGGGTTCCAGGATCAATGGTCCTTGTACAGTACATCAGAGCACAAGTGCTGCAGAGCTGCGCATGTCAGCTGATAATATGTTCTCACGAGCCCTGGTCTAAGGAATATTGGCTTGGAAAAGGTCTGTGCCCGAGCCAGCAAAGTAGCGGTTAGCACGTACTGATTTGGTTGTGTTTAGAGCCTGCAGCCGGCTCGTTATTGTTGAAATCCTGAACAAGACCAAGCTGCCCCACGCGTTGGACGTTCTACAATAAACTGGAGCTACATGTTGGGTCATGTTTGTGCTGTTGCTGCGGCCAGCAGCGGTCCTCTGCAACAGACGTAGGGACGTAGGGAAGTGCAAGCACCAAGCACTTTTCAGGCGGTTGCCGAGCGCATTGTCAACGCCACAGCCGTGTGCAGCTAAGCCGAAAGATGCAAAGAAAGAATTTGCGAGAGCACTTTAGGTCCTTTAGGTGTGCTGCTGGTTCTGTAGCATTGAGGCCAAAACGCTGGATGAATTTGCAGCTTTGGCTGGTGCCGCTGCACTCAGCACTCGTTCAGCACAGTTGCGCTGTTGAGCAAGGAGGGGGCTACGGGATTCACATGGACAAGCGAAGTCGGCTCTATCACGAACACCTCAAGCCGAACTCAAGGCCTGTAATCCCGAAAAGAAGAGTAGTTCCCGAGCCCTCAGCCCATATTTCTCTGAGCACCTCAAGCCCAAACCTTAGAGCCGGAACAGAGAATGTCTTCCAAAAAAAACAAACAATGGAAGGAGAATGGCTTCCCCGGAGCCCAACTACAGTACTCCACCCGAGGTCTGGAGCCCCAAATGCTAGAATAAACGCCAGAATATCTCATCCCAGCTGTGGATCCGTGTGTGGAGAATGCTTGGTGTGTTTTGGGCGGGAGGGGTGATTTCTCGTATTGTTGCAACGTTATCTCAGGACGTGGAATCTGAACTATCACCCAGCAAACTTGTGTGACCTTGTCTGAACACGTTCAGTCAGTCATGAGGCGAAGCTGACGTTTGCCCTTTTTCATGTTGGGTCAAAGTGAGATTTCGCGGCAGATCGTCATCCCGTAGTCGCATGGTAAAGGGGATTCAGCTATATGGCCATGTGTCTCACAGCAGGGCTTTGCCTTTGTGGGGCGCATTGGGCACGTCCAAGGTTGGTGAGAGCCCCGAGGCCTGTCCGAGAAGGAGTTATTTGTGCGCACTGTACGAGGAGTTTACAGCAGCTCCAAAAAAAGGTGGCCTTCCGTGCCCGTGGTGCCAGGTGATAGAGCTGCGACAGTTGTTCACTCTGGCTGAAGAGGAAGGCCGCACACCGCACTGTACGTCGCTGTACGCTGCTGAACCCAAATTGGGAACAGAATATCACAGAATGTATACAGAATGGTGCTAAACCGACTGATGTATTGAAGGCTTTGGTGACTGGCTCATCTTCGACGCCTCTGTCGTTCGAGGATTGCTAGGGATTGCGGGAGGGGCCGCATGGATGCTCTCAGCTTCCCACAACAGGTCTGGCCTACTACACTGGTGTGGTGTTTGAAGGTGGGCACGCCTTTCAACAGCAAGTGCATGCTCTAAACACGTCCCAGGCCAATCCGTGTGTGACATGCGTGACACATACGGCGGCCTTCAGAGGCTTTGATCGCGCTGGCGTTTTGCGCGCCATTTGTGGCGGTGGCCGGCAGAAACCTCAGGGCCTTGCAGAGCTTGCCATGCCGAGTGGTTTGTGCATCATCCACGCATCAGGTACGACAGACTGCTAACACTGTACGGCTCTCCCAAGGAGGACGGAGCTTGATGGCCATATTGTTGGATTTGATTGGGGAGCAGCATGCAGGGATATGAGCACCCTGGTCCGCACCGCTTTTCAATCCCCGGCCAAGCTCGGTGCGGGCTGCTGACATGCAGCTGGGCCTTGACATTGCTGCGGGTTGCCGGCCCGCACTGCGCTTCTCTGACCTGTGACCTGTGGGCTGTCCGTGGTGCGCGTTGCTTTAACTTGCGTGCGGGCATCGGCGTGCGGGCCTGCAGCCTGCAGGCCGGTTTGGGCCCATACAGGGGCTTGAGGCCGGCTTGGCGACAGGGTGTGGGCCAGGGCCAGCTGGGGCTGATTAACCTTGGCTTGGACTGAGGGTCAACAGCTTGCTCGCCGAGGTTGAAATGGGCATGGAGGGAAAGGGAAGGGGGGGGGTAAAAAGCGATGCGCGCCGTGCTGAAATGCGAATACCTAAAACGCTCGTTATGGCTATGTTTGTACATGTTGCTGTAGGATCTCGGCGCATCTCAGCTTCATATCGCTTGTGCAGGTTCCATGTGCAGGCTTCGGCTTCGGAGACTGCGTCATTTACGAGCTGCTGAAGGAGAAGCAGGCACAGCGGCGGAAGGTTTATTCCCCCCTTGTTCTTGATCTGAGCATGTGCACATATGTGCACCGACATGCAAGTCAGGTGCTTCCAGAGTTGCCCCACAAAGTGGACTTTGTGGTAGCAGCCTTCAATCAAGACATGATGGGCAAGGCACCTTGCTGAGTTGCTGTGCAGGAGTCGGCAAGAGCCACGGTTGAGTTGTGACAGAGTAGCTTAGCACAATGATCATTCCACTCGCCACTGCACTGCGATGAAGCATGCTGTGTGACATGAGATTTGACCACGTACTGAAGCAGCTCTTTCGTAGCCAATCCTTCCTTTGCATAGTCATATTACATTTGGGGAGCCTTCTCGCGACATGGCCGCGATGGTGCAAACACCCTGGCCGCCTGCGGAGCCATGGAATTCGGCTCTGCAGGTACTTGAAGCATATTCTCAGGCGGGCCGTTGTTTTGCCACAACATCAAGTTCATGCAGTCACACCGCAACAGCATTGCCCATGCGAAAGAGCCATGTGCGAACCATGAGCCATGTGTGGGAGTTGATTCAGCTCCTGCATGACAAGTACTGTACAGGCCATGAAATCTACTACGTTCACTGACTGTGAGCAGGCTTGGTCACCTTGGTCGCTGCTGCATGGCATGCCACAGCATGATCCGTCGAATCAGCTTGAACATGGAGGGCAGTGCCCACTACAGGTTTGCTTCGTGCATGCCCCACATCTTGCGCAGGCAGCACAAAGGCTGGAGAAAACTAGCGAAACGTTGCATTGCTGGGATGTGCTGTGCGATACTGCATCTTGGCTGAGCCTGTCAGGCTACCACACAACGCACCTTCCAGGCTCGCCGTGCCAGCTCCAGCTTGCTTAAGAACCAAGCAAGATATGGCGCAAGACATGTCTTGTCGTTTTGAGGTATTGGCAAGAGTAACACACACCTGGGGCAGGCTATTGCCGGGAGATGCTGCTGAGACGGCAGGGGCAGCGAAGCCAGCAGCGACGAAGGAGACCAGTCGATGCCTGTCAAAACTATGCCAGGTATGATCAGGTATGGGCACCTAGCTGGCGGGTTCGACTGCGGGAAGGATGGTGTTTGGCATTGTTTGCCATCAAGTCGATAGTACTGTTCTTGTCTGGGTATGACATGTTCAAACATGTTGCCGCAGGATCCAGCTCGGAACGCAATCCCCTGGCATGCCGAAATCACGTTGCAAGAAGGTTCTGAAGATTCTGAAGGCTTGTGCGTTGTAGGCTTGATTTGGCGTTTCTGAACCTGAGGCCTCTAAACTCTACACAAGTCCCGACCCCTGAACCGCAACCTTTCCCAAACACCGAGACCTGAAGAACAAGTATAGTATAATTACAAATCCTCATGAACTTTAGACACTGACTAGCAGCAAAACTCTGTGAAGTCTAAAGACATCTACAGCCTGAATGCTGTAGCTGGGATGTCAACTTTACGATCCTACAACAACATGTTTTTTGCTGGAGGGTATGCGGAGGCGGGCACTGGACTCGGAAAACCATCCGCATGGGAGACTGCGAGGACTTGCCTGACAATCTGCCGAAGACAGCTCCAGCCATGGCAGCAAACCAAGCACAGCGCAGCACAGCGCAGCGGGACGAAAGTTGAGAGCTGTGGCATTCCAGGTTCGATCTCTGTTGAAGGGCCTTGAGCCGGCATGGCGCTGCGAGGCGCCGTGGCTTCGTATGAAGTATGACGTATTCTCACGTTCTTTATATGCCCAGTTGAGAGATGACAGCCACGCAGAATCAGAATAACTCAACAACATTTTGGGTCCAGGTCGTCCATTTTCGGACGCTGCTTCGTGCTTCGAGCTTCGCGTTTGTATGTCTTGATCTGCTTATAGATGTGAAGAAGTTCAAACGACAGCCGTCATTGCAATTCTACTGGCGTGAACTCAACCAACGGAGATGGCAACCAGATTTGCCAAGTGCAAAATGTTATTTTCAGCAGTTCCCTCTCTGGCATCCTACGCTTCTTCTTTGCATGTCTCCTCCCCTCAGAGGCGCAGCTGGCGCCGGAGCCACTTGCAGCCTCGGCACAGAGGGCCGCCGTCCTCGTTGCCGCCGAGGTCAAACCCCAGCAGCTTGTAGATGGTCGGTAAAGAGTCTATAGGTTCGATAACAGCTTCTTCTATATCTCATTATATTCTGCGACAGGCTGACCTTTCTTCCTTTCGATTCGCCTGCGCCAGGCATGGGCAACGGAACTGGGGGAACTATTGCAATCCGCCCCGGACTGGTCCATAAGGTGAGGGACTTGCAGCTGTACTCCAGTCAAGTACCGTAGCATGGTACATTCTAGCATATATGATGACACGGACATGCAATGGTAGGGACTCCAATGGAAGCATGGACACAAAGCTGGCTGAGGCAACATGGAGAATGGGCTGTGGGCAGCAGCCTGGAGAGGCACACGGGTTGTCGAAGAGTTGACAGACGCGGGATGTCTTTGCACAGGCTTGCAGCTTTCTTTCGCTGGCTGACGGGCATTGTCACGAGGACCCTGGGAGTAGAAAGCTTGTGCAGGTCTGCGCTGCACGGCCAAGTCTTGCCACCCGCATGCTCACAACTGCTTTGGGTGTTTACCTGCGGCTGTGGTCATGGAGGCCCAAATACACAGTAAGACGGGGCGCCCCACTTCACTATTCACAGGGCCATCATGGATGTTATGACGCCCGCACACACTTCTGCCCAGTTCCAGGCTGTTTCGCAGTGGCCCAGCCTAGAATTGTCAGGGCAAGTATGGAAATTGGAATCCTGAATTTCAGCATTGACAGTTGGACTCGGCATTAAAAGTACCTGAAGCGATTGATGGGAAATTGAAATCGTCATTCTCACTCTCGAACTCTCTTGTCGGTGCGGCGCAGGGTAACCTGTCTAGAAGACTTGGCCGGCTCAAAAATCGAGAGCTACGGGACATAGCTCCTTGTCGAAAACATATGTTTCATAATTCCATACTGTGTCGACTCTCAAACCTTCAATTAGATGCGGGAAAGCGAATCAGAAAACGTCATTGGCTCGTGGACGCTGAAGTTTGAGACCAACTTCATCTTTTCCTGACGTCGCTGCGTGAAGTCGCGTCGGACAAAGCAGAGGCAAGCGTTCGCGAACCACAAGGGCAAGGCAAGGCACTCAAAAGTAGCTCGGCCGTAGCGACGCCTACTCCACAAGCAGTTCTGCGATGCCGGCACGTTGGGTCCGGGCACCAGGTGAATATTCAATCACTGCTGGCAACACTTTTGTTGCTTGATAGCTCCTTGCATGTCTCCAAAATCTCCCTGCCCGGATCGAAGCTAAAGGTCTGGGTTGTTTTCGGTTCCGAGAGTCTTGTGTTAACCACTCGCAAAGTTGTGTTGTGTCCCTACCGTGCAAACAAACGATCGGGTTGGAGAGCTTCTGTGCCGCCCTGTGGGGTCGGTGCGTGGTGTTTTGCGCCAGTAGGCGTGGGATGTTGCTCTGAACTAGGGCCCCCACCCCGTTGACCTTCCCTTCCTTCAGCGCACATCATGTGCTTCTGCTTATGCTAGCAGGACATGCGCAGAGTTGCTCGACGCTACGCCATCCACTACAGCTTTGGAGGACCAATTAGGATTGACACTGGTAGGTGTCATGATTCGGACAGCTCGTCAGAGCTTGTGCAAGCAACGGAATTGGGGTTTACCAATCACTGCCTGTACATGTCAGCGGCAAGAAGGGTTGCCAATATTTCTCTGTCGGCCGCAAAAGAAAACGAACGAGGTCAGACAGCAGACAACTGTTGTTAGTGTAATTGGTAGTGCGGATTGACGCGGAGCAATGGAGCAATGCAGCAATGGAGGAGCATGGTGTAGCGCTGCGCAGTGTCGCACGGCTGGTCAGCCGGATGTCAGGCGGAGCCGCACGATTGAATTGACAGCCGAATGCGGTGCTAGCTGTTTCAATTGTGCGAGGCTACATGCAAGGACACGGACCGATTTGCACTTGAGTCTGGAGTTTTGGAATTGGCAGCTGCGCCTGGCACACACAGCCAGCTCACGGCCACACATCTAGTTGGACAAAGCGGATAAACAAGTTTCGTGCACTTTCAGGAGCCTTGAACACCATGGACCCAGTGAGACCTGTCTCTGCACGACTGGGAGCGGCAGCAGAGGGCCTGCAGCAGGCCTAGAAGTCCAAGCATGTAAACCAGCACACAAGAATCGCTTATCAGGCAGCGGAAGAGCTCATAGAGAAGGCAAACCTGGCCTGCCTCTCAGAAATTGTCGGAAGTGCTGTGCCATGGCTTTGGTCAAGGCTGGCCGACTCCTCCATGCAGACATGGAGCCGTCACGGGAAGATGCGGGCGCCTCGAGGCAGGGAAGTTTGTGGCGCGAGTCACGTCACGCCAAGAGCTCAAAACCCCCATGGACCAGGCAGCACAAGTTTCAACAGCAAGCCCCTCCACGAAGCAACTTGATGCGCCTGGAGCATAGAGGGGACCGATGGGGGCCGAGACTGTGCAAGAATCAGCAACTGTCAGTGCGCTCTTGAATCCTTAGATGTCTTAGATGATCCAGTCTGTCCCACTGCTGTTCAGAGGCCAGAGCATGCATCGATCCATCTTGGGAATATTGGCAGGGCATCCTAACTGGCAGCTTCCCGATGAGGCTAGGTGGTTTTGGGGCACTGTTTGTGGTTGCATTGCTTGCTCGCAGCTATCTGGTAGGCACAGCGGGTGCGCACTCTTCGGCAGCATCTGAAGGACTCTGAGATCTTCTTAGAGCTTGCGCCTCACAGCACTTTTGGTTCAACGACCGTCGGGCTTTTGCAGGACCGCCGCGAGGGAGGCAACGGCCAAGAAGAACGGCTGGCATTAATCGGACAGCAGATGGATGGGAGGCGACTCCGCGCGGTGAAGAAATCACGCGAGTCAGGAAGCTGCAATCACGCCGAGTAGGAGTTTCGTGATTCAGCCTGACCAGAAAACTGAAATAACACGCGACTTATTCACCCATGCGATTCGAGAAATTGAAATCACACACACACACACACATTTTTCAGGAAGCTGAAATCACGTGATGGGGCAAACTGAAATCATCTGGAATCATGCGTTTCCGGAAGCTGAAATCACGTGATTCAGGAAACTGAAATCATGCGATTCGGACAACTGAAGCCACGACGTTTAGGAGACTGAGATCGCACGAGTTCGAAGACGAAAATCACGTGATTCAGGAAGTTGGAATCATGCGATATCAGTTTGCCAATTCGTCGTCCCCAGTCCACAGCTACTGAATCCACCAGTTTCCGTATGTCTCCGTTTAATCTGCGGTGTACAATTGCCTGAACAGATGCTTTTAGGTTCCCGGATCAACATTTGCCAATGTCCTGACTCACTTTCTCCCAGCTTCCGAATCATCCGAGTCTGTCTGTTGTTAGTGTTGATGTCGTCCTCTGACGAGGCCGTGCGCACCCAAAAGCAGGAGCGCGCACCGTATGAGAGTAGAGGAGCACAGGTGGCCGCGCACAGTAGTGGAAAGAGCAAGGACGCTCAAAACAACAGCTGACAGGCTGGACACATGTTCACAGGGGCAAACAGCTGATTCGGACGCTGGCAGCACGCAAAGTGGGGATCAGAATGAGAAAAGGGCACAACTTGGCTGTACGCCGTCCGTTGTTATTCTGTGCATTCGCAGCCATGGATATCACAGATCACAAACGGCCAGTCATGCATCCTTCGTGTCATCGCAGTGCTCAAGATTTCCGTTGTATACAATTGACATTGAAAGCGCTCACATCTTTGACAGCAGTGCAGTCGGAAAATGTGCTGAGAGTGTCTGAACGAGTCAGCCCATTTCGTGCACCCACCTGCTTGCCTCCGACGCTTTCTGATTTTGTGTGGCGTGGTGTTGACACGGTATGCGGCGTATGGAAGAAGCTTGTTCAATTTCTTTGCAGTTGCTCCCCTTCAGTGTAGCAGTGTAGGTGGGAACGGAGGAAATGCATGAGAGAGCATTGACAGGAGAGCGCAGGAGCACAGCATGTTGATGCACATTTTGCAACAAAGACATTCAGAGCAAGCAGGGTTGCACAGGCGGCCTCGCACCACCGTTCTTGCCTTCGGTGCTGCGCGAGAGCGCGCTGAAAACCGAGCTGCTCAAGACTTCGCTTTGCTGGCTCCTCGGCCGAGTAGCCCAAAATATGCAGTGGGCGCCTGTTTCTCATGGTACGGGAGATGCCCCATATATCCCCATATTCCAATGTTATCATTTTGCACCGATGCGAGAGCCATATCCTCTTCTGTTTATCGGGCACAGGTAAGAGCAAGGAGACTTTGCCCCGCAAGCTCTTGTCGCCAGGGACTCTCCGCAGAATTCGCTGGGGTGTGCACTCCAAGTATACTCGGCGGGACCTTGCGGGGCGTCTTAGTCTTGGGGGTGGGCAAAGGATTCTTCCAGGAATATGGTGGGACTTTCAGCGGAACCTCTGCAGGCGACAGTCTTCTCTGGGGTAGGCGGGACTCTCTACAGGCTTCTCTGGGAGCGATCCAGGCACCAAAAGCCAGCGGACGGGACACCGGGCGAGTAGAATGCCTATGAATGGCTGACTTAAAGTCTTCACCAGACGCAAACCGGGGATCCATTCGGGATCAAGAAGCAACAAGTGGTCCGGCATCAAGGAAGGTCCAGCCAGCATCAACGGAACAACCTGTATCTTCCAAGGAAAAAGATGCATATGCTTGGATCTGTGGGGAAGGAACCGTGTAATTCTAGAACAGCGGTTGGATCCTCCAACAATTGGCTCCCTGAAGCTCTAGCGCTCGTTTTGGGCTCCAGCATAGACACTCAATTTCATTTAGAAACCCTCAACCCCAAACCTCAACACGTCGCCGAAAGGGGCTCCCTTTCTCAAGTATTTCACGGCCGTTATTGCTTTGGTCCCGTACCCATGCTAGTACCGTAGTGCTAGTGGGAAGTGCTTGTTTCATGTGGCAAGCTAATGCTCGAGTGTTGCCAGGGCATATGCAGTTCTACCTACTGTGTCTTTATGATGTTGCCTCGGCCAATTCATGAAAGGATGCTGACAATGACGGCGTCGTGTCGGCCGAAGAGTTTCGAGCAGCACGCGTTCAAGAGCTAAGGCACCTGACAGAGGTATGAATTTGAGAATGCAGGTAGATAAGTGACCGGCCTTGATGATTGCTCTAGATTGTAGATGTCTGCTCTGCGCCCTACACGCATCTTGCAAGGTGATTTCAGGAGATGCAGCAGCAGTCACCGGAGTACGTGAAGCAGGCAACCAATGGAAAGCGATGGGCGTGCGATGAGGATCGGGCGCGCTCCGCTTGCATCCAGCCACCGCGAAGACCATGCTGATCCCTTCATGGAGCAGCGCATGGAGATGGTCGATTACCACTCTTTGAGCTCAACAACCCAGTAAATGCGGGCCAGGCGCAGGAGTATACAGAGAAGCACGATGAGAGCTCCATGACGTCTTGCCACTAGCACAAGCTCAGTGCCGGTCCTGTGCATGTGCACTGGATTGCCCAATAGTGCCCGATAGAGCGGATTCCGAGCACACGCAGAGCATGCAAGAAGAAAATGGCTGTGCGACGTGAAAGGACAAACTTTGTCACCCGGAGCTGTGATCATTGGCAGGCCTTACAAGTCGCACGCTTGCTGCGCAAGGCAGGCAAGTCCGTTGATGCCAGCGACCGAGATGAGTCAAATGGGGCTGCTGAGCTACTGGCCAGAGCAGCGAGAGCCGTCATGGCGTTTGGCAATGAATCACTGCTGCACGCTCCTGTTTGTGCATCCTTTTTACCCCGGTCTGCCACAGAGGTCTATGCAGAAGCATCAAAGAAAGTGGCAAAGGCGTGCTGCACGGGTACTTGTAATCAGTGGCGAGATGAGTTGTCACGTGCCGCGCCAGTTTGTGCGGCCAGGCCTTCAACTATGCCGATCGCGCGGGTGCAGAGCGAATAGCATTCGTTGCCCCAGATGAGTGGTCCAAAGGCTTGGTTCGGATCAAGGACTCCCCAAGTTTGAAATAAAGCGGGGGCGTACAGCGGGAGAGCATCCTCAAGTTGCTTCGTACTGCTTTGTACTTCAGCGCGTAATACTCCAGGACCTTCGGAACTTCAAGCCAACAGACCCAGACGAGCTCAAGCAAAAGGATGTTCCCATTAATGCTTGGATCTGAGGGCCTGAGATGCAGCAGATCGCGGGAGCTCTCAGAGTATCGCAAGATCACGAACCTCAGGACTTGGGCAACGTCGATGTCTACTTCGGTCAGGGGCCCGCTGCCCCGTCCTCACACTGAAGAAGCCAAGTGTAGGGAGGAAGAGGAGAACGGTGCTTAATTCAACGAAAGCTCCCGTGAACTTACGTTGAGAACAATATTAAGACATCAGATTCCAAAGTTAGAGCTTCTGGAAGGGGAAATAACAAGAATGCAGTTCCCCCGACATCCTGGTGGTGAGTGCTGGTGAGATTTGGTGCGAGAGCAAGAGAGCAAGAGTGGCTCAAAGAGCATGCAAGAGTGGTACGAGATCGGTCCCTGTAAATGCAGGGCCAGAGGCAAACGTGTTCGTCGATTGGCTCGCCTAACCTACTCTGGAGCTTGCTGAAGCCTCAGCCTTTTCCTAGGCCAGCTCGGCGGCGAGCACATCCCCCACAAAGTCCTCTTCGGCAGCGCCGGCACCCAAAAACGGCCCAGCGCCTACTTGGACTGTTCTTGGAGCAGCTTCTCTCCAGCTTCTCGAAGCTTAGGTTCCGTCACGGACGCCTCTCAGTTGGAGGCCCGAAGCCTTAAACTTGCAACACGAGCAATTTCGAAGGCTTGGCCTGTTTTCAATGTGACTGAGCGGGCTTTGAGCTGTCTGAGAATGTCAATGGCTTCGACAAGTTCAGGCGTGTGCCTCCGGACACCACAAACAATTAAACAATACCAAACCATAATGAGAGATCCAAGGCGTTTCGCATATCTTTACCTTCCTCTTTCTTACACAGTTCTTCAGCAGCGCTTTGATAGTCTTAGTCATCGGCTTGATGAGGCTGTCCTCTCCGAGCAGTCCTACGTCGCTGGCTTCAGGCACTCGGTCTAAGTATGTGAGTTATGTATGTAATCATCGAAAGACTGATTGGAAGCCGGTTGATGCTTGTTTGAAGCTGGGTCGGGCCTTGCTCTACCCAAGGCCGAGCAGACAAGACCGGGATCTCTACGAGAGCTTTCGAAAAGACGCAGGAGCTGCGGGCTCCCATAACCTCACAAGAACCTCGCAGGACCTCACAGGACCTCACAGGGTTCAGTACTTGCAGCATCTTGGCAACATCTTGCAGGATGCCCCTCTTCGCCATCCCTGGGCCGATGGTAGCGCCGCCATGCTTCTGAATGATGACGGACGTTCCACCTCACCTCAGAATGCCGTATTGATGGCCGGGTCTTCACTTGTCCCCACCAGCAGAATTTGATGGCCTGCCAGGTACAGGCACATTGACTCCTTCTCCAATGCCGAGCGCATGGCATGGCAGTAGGATAGCAGCAAAAGTCTTAAGACCCGCGCTTGTACAGTGTACAGCGGTGTGCAAAAGTGTGTCCAACAGCAATCGGAATGCCCGTAGAAGCATGTCTCAGGCGTGGCTTCAATCAACTCCGAGTTCTGCATATACCCACAGCTGGCCAGGGCAGCAAGTTGCATAGACGCAGCTGTGAACAAGACTGGCTTCATTTCAACACAGCCATAATAAAGTCCAATCTTGAGGCCTGCCCTTCTAGCTTTGGGCAAACCCCGACTGCATCCTTCAGGGACCCCACTCAATCAGCAAAGTCAGTCAGGTGGTCCAAGCATCTGAGAAATGGAGCAGTTGCTAGTATCCCTGGAACATGAGTCATAGCTAGCAGCTTTGCGTTTCCTGGAAGCCTCGTGCTCAGCGCATGCCATCGAAAGTTCGCAACATGTAGATGTCAGAACATTGTCAGAACGTTCAGCATGTCATCAGCTGTTGCAGAGGCTGCTGAGGCGGCACGGATGGAGTTGCAGCCTCGGCTTCTCGTTTCGTCCGGCTCGGACGGCTCCCAGTTTGCGTCGTGTTGACGTCTGCCGGGCCATGATCTACACGGTTCTGGAGTCAAAACGCATCGCCATCGCCTTGTACAAAGGCGCTTGCTTACTTTGCTTGTGCTGTCAGGCTAGGGCAGGCATGGTGCAGCACACATAAACAGGCGCGACATCAGGCACCGACGATCTTGGCTCAGGCCAAGGGAGTCGTGCCAGCAGAACTCTTTTCTTAGAAAAGAGAAAGGCCATGAGCCTTCAGCCATGGATGCCATCAAGGAGTGGCTGACGAAGCATGGCTATTCGGATTTGCTGGATTGGGCTTCGCATGAAGGCCTGGAAACGGTGGATGATTTAGCCTTCTTCTTTACTGACACGCATGTGCCGACATCAGAGCCGCTCAAGGCTGCTTGGGTACAGGCAAGAGAGTGCAGATCAGATGGTTATGTCATTGCAAAAGACTTGCTGCAAGTCGGTCACATAGCGTGCGGCCCACGGATGCGCAAGCCTCATGTGCGTGCTAAAGCGACGCAAGGTATGCTCAAACCACTCACTGTAAAGGTTGATTTCATTCAGCGCCAGTTGCAAGTAAACCGAGCCATTCAGTTGTCAATGTCCTGGGCGCCAGCATTTGGTGTCAAAGCTGGAGTGGTCGATGAAGCCATGTTGCAGCGACGTGTCAAGTCATTGTCTGCGCGTCTATTGGGATTTGAGCCGCGTACGGTGAAAGCTGCGCTAGCTGAGTGGCAACGATTGTGGAGCCATGTCCGCAGTCAAAATCCGCCCAGCGCAGCTCTTCAGTTCGGGGCTGGCGTCCCGGCAGTTCTTGTAGAAGATTACATCAACATCTCCTCCGAAGGAAAAGGGACATCTGTGCCGAAGGCATGCTACGATCGCTTGGCCTGGCTTGCCCGACACTTGCAAGCGCCTCTTGATATGGAAGCAGTTCCTGTGCCCCGCACTGTGCACCAGGCGGAGCTGCGCGATTCTGGGGAGCGAGGGCAGGCTGTGCCGCTGGAGCCTTTTATGGTGGGTTTCCTCTGCAGCCGTGCGCAAGAGGCCAGAACTCAGCAACTGGCATCAGCGTGCGTCTTGTCTGTGATGGTGGTCTTGGCGTTCATGCCGCTGCGATATCGACATGCTTTGCGCATGGTGCCGGTCAGTAGGGCTCCAAAGTGGGTCTGTTTCTGGGTTTTTCGTGGTAAAGGCAGAATCAATGGCATCAGGAAAGGATTCAGTTGGTTCGTGCCGAGATTGCCGGTGCTGGAAGAGTCATTGCGCTGCATCTGGGATGGATGGCACAGCACGCAAGCTTTGCCTTGCTACCAGGCAAGCCCGCCTGTTTTCATTTGCCACATTGATGGTCGCGCTGTGTCCCTGTCTCAGTTCAATGACATGGCGCAGCGACAGCTGGCAGATGTCTTGTGCGCGGATTCGCCGCCCGTGTCTTCGTACTCCTTCCGACGCTGCGCTCCCACAGCGCTAGATTGCCGCGGTGCCCCATGGCCTGAGCGCTTTGATGTGGGAGGGTGGCAGATGGACGAGGCGGCAATTCGCGATCGCAGGGCAACCAGAAATTCCATGCCTTTCCGCTATAGTGGCCAGCGCGAGGGGAACGAAGTGCAGAGCAAGGCGCTTCACGCTTTGACGTTCGCTGCTTCTTTGGAGGCGAACGTGTCGTCCTGGCAGGATTTTCGGGCTTGGTGGACACGTCAGCCAGCGGCCACGGTGCAGTCCTGGCAAGAGGAGGCAGCAACCTACGCGGACTTCTCTGCGAAGGCGGAGTTTGCAGCACGGGCCCCAGGTCACCTGAAACACATGGAAAATCGAAGGTATGTGCCTCGCCAGCCTTCTTTGCAGCCATCGCGACCATGTGGGAAGCGTGTCTTTGATCCTCAGAGTTGGGTGTCAGCGGGCCGACGCGGCGCTCTCATGCATCTGTGCCGCGCGGATGCTGTGGGCCCTGTATGCTCATGGCGTCAGAAGCTGAAGAACGGCGTCTTCAAAGGAAAAGCTTTGAGGTTTGACTCCTTGTCTGAGGCGGTCAGTGCAGATCGTCCTTTTTGTACAGCTTGCGTTTTCTTGTTGCCAGAGCATCTAAAGAGCCAGGTGGTTTCAGCGCAAGAAATCAAGAAGCGTACTGAAGCGCGTGCTTGTTACCCATCCATGTCTGCGTCGCGCAAAGAGCGCCAGCGGTGTTTTTAGCCTTGAAGTTGCCGCAGTCAGGACTCCTTTTTTTCTTGTAGCTTCGTAGTGGCCTTGTTCTTTGAGCAGCGCTCGCTCTCAGCCAGTAGCATGGCTCTGACAGTGGCAGACCTGCAACCCCCAGCACAGCCTGCGGATGACCCTTCCGAGCTCTTCAAGGAGCTGTGCCTCAAGTTCAATGTCAATGAAAAAGTCGGCGCCTTCTTAGTCAATGAGGGATGCCGTAGCCTTGAAGACTTTGCCAAGTTCGTCACGAATGACGATGAGGTTAGGGTCCATGTGATTGACAAAGTGCAGGATTTGTCGAACAAGGGCGTGCAAACGGCTAGAGTTCGCAAAGCCTGGGCGGCAGTAGTCGAAGCTGTCCAGAAAGCAGCTGACAAGAAGCGCAAAGGTCTCGAAACCCCTGAGCTGGAAGCTTTGTTGGGCACAGAAGAGCTTGAGTCTCTTCACGTTGCCTTTTGGGGGCGCTATCGGATGAGGTATCCGGCAGCTCGCACGCCGTCAGATTTGCTGGTGTCAAATCTCAATCGCCTTTTCAAAAGCAGACTCCTCACCATTCACAAAGTCCTCAAAGTCAAATCGTTGGCAGCACAGCTCAGCGGTGAAAAGAAGCGCACCAAGGTCACGGAGGGTGTGCACATTGTCCATGCTGAAACGGTAGAGGACCATGTCGAAGAAAATGTAGCCAATTTTTTGATCCAGCTGGAGATGCTGATGGTGGCTTTCGCTAAAGCAGGCACGTTTGCGCCGCCTGATGTCCCGACTTCTCCTGAAGATGTGCATTCTGACCCATGCAGCTATGTTTTTTGCCCGCTGGATGTTTGCATGGCGCATTTTCATAGGGTGCAGAAGTATGTCATGTCAATGCCCGTGAGCCGCTTGCCAGAAATCGTGACCAAAGAAGAGGAGGACAGGGCTCTCTGGTGTGAGCGGTTTCGGGGCAGCAAGCGCACGATCGGCGCCGTCATTCGAGAAGTCTACACTGAGAGGCAAGCAGTGTGGAGTTTGCCAAGCTCAGCTGACGTGCCACCTCCGCCTGCTGCGGAGCTTGAAAGCACCAGGAAGTCCAAGACTGTTTACTATGCTACTGCGCTGAAGGATGGCAAAGCCATCTGCCAGGATTGGAACCGTGGCCAGTGTGTCAAGTCGGGCCCTTGCCCCAAGAAGCAGCTGCACGTGTGCAATGTGCAGGTAGGTTCCCGGCAAGCGCGAGTCTGTGGCATGAGCAACCACCGTGGCATCAACTGCAAGCAGGCGGAAAGGGCCCGCAAGGCCTGATGGTGCCCAGGCGAGGGCGGGCCAGAGACTTCGCTTGGGGCCAGTCTGCAGTCTGGCAGTTGTGCCGCCGCGTTGCCACCAGCAGTCCAGCTGGAGTTTTGCCAGGAAGCCATTGTCAGTGGTTTCCGCTTCATGTTTCCGAGAGAAGCGCTGCATGGCTTTGCATTGCCCATGCTGCAAGATTTGTTCAACCATCCGTTTTTCACGTTGTTTCACCAATGGACTGCCGATCATCGAGTGGATGTCAACACAAGTCACCTAACAGCAACTGCCAAGGTTCAGCCAAGCTTGGGATTGCAGACAACAGTCCTGGCCCAAAAAGGTGCGTTGCCCAGCAAAGTTCTTCCTCACCAAAGCAAGGAAGCCCTATTCCGAGCATGCTGTAAAGCATCCCATGAGGAGAGGTTGCCGTTTGATGATTTGGCATGCTCTGCAGATTTTTCTTTTGCGGCGTGGTGTGCCATTCATTGCTTGCCGGTTTTGCGAGACCACCGCAAGTTAGGCCGCGACCTGCTGCAGGAATTGTCGCGCCGCTGCCAGCCCCTATCCCGCCATTTGCGAAAATTTTTGCATCCGTCAATCAACAGTGTGGCAGGGCACATCCATGTTGGGCTTATTGCTGCCTTGATAATCCTCATGAAGTGGCCGGACAGGACTCTGCCTCTGGGATTTTTGCAAGGCTTTGCGTTGATTGGTCAGCTTGAGACGGTCAGCATCTGGACAGCAGTTGATGAGGTTCCCGACATCGATGAGGCCACCTTGTGTGGCACAGGCCCAGCCGTGTTGCAGCAGTACGGCCGGAGACATTTTGACCAGGATGAGCTGCAATTCCTTTGGGCCAGTTGCCAGAAGGAAGTGGCCAATGGCAAAGCGGGCGCGCCTGTAACCGTGGAGTCGCTGGATGTGGAATATGGCAAAGACTCTTGGTCTGTAGTGCCTGCCTTTGTGCATACTCAGCCGGACGGGAAGCGCAGACGCATCGATGATGCTAAAGCTGGCATGCAAAATCTTGCCACGGCTTTTTTCGGAACGTTTCAGTATGGTCTCTGCCATGATGCCTGCCGTGGCTGCTCGAGCGCTTGGAGCGTGGGCAGCGCGTGAAGGAGCAGTGACCATGTTGCAGAGCACCCGCCTTTTCACAGCTGCAGAAGATCTGCCGGAGGCGTACCGCATTTTGCCAGTTCATCCTCGGCATCTCAGACACAACAACGTGGCTGTGCAACATCCCCAAACAAAAGAGGTTCATGTCTTTCCATGTTGGGCCTTGTTGTTTGGATTTGCCGCCAGCGTTTTTCAGTTTGAGAGATTTTCCTTTTTCTTGGAGGCGGCTGGGAGGCGAGTCCTGCATCTCATGGTGAGCCTCTACGTGGACGACAGCCATTTAGATGATTTGGAGTGTGCAGGAGGGCATGGGCAAGCTCTGTGGAAAGAGTTGGCCACTGAGTGCGGCCAGTCCTTTAAAGAAGCCAAGGCTCAAGACCTCGCGCTGCAAAACGATTTTTTGGGTATTTCTCATGACACCAGCGCTGCCTTCAGTTCATGGACTGTCTCCTTTCATGCCAAGCAGAGCCTTGTGGACAAAGCTGTTGGGTTGATTCGCGCAAGGATGGCTGCAGGCCGCACGACCCCTGCGCAGGCCTCCAAGATTCGAGGCGTTTGCGGCTTCATTGCCCTCGCGCAGTGGGGGCGTGTTGGTCGTGCTCCATTTGGCCCCTTGCGCCGCAGGCAGTACAGTGACAAGCATCCGTGGGACAATTCGCGGGAGCTGTGCAGGGCGTATAATTTGCTCCTGATGCTTTTGGAGTTCCATGTGCCTAGAACAGTCAAAGTAACAGCCAGTGCGCTTGGTTTCCTGGTTGTGGCCTCGGATGCGCAAGCTGATTCAAACCCTTCGGGCGGTGTGCTGATTTACGACCCTGTGACAGGTCACAAAGTGGGGGGGCACTTGCAATTTCAGCAGCAACTTCTGGAAGCTTGGGGGTATTCTCCTGCAGCGTTGCGGGCTGGAGCAAATCCCATAGCTTTGTGTGAGTGCTGCATGTTGCCAATTACCCTCATGAATTTTCGGAATATCTTCGCAGGAAGAGACGTTTTATGGCTGTGCGACAACACGACTGCACTCTATTCCATTGTCAAGGGCACAGCTAGGGGTCCGCAGCTGGATTGCATCGTTGCGGTGTTTCATTTTCTCTTGTATTTCCTCAACGTCCGATGCTGGCTCGAGTGGGTGGGCAGTAACAGCAATTATTCGGATGGAATCAGCAGAGAATTGGACAAGGATCCTTTCAGCACAGCTCATGGCTTCGAGCTTCGGCCGATGTGGTGCCCGCAATCCTTGTGGTTCCAACCCTTGCGGGTGATGTGGAAACGTTGTCAGCAGTTTGAAGTTAGTCACGTCTGAGGAGCATGCGGCACCAGCCGAACCGTGTGGACAGTCGAGCATCGTTGGCAGAAAAGTGTGAATACATCGGAGCAGCGTTGGGTGAGTCACACTCCTGATGCTATCATGTCTGTGTTCTATTATCAGCTGCCAACTTTTGCCTTAATTCTGCCAATGCGATTCAGTACGGCTTTGTTGGCCGCAGAAAAACCAAATCTGCATGCAGTCGCTGATATGTTTATGCTTGTGCTGTCAGGCTAGGGCAGGCATGGTGCAGCACACATAAACAGGCGCGACATCAGGCACCGACGATCTTGGCTCAGGCCAAGGGAGTCGTGCCAGCAGAACTCTTTTCTCCCTCCCTGGCCCACCCTGGTTTCTGACCGCATATGGGGGGGACGGCAGCTGTGCGCCGCAGGGGGATGCTAGTACGTTGAGACTGGATAGCGCAAGGGCGCGTAGGCATGTGCATGGGGTGAGTCACACTCCTGATGCTATCATGTCTGTGTTCTATTATCAGCTGCCAACTTTTGCCTTAATTCTGCCAATGCGATTCAGTACGGCTTTGTTGGCCGCAGAAAAACCAAATCTGCATGCAGTCGCTGATATGTTTATCTTGGTATGTCGTTCTCTATCGTCTGCAATGAGTATGAGAATGAATTTGATTAGCAAGCGCATGGATGGTTGGGAAGGGCCACTTGCATTGAGGACAGAGCGCGCTTCTGCAACGCACTCTTGTGTGAGGGGATGCATATGAGAGTATGAGAGAAGCTGTGATTGGGTTTTTCGGTGCTCTTGGGAATATGCAGGGTTCAGGGTATTCTCGCCAGCTCAGGCTTGACAACCGCTTTCCTGGGGAGTTGTCAAAACTTCTTATGGTGGCAGAGCACATTCTTAGAACCACTGAGACTGAGAGCGGAATTTCTGCAGGAACCAACTCGTGCGGATTTGCATGTGGAGCGAACGCTGAAACTGCCAACATCTGAAAATGTGCATCGCGTCCCCTGACTCGTCGCGTAGAGCTCTTGATCTACACGATGCTCGGCCGGAGTCTGCGTCAGTAGCTCCGGCATATGCTCCGGCTTGACTTCCTACTTCCTTATTACTTTTGTCACTTTGGTCACAAAATGTGGGCCTCCAACAAAATTGCGTTAAAAACAGAGGAGAGACATGTGGACAGGGTGCTTCTCTGCACTTGTGGCACTTGTGCAGCTCTGTGCTGAGGACCTGGCACCTGGAGCCGAGGGACCTTACGCCGCGCTTTGAGGCGTATCGCCTTCATCTCTCTATGCACATGTCGGCAATGTGGACTTCAAAGAGCAGAGTGCAAAAGCATCGTAGAAAAGTTTGCGGGTGTCCAACTTCTAGGCGCTGGTTCCTAATTTCTACCCAGGTGTGACGCACCCTGGTTCAGCAAAAGGCTGTTGTTCAAGACGCATGCTCACAGAGCATTCCGCAATTTCCGTGCCTTTTTGCCATGAGCCATCATGAACCCATTGTGATGAACCCGTTGTCGTTCCTTCCCGAGTTCAGTTGTACACCGCGCCACACTTCATGCAGAGTCGCCTGGAGACTTGCAGCTCTGGAGGATGTTTTTTTAAGCTTCTCAAAATCCACAGATTGAAAAGGGAGACAAACTCCAAACAGCTTTTCCACCAAAATGATCGGCTTTGCGACTCCAGCGATGTTTCTGTCAAGTCACAAGGACAGTTTGTTTGTGCAAGGAATGTGGTTTGTTCACACCTCCCAGCCCTGGAGTCTATATACACTAGTAGCTTCCGTTTTGGGTTGCTGTACAGTAGCATGGAAGGCTGTCGCTGACTGCAGAGACGGGCCTGGCGAGTGCTCTGGCCAAAGAGGCGAGTTGAAAGGGACAATTCTGGATGTCAAGGGATACTCCCCACCTGCGGCCAGGGTCGCCAGGCGACCAGTCGAAGCACAAGGACAACGGTCAAGCTCTTAGCGTATCACTGGATGTTTTGCTCGACGATTTGGGCATTCTAGGTGGAGGTTCCGAAGCTGTCGCTGCATTTCAGGACCTAGCAGTACAAGGACTTAGCTCCTAGAGATGCCACCGGGAAAGACTGCCCGGTTTCGCGTTGTCGTTGACATCATTCTGACTAAGGACTACCTTTGATCGGCCACGCCGAATCTGTCCGATCCTCACCACTTTAGTGTGGCTTTGCGCCTTTTGCACGTCGCAAGTGTAGTTCTGCAGGCCGCGGAGCTGCCATCAGCTTCAGGCATCCGGTCGTGGAGTGGTTTTCCATTTTTTCGCTCCCCTTGTGCCCGTGACTTTTGCTTCTGCCTCTGTGAGATTCTGGCGCAAAGCGAGCCACGGGTAGTGCGGGCCAAGGTGGCCAAGGTGCATGCGCGGGACATGCGGCCTCGGGTTTGCTTGCAGAGACTGATGGACTGAAGTGGATGCAGCGGACGGCCGTTATGGCTCTGTTTCGGTTGCTGTGTAGGCAGACAAGGGCTATGCGGAAGCCGAGTAATAGTTTAACTTGCTACTATGAGGAAATGCAAGGCTCGGCCTGGCTTGTTAGCCCGGGGCTTCTCTTCAGGCTTTCTTGACCCCAGATCGTCTAGAGACTCCAGACTCTTAGACATCTCAGACTCGACTCCAAACCAACCCCAAGTAAGTTTTTAATCGAAACCGTGTTGCTTCTTCGTGAATGAACATAGGTGGGCTGACTCTCATGAGCCCTCCATCCACCATTTTGAAAACGCTTCCTTCCCAAGAACACCATGTGAGAGACCACATGATTGCCCATCTTGCGCAAGTGGCCCCCAAGCGCAGGAACCCAAGCCCTGGCACCCAAGCCCTGGCGCTGCCAGCGCCTAGTTGCAACATTGCTGCAACATTGTGAAGACAGAAGTTCAGACATGTGCTTGCAATATGCCCCCCCCCCACACTTAAAGCATTGTGGAATGCAACATTATCCAACACGAAATATGCAAAGTTCTGGTTTTCTTTGGTAAGAAACTTGGAGGGGCTAGCTGGATGGAGTTTCAACTCTCAGGAAGATGGAAAGTAAAGAGAGAAGGAGAGAGAAGGAAAATGGGTTTGACGATGGACGGCACTTGGGCATGCATTATTTCAAGAATGCCTTGTGTCAGTACATTCAGTAGATCCGGACATGCATTGTGAAGCTTCGCTCTCGTATGCTCTCATCGCATGTCGAGAAGCATTCTATTTTAAGACGATGCGTCAATTGAAACACATGGTGCGGATGCGACATGAACCCTCCCTAGGGTTATTCATGCTCGGTTTCCCTCTCTGTCGATCCTTTGACTTCTTTGTAGGCATGAGCAAAGAAGGTTTGACAGAAGTCCCCCCCCATGAGATCTCCCACCATGCCATTGCTAGCTTTGTTGCGGCAGTGCCAAAGAATGCGCAAGAACGTGCAAGATGTGTGACTGACAGCCCCTACTGTGCGTCGCTTGTACACGTGAAACGACCAGGTGCTGTTCCGTCAAAGAGTAGGCCGGCCCAGCCGTCGTCCCTGCGCAGCGCTATCTGACCTGAGTCTTGACAGTCCTCGTTCTCCCTTCCATTTCCATGAAGGCCAGATGGCATTAATCTGTGGCAATCGCTGGAGCACACAAGCTCGCAGTCACAGGCCATCGTTGTATCAAGCCATCAAGTGACATGACATACCGGCCCGGCGGCTAAGGGCACGGAGAAAGCTTCAACCAGAGCTAGCCCGGGCAGGACACTGCATGGGCCAAGGGACACAGCCAGCTTCGCCTCAACATGGAGTTTCACGTAGCTGCCGCAGCAAAGATGTTCAGGAAGCCCATGAAGAGCTTTGGCCTGAGTTCCATCAGCATTGGCACAGGTTTGCTTGTGAGAGCTTCATTCCTAACTTGGACGCTGTATACTGCCGCACATGATTGAAATCAGGGCCAGCAGCGGCCACACAGCCCAAGAAGAAGGAAAAGGAAGAGGGAGGAAGAGCCAGAGGCAAGCACATGGTACGCAGATGCATCATCACAAGCTGTGCTGAAAGTGACGATTACACAGGAGGCCGAGCGGCAGTACGAGGTTGCGGTGGACAACGCGCACGCGGCCGAGGCAGCGACGTTCACTGGCTTTTGGTGCCTTTGTCAGTCCCAGTCCGCATCCTTGGGAGCTGTCATTGCAGGCCGAAGCCAGGCCGTGCCACAAGTTCTGGCGCGCCCTGCCTGTGCACCAAGCCTAGCCGCCTAGCCATTTGTACATTGAAGGTAAGTAATTGAAGAGCGTCAGCGTACGAGTATACGAAGTATACAATTCTCAGGCGTCTGCGAAGCGGCAGCGAGGGCGTGGGCGCGGTCTCAGGCTCGGCAACCAAACCGTCGATTCCATCTCTGGGAAGCGCAATTTTAAAAGTGTGTTTCATGTAGTAGTCAGTTTGTTGCTCATAAGTCTTATGCGCATCCGGTGCTTCTCTGGCAGGTAAGAGCGCGTTGTAAGCTTGCAGGGTACTGTTTCACGAAGCTCGCGAGGCACCACTTCTTGCACCCTGGTTCCGAAGTAAATTTCATTGCGTTTGCCGGTTGAGCAGAAGGAGTGTTGCAATCCTCGTGTAATCTATGTCTCTGAGCAGACGTTTCACACTGCTACAACTGGGGGCCCTGCCAGCCCTCCAAGTCAGGATTGTGCACAACAGCCACTATGGCCCTGTGGTCTGCGATGTTCTGCTGCTTCTTCTGAAGCCAACTCACCGACTCTTTGTGCCAATCCTGAGGTGTAGGGGGAGCGGGAAGCCCAACATGGGGAATTGTTCAGGGCAGGTTTTTATGTCGCTTGGCTAAGCTGCAAAAGGTGTGTGGGCGTGTGGGCCTGTGTGTGTGTGCATGAGAGAGCTGTTTTGTGGAGCTTCTACAGCCCATACAACGACATCAAGTAAGCTGCCACATGCTAAATGGACCGCTTCCTTTGGCTGCCAGCGTGGGCAAGGTCCAACAGTAGAACTTGCAAGCTGTGAAGGTTCATGAGCGGCTGTAGTTGAGGTCACTTGCGAAAAGCGGTCCAAATATGCCCAGTTCATTTGGCCTGCAAGCAGAGGCAGTTTGGCCCACTCGCAGTAAGCAAACCTCACAGATTTAAGTGTCAATTTGGGGGCATGCTGCGTGCCGGCATTTTCAAGCAGTCGTTGTTTCGACCACTGCTTCCAAGGCGCGCCTTGCACAGGCATATTTTGCACAGCCATGCCGTGCACAGAAAAGGGACCTCATGAAAGCCCCATCTGAAAGTAGCAGGTGCCTGCGGCCGACCATCCGCGTGCTGGCCTTACACAAGCTGAGAGCCGTACTGAACAGCCAGTTCCCTTGCATTGCCACGGCTAAGGCTGAAGAACAGCTGCGTTGCTTTGCCGCAGGGCTCTCAATTTCCTTTCAAGATGCACCCTGGACAGGCTCCTGTCCTTCATCCTTCTCATTCTGCACTGTGCACCTTTGCATGGAGTTTTCGCACCTTCCCCCCCAGTGATGAACCAAGAATACGCTTTAGACGCGGCAGGCAGAACCTGTCCTGAACACCCCATCTTTTGAAGCTCAGCTTCGGAGATTCAGTTCGCCGTTTCGACAAGAAACTAAGGCAGAAAGCGGAGGCTCTTCGTCCTCTTCCTCTCCCAAGGTCCCTGGCAAGAGCCGGACGCCCGCTGCTTACATCGTTTCACATCCGTTGACCGTGGACCGTGGGACACTGGTGGCTAGTGGCTCCATGTCTCAGCCACGCCGCTACCGCCATCAGATGCCACGCAAATGTGTCGGGATGCAAGTGTTCAACTCTCGAAGGTACTACGACATCCTGGAGGTGCCCCAAAAGGCCAAGAAGGACGAGATCAAGGAAGCGTGCGCCTGCTTTGTGTACAGTGTAGAGTTGGGTTCTCCCACACGGCTGCCTTCAAAGGTACAGGCGCCTTGCAAAGCGCTACCATCCGGATCGAAATGTTGATGATCCGGAGGCCACATGTTGTAACTCTTCTTAGTTGAAGTTGACCATTTTATACCACACAAGTCTCTTATAAATATGTGGTGCAATGATTCGCTTATTCATTCTGGCATTCATGAGCTGTAGATGTTTATCTGGATTGGTTTTCATGAGGTTATGTTCCTGCTTTTTGTAGTCTCGCAACTCACTCTTTGTAATTTCGTAAGCTCACCCAAGAAGAACCGCATTCTACCTTGCAAACCCATCTTTGTACTCCACCAGAGACTAAGAAGAGAGCAAACTACTAAAACTCCCAAGAACTATTCCGTGCACTTGGCCGTACAGTTGATCGTTGGTGCGATCTCCTTCCTTTCGCGCTGACATTCTCCACAAGCTACGAGCAACTGGCACCCTCTGCGCAAACGCGGCCTTTTTGCAGGCCGAAACCCGTTTCAAGGAAATCCAGGAAGCTCATGCCACGCCGGGGGCCTGAGGCACCCTTACCTTCCCAAGGTGTTAAGAAGACGCTACCAAAGACCACCAAGTTGCCAAGGCTGAGCGACTCCTGGAAGAAGGCTCTCTACGACCAGGATGCCCAGCACCGACTCGGTTAAACTGGAGCCGCTGCCCAGCTCGGATTTTTTGCAGGATCTCCAGTTCAGCAAGTTCGGAACCGGGGTCACACAAGAGGCTGGACAAGCAAAAATCCCAGAAATTCTGAGAAGACCAAGTGCACAGCTTTTCAGGTCGAAAGAGAAAGGTGGACTGAGCATTGGGAGAAGGACAGCAAAGTCCATCCAAAAGTCAATGCAAAGCTTTTCTCCTCATTTTGTCATGTCGCATCATGAGAACCATTGCAGTCATAGCAGGAAACTCCGGAGGAGCGAGAAGCTCGAAAGGACTCCAGCAGCTGACGGCAGCATGCAGTTCGTGCTGGTGGCATGCAGATCTATGCAGGAACGGTATCGGCGATATGCTGCCGGTGAGCGCAACGACTTGCCTCCAGACTCACGGTAGCACATATATATATATATATATCAAGGGGCTGCGTCCATGGGCGGGCAAACAGCACGCGGAAACGCCGGTGAAGGGGGGACCCGAAAGCGATCAAAAATACTTGCTGACGATGCTCCGTGACGTGCTGGCTCGCACTTCGAAGAAAGTAGGCTCCAAAAAGTGCACAGACATGCCGGCCAAGACTGCCGGGTTCTGAAAAGTGCACGAGGCCCCAAACATGCCTCCAAAACTTTCTCTGCTCTCTCTCTCTCTCTCTCTCTGCTTCGCTCTGCTCTCGCTCTGCTCTCTCCCTCCTCTCTTCTCTCTCTTCTCTCTCTCTCTCTCTCTCTCTCTCTCTCTCACTCTCTCACTCTCTATCTCGCTCTCTCTCTCGCTCTCTCTCTCTCTCTCTCTGTTTCTCTCTCTCCTTCTCTCCTTTGCTCCTTCTCTCCTTTGCTCCTTCTCCCCTTTGCTCCTTCTCCCCTTTGCTCCTTCTCCCCTTTGCTCCTTCTCCCCTTTGCTCTTCCTCTTTGCTCTGTCTCTTTATCTTTAGCGTTCTCTTTCTCTCTCCCTCTCGATCTGCTCTCTCCCTCTCCCGATCCCCTCCCGAAAACCAACAGCTTCTGCAATATGCAGTTTGGGTAGAAGGGGCCGAGGGACCCTAATTTAGACATTCTTATGTTTTATTCTTTTATTCATACTCGATGCTTGTATCCCCGCGACGCCCCCAAGACTAAGCATCAGTGCCACCCCCAAGCATCACAGAACGCATAATCGGCACAATCTGCGCTAAGACGACCTGAAAAGCACTCGATATTTACGATGTTTATGCCCGCTCCCAGGCGAGCATGTGAGGCCCGAAGGGCAAGGGACAAACGGTAGGTCAATGACGCACGGGCCAGCGTTTTCAATGGCTTTCGGTACCGCCCTCAAAGCTTGAGATATGTATGCGTCGATGATTTTCGGGCGCCCAGGGACCCTCAAAAACCTCAAGAAACTATGGTGTGTGCCGATGTTTTCGTCTGTGTTCGTACCGTCGACGCGCTCGCGTTTGCGAACCCCTTGAACCTCGACCCTAACCGAAACCCACACCATGCTATAACCCCTAAACCCCTACATCCTAAACCAAGCCCGGAACAACGGTGGAAGGGGTTCAATACCTGGGTTGGGTGCCAGTGCAAGACATTATGAGTGCAAATGAGGCCAACTGCATGGGGCACAAGTAAGGCCAGGGCATGGGCACAAATGAGGGAAGGACTTCCAGAACAAAAACATGTTGCACGGCTTTGCTTGACATGATGATGAATGAACGCTCAGGACAAGATGTATTCAAGCTGGTGGCCGGCAACTGTGCGCCGTTCTCAGATACTTCAAGGTGTCCTCAGTGTGCTTCGGTCAGGGTCAAAAGGCTTTCGGGCAGGAAGGTGTTTACCGAATTTGCGGGCAGATGCAATGCCTGAGGGTTTTCGTCGTTGGTGGCGTTTTCTACGTGTGCGTGAAGGCACCGGCGATACTCTCAAGCGCTGCTCCCAGCAAACTTGCTGCATCTTGCTGCAACTTGCAGAGGCGCCTGAATGGCAAGAAGGACAGCCGCACTTCTGCGACCCCATGTTCGACGACAGAAGCGTCACGGGCTTGAGAGCTGTGCTGAAAATGAGCGCGCGGGGCATAAACTGCAAAGGAGTTGCACAGGGCCTGTTCTAAGGTGCCACTCGTCCGTGCCTTCCATGACCCTGTGCGAAACCGATGGGAACGGCTTCCCGAGGCATGTGGCTTGAACGTGACAGCTTCAAGTCTTGCTGAGTTTCGTTGCTGTAGTTTAAAGCATTTCAGTGTGCTTTTTAAGTATCTTCATGTTCGTTAGATTGTTTGCCATGTCAGGGCCAAGATCCGCCAACGCCTCGACAGCTCTATGCTTACTACGAGAAGGCACACACACATTACAATCAGCCGCAATCACGGCAGCTGTCTGCTAGCACAGGCATCACATGGCACACCGGTAAAGCTTTGCTTCGGTTGACCCGGTTTCGCCTGTCCCGCAGAAGAAGCCGGAGCTCATGGATGAGGTGGACATTCGGATCCTTCCCAAGGCGGATTGCAGGGTGTCTCGAATAGACACCAGCTGCTACCACAGGGCAGGGCAAATGTTTAGTCAAGTAAGAAGTTTCAGAAGGGTGTTCCCCTTTGGAACAGGTGAGTCTGACAGCCCGGAGCTGAGCACGGAATGTGTTTTGTTAAGTTGCATGTCTTAATGGTGGGTTGGTAATATGCAAACCGAAAGACAGAAAGAGAGGCACAAAGGGCGTTGCGGCGTTGAGCTTTCGGAACCTTTGCACCATCTCCCGTGTTCGAGCGGTCTTGTGGTCTTTGCGCGGGCTTTGACTGGCTTTGACTGTCAAAGCTCTACTTCTTCCCCGAATGTACTGCAGGGATTCTCGATACTACTTGCATCTGGCCGGGGGGACGTTGAACTTGTTCACCACGCCGAAATGCAGAAGTCGTTCTTGAATCATTGAATCGGTTTTTGTTTTCGACAGTTTCGGGTTCTTCGATGCAGTGCAACAATGCCCAGAAGGGAGGGTGCGCCGAAAGGTCGAGAGCATTGAAGATAAACGGGAGGGCCAACATGTATGCTTGCAGCGCAGGGCCGTAGCCTCTACAGATGCGCAGGGACACGCCAAAGTCAAAATGCCGAGGTCTTGAACGTGCCCAAAACATCTGCGGCAACACTCGCGAGCTTCTGCTTACCATCTCAACGGCACATGAAGTTAGAGTCTCTTCTCAGCAGGCGAAGCCAAGTTTTCCCATCAGCGCCTCAGCCTCAGCTGCATCTGCACGTGATGTTGCCGGCTGATACTACATGCCACGTTGAAGCCAGGCATCATGATGCGGCGGTTTTCGTGAAGCTCATTGGCTTGCCCATGTTTGCTCCTCTCAAGCAGGTCTTTCAACACGTGCGTGTTTCGGGCTTGCTTCCGTGCCGCCACCTTGGCCAAGACTCTCAGCTCAGAAAAACTGCGCAGACTCTGTACGCCTTTGTCATTGGCAGGGCACTGCCAGCAAGAGCCTAAGCCCACTGGCTGTGTGCACGGCCTGCCTGCAGCAATGAAGGTTCGTGGTAATGATCCCATCCAAAAAGCACGCTTCATCGGCAGGCATGCTCCTGCAACTATGGCAAGAGTTCGTGCGAACTAAGTTGAGCCAGGAAATAACAAAGTGGCAAATCAACAGCACGCTCACCTGGCCGCTAGGGCCCTTCCATTCTATCGTTGTTTCGGCAATATATTTTTCACAGCATGGCTTCTTCTGAAGAGGCAGCTGAGGTGGCCGAGGCCGACTTGACAAATGGTATTCTCCCTTCTACACTAGCTACAAGTAGAATCTCAGAACAAAGCAGCCCCTGCTGTCTTCTCTCAGGGGTCAACAGATGAGGTGGGTCTTTTGTGCAAGGCCGCAATGGCCACGGTATGAGTTCCCAACGAGTCGGCAGGTGTCGATGCTGCGCACAGAGGTCAACAAACTAGCGCAGGACCACTCTGATGGTGCGCAAGTGGCTCCGCAGCTCTTCCGAATCTGAAGGAGCTGCTTATGCACCGACAAGTCCTGGAGCAATGTCTGGAGGTCTCCACGTCCCGCCATTGCACTGACGCGTTCATTGTGGAAAGTTTGAACTGCAAACCGAAGGTGCGGGAGAGCGTGCTGGAGAACCTGCTTTTGACTGGGCAGGGTACCTTTTGGATGCAGGGAGTTTGACTCACACTGCAGGAGCTTCTCCAGCACCGAGAAGCCCTGGTGCAGTGTCTGGAGTTGCGCGAAGGGGTGCAGGCAGCTGCAGAGTGCTCACACACGTGCCATGTGCCCCACGGCTGTAAGATGGCACGTTTCAGGCTGCCCTGAGCAGCACACAGATCATTGGCGAAGTTGTGGATCGTACTGCACTTAGCTGTAGAAGCTGCACTGTTTGCCACGTGTACACCGTCACTCAGGTATTGCAACTAGCTGACAAAACACATTGTGCAATTGTGTTGACTGCAGAACTCATGGCCTCGTGACAACTGACGCTCAAAAGGCACCTCCGAGCTGGATCTCTCGCTCGCTGGGGTGTCAGTGCCTGGGCTGAACGCTTCTCATGCTGGCCTACATGCTGTGATTTCTGCAGTCTTCAGACTAGAGAACTAGAAACTCTCTTCCTCAGCAAGCGCTTTCCTTACTTGTGCCACTCTCGATGTGAGAAATCGGACTGGCTCATGCGCAGGACAACACCGCTCGACATGGCCGAGCAATTGCTAGCCTCACAGAGCAGCAACGCCGTCGAGCCCTTATCCTGTGACAGTCTGGCTCAAGCACTGCCATGCCGCTGCTGGGCGTTGTGCATCGTAACCGAAAAATGCGTCTCAGACACTGCAACCAGGCCAACTTTCAGACACCACTTTCAGGAGCCACAGAGGGGGGACGAGGGTGGGGGAAGCGCAGTCAGTCTCTTTCAAGGTTGAAAAAAAGAGGCAGAAAAACCAAGAAACTCACATCTGCATTCCATGGTTGAGAAGCTGGGATCGGGATGATCCGGGATCCGGGGCCTTTGGAAGCAGGTGGCATTCCCTCAGTCGCCCGCACACCTTCTCGAATGCCTCCTTTTGGACATGGTCAGCCAAAGAGCACGAATGCATACGAAACATTCCGCCATCGAAATGTCGGAGATGCTTTGTTGCTTTGGTAATACGGGGGTGTCAGCATCTGTTGGTGTTTATGCACCAGACCATCAGTACTCGGCCCTTGCACTGGCGCCATTGTGCTGCCGCCAGAGGTACCAGTGACACCTTGGACGCGGTCGTTCGTGCAGCAAAGCCCTTGGAAATGTACCGAAGCGCCAGAAAACCGAAAGGCGTGAAAGTGATGAGATCACGAGCTTGAGCCTTTTGAGGTCAAGCGGTTGGACCGAAGCCGCTCCCGACAGCGAGGCACTTTGCAGGCAGACTGGCGAAAAGCGACACATGGTGCCGAGACAGCATAGTGAAACATCATGGCATTACTTGCCAAGCACAGACTGGATCTGCAGCGCCCTCTGAGCGAGCCGCTGCCCCGTGCTGTTTCGCTTGGCGTATCTAGACACCGATGCTGTGAAGAAGTTCAACCAAAGGCTGCTTCCATCCGATCCATACCCTGGTATGAGCGGCAAGGTCGGGTTCTGGACTTCTGTAGACACGTGGAATGAGACCGTGTGTTGGATGTTGAAAGGTGAGCGAGTGGACGTGGAAGCAAGGTGTTGCTCCCGGCATTGTTGCTTCAGAGGTCTTCAGGGCAGCAAGCAGAGCGAATGCTTGAGAAGAATGCCGCAGCTGCTGAGAGTCGAAAAGACAACACGGAAGGATAAGCAACGAGTATAAACGAACATTCTAGGACATGCCCAGCCCTGATCGAAACGGCTTACCAAGCAGCCCGCACGACTACCAAATCACCAAGCTTCGAGATCGCTTAGTACATCAACATCCTAATGCCGAATGCGGACGAGGCGCAAACAAACAGTCTTCAGCAAGGGTCTCTCATGGCAGTGCCTCATCACTGGATTTGCACGTGCTAGGCCTGCATTGGCATTTGCCTGGGCAGGGAGCGCTTTGACCCAAGAAGTTGCCCTGCGCCTCGCGTAAAGCGACGGAAACCTGGCTGAGGCCCTTGCCGATGGCGACGGATCTGGGTGCGGGCTGGCCGCAATGCAGCTTCGATCCACAGACCACGCGGTGCGCCGACGCGTGTGTTGCGGGATTTTGCAGTTGCATTTGACGCTGCCCAAGCACAATGGGGCATGCGAGCACGAGGAAGAGAAAAGGTAGCAATCGTGTCGAGCCTAGGTTACTGACGGTTACTTCACCATACCCATGGCTAGGTGGACTTGCAGCCTCCTTTCTCTCCAGATGTTTTCAGCTACGCCGCGACCTGAAAAACGTGAGCCATGCGCAGCGAACTGCAGCGAATGCAGCCACAGCAAACCCAAGTCTGCCACCCTGGACTTTTCAATGGACACCTTCTCCATTGATGCTGAGCCACAAGCAGGCCGCGATTGGGAGAGAGTGAAGGAGAGGGAGAGAGAGAGAGAGAGAGAGAGAGAGAGAGAGAGAGAGAGAAAGACGAACGGTTTATGCCGGATCGAAAGACCGTAAATGCCGTGTTTTTTGACTGTGACAAGGTTGTGAAGTTGGGGGCCTTCCCAACCGCCCCTTCCTCGCACCAGATGCCCAGAAAGGCCTGTCATGAAAAATTAGGTTTCTGGTCGTCGCCAGGCTTTGGAACTGTATGAGGCTGTCGTGCAATACGGAAGCCCACCGCTCCCTGAAACCCGTATCTAAGAAACCGATCCATGCCGTGATGAAGATGGCCGGTCTACGATGCATCTGCACCCTTCACCAGACCTGATTGTAATTTGCGGCCCCAACCCGAACCCGAGCCCCAAGTGTTCAACAGTTCTTCTATCATGTATTTACAGCATATGGGGAATATTCAGTATTACAGTATGGCGCCTCCCAATTCATTCCCTAAGTCACTGAGTCTTTCTGCGGCATCCAATGTAGCATGCGCCTTCTTCCTGAATTTTTAACGTCAAACAGCACAATACTGTAACCTCAAAGCATGCAAGTGGCAATGTGCAAAAACAGTGCTTGTACAGTCTGTAAATATCAGGGCGGTCAGGGGTGGGGGGGAGCTGTAATCGGGGGAGTTTTCCCGAGCGTCCAGGATTTGGCGCCCCGTACTCAAACTTAGACGGCAGCCCCCATGAGAGCCAGTCTGCCTGCAAGATGCTAGCAGCCTCAAGGACAAGAAAGCAATCCTGCCACAGCAGCAATCTTGCACAGAATCCCGACAAAGCGCGCGATGTTGCAAGATCTAGTTTCAAACCACGGGCCGCACGAGTACTGCAGTTGCAGTTGTTCCTTGTTTGGCCGGAGGTGGGGGCTCCAAGGAATCCAACATCTGCGCACGTGATCCCAGGCCCTGCTCTCATTCTGAATTGGCCTGGTTTTGGCCGTATTTGTAAGATGTAGCAAGATAGGGCTCTAGCCTCTGGCTAGGTCTCTCTGTCGTGTAGCCAAGGACAGGAGCGGAACAATGGTACCGCATCTCCGCCCCTGGCTCGCTTTACCGCCAGTTCGAGACCCATTGTTCAGATGACAGTTTGCAGAGGTCTCAAAGCTGTCTGGAGCAGAGACAGAGGCTCCTAGTAGAGCGTTTCTCTTCAAATCTCAGATCTGCGTTGCTGGCATTCGGATACGGATCCACTCGCGTCAGATTGCTGGAATGCGAGTCCAAGGCCGGACATGAGCAGGGTCTGGAAGCCACCACGTCGATTCCCGGTACAATTTCACCGTCACCTCTTTCAGGAGGTGAGCTCGTTCCGGCATTCCGACCAGAGGATCGAAGCTATCGGGCTTGGCTCTCAGGGAGGCTCAAGTCCAAGTCCAAGTCGCTCTAGCAGCGAGGTCTCTGAAGGTTGATCACCCTATGCGTGGGAAGCAGCAGGCTTGCTCTCCCCGGCCAGGTGCAGCTCGATGTATCGCATGATTTCATCGAGGCCCATGCACGGTATGCCAAGTCACATCTCTTGCCCACACGATGTCGAGTTTTGCTCAATCATCTTCAGGCCTCAGTTTTTGTGTGCAGATCTTCATCTTCCACTTCACCTTGTTGCAGGTGGACTTTGTCCTGCAGGACAGTGGGCAGAAGGTTCTTTGGGAGGCTTGGGCTCTGGTGGCCGCATCGCAAGATAGCACGAAAGCCCTGAGAAAGGCAACGCCCGAGGTCAAGAGTGCGCGTCTCAGACATCGAACTGCACAAGAAGTCGATCAAGAAGGCCAGAACGTTTGGCACGGACAAAGGTGGTGAGAAGAGTCTGCCAGATGCGGCTGATCACGCCTCATTGACACCTACGGGTAGAACGGAATGTTGCACAAGACGTGTCACCTGCTGAGGCAAGAGCTCTGCTTGAGACAGGGGAACAGCAACATCATCAGCGTCACGAGGCAGAGAATGAATGCTTGCTGCGTTCCGCTTTTCATGCTTGCGCCATTTCTGGAGGTGTTCCCTCTTGATGTAGGCTGGGCACCCGGTGCAGCCAACGTCAGTCCTGCGGATGCTTCACAATTCGGAGCGCTTCTCCTCCGAGTCCAAAATCGAAATTAGGACTCCGCAGACTCCTACATGACTCTTTCAACTTCTCCAAGACACAAACTGCTCACAAGTTCGACAGCACTGTAAGAGCCAAGAAGTTCAAGTTAGGTCTTCAAGCGACATGTCTTGTGGCATCGTCTTGTGCTGACTTCGGGCCTTGAACAGAGATCCCATGAAAGTCGCATACACGAGGTCTTCACTTGCAACCTGAGCCCGTAAAACCCACCCGAAAAGCCGTAAGCCCTAAATCATTAATCATCCTAACCCCTACTGCCTCTAGGCTTCAATTGTTTTTAAGTCTGGGTGGCAGGCGGACCTAGAACATGTCTTACTCAGCCCTTTGCCAATTCCTGCTGTATATCTGGTTTAGACTAACGGCCAAGGACTTCAAGTAAGCAGCGGGAGAGAACAGAAAGAAGTCAGGCTACACCCGGGAACTGTCCTTGCACATCGAGTCGGCCGATCCAATGCAGGTGCACAGCCAGACTCAGCACTCTCGCTTCCAGAGTACTGTTGCCAAGTTGCTAGGTAGCTCGTGGTGTCTACATCATTGCTGTCAGCCGCGACAACTGCAGCAAGCAGCGGCCGCTTTACAATCCACGGTCGAGTTCTTGGTCACCTGCACGTTCAATATATTTCAGTTCACTGGGGGGCATCTTCAATTGTTTCCTCTAGCTCGACGCTGGTTCCTAAGACTTTGAGATGAGCGTCAAGAAACTTTACAAGCTTACACAAACGTCGTGTATTGAGTTTGTTTCAGCCACAAATCAATACACATTCTTCAAAGCGCTATTCTTGCCAATAAAGAAGATCACACAGAGTCGCAAGAAAATGCAGACCTGCAAACCTGGATGCCAAGAAACACTCAGACCCTGTTCAGACCGACGCAAGGCCATGTCCAGCGTGCAGCACGTGGTAATATGCCGGAATGGTCTTGAAGCGTCCTTTGCTGACAGCCCTCATGCACAGAAACACTTAGGCTGGGGACACCGTGTGCCAGCACACATTTGACCTGTAACCCTGAACATCAAACCTGAAGCCAAGTGTTTGTTTGGTTTTTGTGGCAGTTCACGGGATATTCGGGAGCTAAGACCTTGACATGAAGGAATCCTATTTCATGTTATTTCTCTGATCAGCTCAAAAATCGTTGCTCTGCTGCATGGCTAAGGAGCTTGAAGTTATCTGTGTGTGTGTGTTTTCCGCCGTCGCTGAGCCCACTTGCAGACCCCTTTGAGATGAGTATCTGGTGACCCTGAACCCTTGGCGCTCTACACGAAGCCTCAGCAGACTCAGACTGCATCAGCGAAGAAAGTCCTGAAATCGATCCCCACAGTACTGAGTTCTTACAACACAAACGCGTCGGTGGTTTGGCCTGGCTAGGCTATGTTTTGTGCACGTCATTTAAACTGTGCCCGTTTCGTGAGACCAAGGTCTGGCAGTTGATTGCTCCTCAGATGTTGTCGTTCAAAGGCTTCATTCAACCTATCTTCCCGCTCTTGTGAGTCTTGTACCCAGTCCTTCAGTTTGGAATGTAACTGATTGCAGACGAGGCCATGCAGAATGCCCGCAAGGCATGTACCCGAACAAGGAAGCCAGCAGGTGTTCCTTTTGCAACAGGAGCCCAAATCAGTCCGCCTTCGCCCATCAAACGCAGTCGGCATATCCATGTCAGGAACTGCGCTGTTTGTGGAAGCTTCTCAGTCTGTGACCTGTGCTTCCAGGCACCGTGAGGCCTCGTATTCAGGCGGCACCACCTATTCATGCTGCTCCGACCTGAAGGACACAGTCGACAACACGTATGTGATTGACGAGACAGATGGCAGCTGCACAGAGGCGGAATTCGCACGTCCATGGGCGGCTGGTTCTCAACAATCGTGCAGGTCAAGAGCAGCTTCTTCAAGCAGTATTATTGGTGGCTCGTGCCTCAGGTGGAGCCGTCAAAGCTGCATCTTTGGGAAGATTTATCTTTGGACACAGCTGGCGTGCTGGTGATCAATTAATGCTGTGCACAAATGACCCACGGTGAGGTGCCTTTCTGGGTCGATCTTTGGCGGGTCTTGGTCTGAGCATGCTGGCTCGTGCTTGAGTTGAAGATTGGCGACATCGGCACAGGCTCGTTGCATGCGGGTGCCTGGTGTCCATTTGTCATGGCCTTAGCGTTTCTGCCCCGGTCCCCGAGAATGTGAGGAACTTTGAGAAGAGCGCTACTCGCATACCCAGAAGACCGAGGCGACTGGTTGTGTACAAAGTGCTGCTTTGGTAGTCGAAGGCTTGAAACTCAGACTTCGTATCTGTCGCATCTCATCCACTGTTGAGGGCTTCCACTGCGATAGTTCTCGTTGCCCTGCGAACCAGGGCTTGGGGCGAACATTCAATTGGGTGCAACGAGCAAGCTCTTCTATCTGCTCTGTCTCCTAATAGGTCATGAGAGGGTTCTCCTCTCTCCCTCTTTTTTTGGAAATAGAGGAGCTCTCTCATTCTGCATAAAAAGGTACAGGACTTCGTTCATGTCCATTGTTTCATTGCCTTTGAGTAGATAGAGGAGCTCATTCATCTCCTCTTCAGAGATGATCTCACATTTCCGGAGGACCTCCCGTAACCCTGGACCTTTTCTGTCGTGTAGTACACGCTACCTGTGCAACGCATGGAATGGCGTGTTGAGCGAAAAAAAACCTTCCTTTGTTCAAAAGTGCTGTGGATGCAGTCTGGCCTTGTGCTATCAGCCACAAGTCCAAAGTAATTGAAAGAGTGTTATGCCTCTTCCTTGTGAGCCATACTCTGCACTTCAAGGTTTCAGCACTTCAACTCGGATTCTGACATCGATTGATACCGGGGCCAAAGTGTCCAAGGAGGTTCCTCCCGACGCTGGACGCTGCTGCAAACGAAGTGATGTCGAGATCCTACTGCAGAGATCACAGCGGAGGAAGGTTCGGCTTGTATCACAAAGCCGCGATCCAAACTTGGATCTGGCTGCTCAGAGCATGTTGAGAAAAGGGCGTGAATTCTGCTGCGTCGGTTCCAGCAGTCATGCGAGCATCACCAAGCTGAGTTCGATGCTCGGCTCAGTCAGTGCAAGTGTGCCAGGTCTTTGCGAGCAACCCAGGCATCGGCACGCAGATGGGACGGTTAGTGCGCAAACTTGACCGCTCCTCCTGTGCACGGACTCAAAATTTGTGTCAGGAACTTGCTGCTTTCGATGATGTAGAGGGGTCCGGGCCTTTCAGATGTTCCCTACACTTGCATATTCAAAGTCGAACGAGGCGTCGACCAGATCCTGACGATCCATGGTTTTGGCCAGGCAAGAACGCATTTCTTCGATCAAGGATTAAACATCCATGTTTCATGCCATGCTCATGACTATCTGATGACTTGAGTGATGACTTGAGGCTGGGACGGTCCCTCAAATGAACGGTGGCTGGCTAAGCGGGTCTATCTTTCACACACCGAAGATGTTGCAGTGAAAGTAAGCGCTTCTTGCTCTTTTTCGAGGCCGAGGAGTTCACGGCCGCACTCGGCGACAGCCAGGTGATGCTCGTACAGTCAACCATGCTGCACCACGCTGGACACGCAGATATGCAGAACCATGTCGTTGGATATCATGTGATTGAATAAAGGCACAAACAGCTACAGGTAGATCCGAATGATAGCTGAGACTTCGGCCAGAGCCAGGCACATGTGCTAGGTCCTGCGATTCCATCCATCATCAGATGATTGCAGCTGCCGGACGCCTTCTTCGTACTGGCTTTGCCCGGAGAAGCAGCTGCAGAGAGTTCTCACAGGGCTGGAAACTTGGCAGACTGCCTTCAAAAGACGAACAGGTTCTCTTGGGGGCTGTTAGCTATGATCCGGCAATATCTACGATTTGGGGCAGGATGAAAATTTACCTAAACACCGCTGGATGCCCATTTGACTTCGTGCTCTTCACAAACTATGAAAGACAAGTTGCCGCACTGTTGGCAGGAGAAGTCGACATTGCATGGAACGGTCCCGTGGCCCATGTTCTTGCAGAGCAGCATGCCGGTCCGAACGGACTGGTTTCCCTGGGCATGAGAGACGTCGATTGCGACTTCGTGTCGATATGTGTCGCAAGGAAGGATGCCAATGTGTCCTCGGTGCACGATGTGCATGACAAAGTAGTGGCAACGGGAGCTTCTGATTCACCACAAGCTCACTTGGTGCCACTTTACTGGTTACATGAGAAGGGTGTGCGGCCATCCGAGATACGGGCCTTTGACCTGGACTTGGGCAAGCACGGTGACACTGCCCTTGGCGAAGTGGCTGCCATGGAATGTTTGCTTCAGCACGGTGCCCAGGTGGGTCTGCTTTCGAAGATGATGTGGGACAGGGGTCTGGCAGGAGAGCTGAGCATCGATCCTAAGATGCTGGAGACAACCCTAGAAGTGGTACCGGGTGAAGGGCCCCCACTCTTTGACCACTGCCAGTTTGACGTTTTGGCCCACAATCCTCTGTGGAAAAGGGAGAGCTTCAGCAATGCCATCTTCAAGATGGACATGCAAAACCCCGAGCATGAAGAGGTGATGCGCTTGGAAGGTATCCAAAAGAAGTGGATGCCACCTCGCCACGAGGGCTATGCAGTGGTTCATAAGGCAGTTGAAGCGTTCACTGGCAAGAGACACTTCGGAACCCAAACTGGCGGCTCCTGGGGCTCAAGATCGCCGCGGGCCAAGAAAGGAACTTTCAATGCCTCCAGATCCTTCAGCACCAGCGCACAAAAACCCAGTGTCGGGGTCGTCGGTGCCGGTGTTGCTGGCTTGCAGGCCATACGATCACTCGAGGCAAAGGGGTTTGCTGTTAAGGTCTTCGAGCAGGATGCTGGAATCGGCGGTGTGTGGAGAGAGAACTACGTCAATTTTGGCGTGCAGGTTCCCAAACAGCTGTACGAGTTCCCAGACTTCCCCTTCAATCTTCCTTGGGGGACATATCCCACAGGTCCTGAAACTCAGCAGTACATCGAGGACTATGCTGACCACTTCAAGTTGCGCAAGTCCGTGCAGACGGGGACCAGGGTGGAGGCGATTCATCCAGAAAATTCCGGCTGGGTGTTCACAACAAAGCAGGATGGCGAAAAAAAGGAGGAAAGCTTTGACTATTGCATCATGGCTACCGGGCTGTACAACAAGGCGAGCCTCTTCATACCAGATCTTCCCGATAAAGAGAAGTTTGCAGGGAAGGCAGTGCACTCAACCTACTTCCAAGACTTTGCAATGGCAGAAAACAAGCGTGTGGTCGTCGTTGGTGGTGGCAAGAGCGCGGTGGATTGCGCCACAGAGGCCAGCAAGGTTGCTGCCAAGGTAACCCTTGTTAGCAGAAAACCCCATTGGCCTACGCCTCGGAAGATCGCCAATTTGATCCCCTTCCAGTACATCTTTTTGTCAAGGCTGGGCCAGGCTTTAGTTACCGGGCACCGGGGGGCACTTCCGGGAGCTCCTGGTCACATGTCACTCTGGCACAAACTCAGTTGGCCTTTGATGGCTGTGGCCTTCAGCGCGGTGGAGATGCTCTTCGCACTACAATTTCGAATGTCCGGAAAGACCTCTCCTCTCTTCAAGTGCGATGTCGTCTCAGACTTCTACGGCCATGCTCAAGTCCTGGACTACTCGCTGCGCGACTTGGTCGCGGAAGGAAAGCTGGAATGGGTGATTGGAACTCCTACCGGCTTCACGCCAGATGGCGTGACGATTGATGGCCAAGAGGTGCCTGCTGACCTTGTCATCTATGCTACAGGCTTCCAGAAAGACTACAGTCTCTTTTCTGAGGAGGTGCGCTCAAGGCTCGGGGTGGAGGAGGATGGTTTGTATCTGTGGCGCCATACGCTTGCACCGAAGGTGCCTCGCCTGGCTTTTGTTGGCAGTGAGCTGGCCACCATATCAAACATCAGTAGCTATGGCCTGCAGTCAGCTTGGTTAGGCAAGGTCTGGTCTGGTGAAATCGATTTACCGAAAGTTGAGGCTATGGAGGCAGAATTGGAGGAAATGAAGAAGTGGAAGCGTGGCTGGATGCCGGCTACATCCTCCAGGGCAAGTTTGGTGCTCCTTCATCAAGTCCACTTTCATGACACCTTGCTTAAAGACATGGGCCTCCGCCATCTGCGGAAGGCGAACTTCCTCGCAGAGGCCTTGATGCCATACCAGCCGGAGGACTACAACGGAATCGTGGGCGCCTAGTGCCTGCATCGCTTTGATCGTTTCAGACGCCTCAATGAGCTGAGCCTGACCCATCCCTTAGGAGGCGGAAGCAAAAGCAGCAAAGCAGCAAAGCAGCAAAGCAGCACTCAATAAAGTGACCATCAATAACCGATGCGAAGTCGACCGGTGCGTAAGCAAGGAAGCTCTCCAAAGTCATCAATGGTGCACCGATGAACATGCTTAAATACAAACTGTAGCAGACATCGTGACATAATGGTGCTTGGTGGTTGCTTTAAGTTGTCTGCAAGTTGCATACATAACCAAGTACTAAGCGTACAGCGCATACTAGGCAGTTCAGCGAACCCTTCAGAGTAGGAGTTCAGGAGAATGAACTCTTTCGGCCCTTGTCCATGCTTGTCTACATCTCCTTGGAAAGGCAGGCCAGAACGCCGGTCGGCAGAGGAGGCCGCACAGCGCCCAGCAGCGTGAAGTCTTGCAGTGAAGTCCACTGGTGAGCTTGTTCGATCACACATGTCACACCCAAGGAGCCGCAGGGCCTGCTTTCACCAGCGACGAGGCCGCGATGTAGCAGATGCTGAAAGCTTCGTTTTTTACACATCCTGCATTCTGGTCTGAGCGAGTGTTCCTGCCAGGGGCTGGGCCAGAGTAATCTGGACAGCCACTCGCAGGAAGGGGGCCTGCAGCTAGTTGCTCAGACTGGGTTAGACTCATGCTTTGGCAGCATGGTCAAACATCAAAGGCCAGTCAGTCACAACGATGCAGCAATTGTCAACGGGCCCCCTGCTCAGCAAGCACTGATATTTCGCAGAACACACGTGAGGATACCCTCCCAAATGCCATGCCCTTGAGGATGGGGACCAGTCAAGCATCATCCCAAATGGCAGATTGTGTGCCTCTGGCTTGTTGGCTTTATTGTTGAAGTTCGGCACAGTGATCAATTTTGCTTGCGTCAGGTGAAAGGTGTCCTTTCTCGCATAAATGAGGCGCACCACATGATGTTCGCAGTCTGGAGTCACTCAGTGGTGACCTTTCATGCTACAAGGCATTAACCAAGCTGGACCATCCAGGCGCTCAGGACGCAAGCGATGGGGCAGAACAGCTGATCATGGAAATTGCTTGAGCTGAAAGTAGATGTGCTGACAGGACTCGGAACCAGCGCTACCAGGTGCGACAGCAGAACTGCGGAAGAGAGTCTTCAAGCAAACCTGTGCCGTTCTGTCTCCGAGGGCGCCCAGGAGGCGTGAACTGAAAATCGAAGAAGCGAACCAAATGCGTTATCACATGTCTTTGCAATCTTCGAGAAACCAACGCGGATGCGCGATGCACACAATACCATCTTGCAGCATCTGCGCCAGACGCATCAGAGTAGGGACCAGCCCACCTTTTGCTGTCACTCTTCGTTGTGCACGAGTGTTGCACGTGCGAGGTACTTCTGGAGCCACAGCAGCCCACCAGCCGAGTTTGATCGATTCCGTAGTTCTTCGTGAGAATGAGTGCAAGATTCATATGACTACAATCAGCGAGTGCATGTAATGAATGTAATGTACATGCGCTGAACGTCAATGCCTTGGCAGACCAGACAACTCGTTGAGCCGCTTGCCCAGCCGGTTCGGCCCAGCCACACTGACAGAAGCGACAGGCCTGCCATGGTCTCATCTTTTGATGGGCCTCCATGGGCATGCGCCTTTTCAACTCGAGCCTTGTGGAGGTTTACTGCACGAGCAGACTTTGCCAAGAGTCCAGTCTTGGTGACGCCTCGAGATCCGGGCTCAGCTGGGATGTCCACACCAGTGCCGAATTTTGCTGTAGACGTTCCTTTCGGGAACGTGAAATCACAGTGATACAATGTACGATTCTGTATATATTGCACATCATTTTGCGTTGAAGATGACTGCTCAAGAGTTGGGCCGGGACGTGATTCTTTAGGAACTCAGGACAAAATGCAACTGACCTGTCGCACGCTTTACTTCTCGGCCATTCAGGATGTGAGGCACATCCAGGAATCAAGCTTCTCTTTAGAACACTAAGATTGTTCCTGAAAATGAGCATCGATCTTGCAAGATGAATCGAAGTTTCAATTCCCTTTTTGCGTTAATTTATCTTCAACAACCAACATTCGGCAGTGCTTGACTCGGCTAGACTGATGTGCCTGACAAGGAGTATCAAGGATTGATAAGCGTACGGTATGTGGCGTTTGGCATGCCGACCAATGCGAGTTCGGATGCGCAGCGCCGGCGGCATCAGCACCGGCGTTTCTCATGGCGTCACCGCCGATCCATCCGATCCAGCTGGCCTCCTGCAGACTGAGCGACGGCCTGGGCCGCCCCTTCACCGACCAGACGCTGCTATGCGCCTGCTCATCGTCTGGCCCCTCGGCTTTGGCCAGGAAGTCTGTCAGTCTGTTAGAACTTTCCGAAGGAGTTTTCGAAGTGTTTGGTGAGGTTTGCTTGTCAGGCACTCCAGGACTGGCATGGCAAGGCAAATGGCGGAGGCCCTTCTACGTGGCGCAGTGAGAGCGACACAAGACATGGAGGCCAGCGAGAATGACTTAGTGGTTGACATTCGTCGTGCTCAGGATGCACAGGTGCATGACCTTTTGTCTGCTCAAGGCTTCTTGTTCTGCGCGCCAGAGAATCTCGCTTCAATGTCAGGGGAGATGAAGGAATTCTTTGATCGCTGCTATTACGGTGCATTGGGCCGATTGAACGGCCGGCCTGTCGCATTGGCAATATGCGGGGGCTCAGATGGGGAAGGCGCATCGAAACAGATGGCGCGCATCTGCCAAGGCTGGCGTCTCAAGAGTTTGACAGCCCCTTTGATTCTCAGAAGTGGAGCGCAAACTCCTGAAGCAGTGGCTGCAGCAAAGACCTTAGACAGCATTGGGGTGGGAAAGTGCATGGATTTAGGTGGTCTCATGGCAGCTCATCTGTTACTTGGAGTGCCATGAGATATCATGGCCGAGAAGCAACATAAAGTGCAGAAAAGGTCGAAGAGTGCCCGCTGTTGTGTTGGCCAAGCAGCCAAGCTGCTCGCGGGCAAAGTGATGCTTGTCATTGCTTGACATGAACAAAGCCGAGGCACTTGTGTCAGGAAAGCATCAAAATCATCATGAGGATGGTGTGTGCTCACCTCAGATGGCGGTCTTCAAACGGAGAAGTGAAATCAAGTGCAAAAATGTCGCAACACTGAGGCTCCGAGATGGCCGCTGGCGAGTCGTTGATAGCTGGGCATAGGAAAGCGATAGACGACCGTGAATTATCGTGAATTCACTTAATGAACCTCCGCGAATCTCTGCAGTGGCACCTGGAGTGCATGCTGAAATCGGCTGCGCATCCAGTGCCATGCAAACAAGAGAAGTGGGTGCACGCACCAGGCGTGGGGCTGGTTCCAGCCTTTCTCTGGCTGCAAGGCATGTCATTACACCAGTTCTTTGCAAAACTAGCATGTTTAGTATTCCAATAATAGGGCTGCAAAATCTGGTCTAAATATTCAAGTTCTCAACTCCTTCGGTTTTTCAAGCTTACATCCAATCGAAGGCTTTGGAGGTTTTAGGACGTGGTGCGGCCGAAGTTGTTGCGTAGCCTAGACACCAGGTGGCGGGTTTTTCGAGTCCGCCTTTCGCCTCGTTTTTCGATATCGTCGATATCTATGGAAATAGGTCTCGGCCCTAGATGTTTCCCTTTGGTTTCACCGGTTGATGTGCTCACTACACAATCATGCGCTCCTTTGATTTTATTCTTTTGCTGTGTGTCTATGCTTTTGTACGTGTATGTTCGTGGATAAGTATTTTCGAGGGGAATGTATTGAATGGCCTAGCGCCACGAGCCGGCACCAAACCCTAATTTGAAAATCATCATATATCACAGAATCGTTCAATCTAATCGTTTTACTACTTCAAAAGACATGAATATTATGGATTAGTATATTTTTCTGAATGGTACATATTCTTTGACAATAGAGGTTCGGTTTAATTCATAAAAGAAAAAGGTTATGTAGGTTTGATATTTTAATGTGTGATATATTTTTATTTCATTGATCGATTATTTTGAAATAACTAGAAAAATCAAATTTAGTTTTGAATAATTTCTAAACTTTCTTAATTCGATAAATTTGAAATTCATTTTGAGGGGTTGTTGCATTATTTAATATTATGATTGGTATTGAATTTTCATATTTATTATTACTTATTATGGAAGGGTATGGTTATGATGAATAAATGGAAAATATGAAATTTTGTTTCTTCTTATATGGTGTTTACGTGGTATAGAAGAAGAAAAAATTGAATTTTTTTGGGTGGGGGCGTGGTCAGCGGGGTAGAGTGGGGGGTCGGGGTATAAGGGGGTGAGGGTGAGGGGGGGATTAGGGACAAGAGTCTTAGACGTAGATTTTTTTTTTTCGATCGGTATATTGGATTTATAACCATATGAAAAGAAATAAAAGAGTATTTTTGGCGGGGGGGGGATGGGGGGGAGACGATAATTATTATATATATTTATATT